ACACTATAATATTGAGTAGGTGTGACCTTTTTCTTCCATTTTTAAGAGGTACTACATAGCATCACCCATAAAATATATGTATTCAAATTTTTGCACATTTCCGAGAAATGAACAAACAATCAATTTTGTATTACTTTTGAAAAACAGAGTTGTTCTCGATTTACATGGTACTGTGGGTTTGTCCTTCGACCGATTTCTCTCATTTTTATTGCGTGCAAGAGCTTGCAACGTCAAGACAATCTTTATAACATACATTTAACAGACGGACAAACGGACATGCTTAAAATGATTTAGAATTTAATGCTGATCAAGAATATATACACTTTGCGTGGTCTCTGATGCTTCCTTCTGGGCCTTGCAAACGTTTGGACAAATTGAGTACATCCGCCATCCTTTGGTGATGGTCATAAATATATTTCCTTTAAAATATTACATATCGCTCACTCACTCACCCATTTTTCCTATTTTTCGAACAAAATTTGAACTATTAGCCGAGAGAACAAGTTATCTGTCGAGGTTATCTATCTATAGAAGTATCTATTTTTTGCGCATCGTTATGGTAATGGAAAACAATGGATTATTCTTTGGGCGAGATGGTCATTAGAAAGAGGGGTGAGTAGCGCAACCAATGTTTCTTAGACGGGGTTTACCATGTATAGGTGAATATCGGCAGGCTGACAAAATCAACCTATAATGCCTTTGCCCATATTGTCATAGTGTTTCCCATTATTTTATTTTAGTTGCCACGCCTACCCTATCCACTCTTATCAATGGAATTTCATAAAACTCGAGAGCGGCTAGTATTCAGATACACCTAAATCAAGCGAATGGAGGGCCTGCAGAACTTGAAATTTTGATGAGGAAAACTCCAAAAATTCAACGCATTATCCTATAAAATGATGCATTGTAATGATGCAAAACTCAAAAATTCCTCTATCCACATAGATCTGACGAATAGCATTATCCAAACAATACATAACACTCAAATGGCATTCCTTACGAACAATTTAGGCCGGAAGATCTAATAATAATATTAATTTGGGGAAAAATAAATCCATTATTTTTATATGAACTTCAGGACTTTATTTAACATGCTTCGCATTGTCCGATTTGGGTCAAATATGCACCGTTTTGTTGTATGATTTGTTGCCATTTTAAAGGTAACTTCAAAATGCCTCTCTCATAGAAGTCCTGGTCTCTATTTGCAAAAAACTCTAGTAGTCGATTTTCACAATCCTCCCTAGATTCCATTTTTTTATCATTAAAGAAATTTTGCAATGCAAGAAAAAGATGATAATCGCTTGGTGCCAAGTCCGGACTGTATGGCGGATGCATTAAAACTTCCCAACCAAGCTCCCGAAGTTTCTGGCGACTCACTGTAGATGTGTGTGGCCTACCGTTCTCCTGGTGGAACACGACACCTCTCCTGTTTACCAATTCTGGCCGTTTCTGGTCAATCGCTATCTTCAAACGGTCCAGTTGTTGACAGTAGAGATCAGAATTTAGCGTTTGGCCATATGGAAGCAACTCATAATAAATAATTCCCTTCCAGTCTCACCAAATGCACCTTTGAGGTGCTTCACCGCTCTTTGACCACGATCGTTTTCGCACAGGGTTATCGTATGTGATCCTGATTTCTCATCTCCAGTCACCATCCGTTTAAGAAATGGGTCTATCTCATTCCGTTTGGCCAAGGCTTCGCAGATGGAAATTCGATCCATCATGTTTTTTTTTCTGTTAATTGGTGTGGCACCCAAACATCGAGCTTCTTTTTGAATCCAGCTTTGTGTAAATGGTTTAAAACTGTTTTATGGTCGATTTTTAGCTCCTGGGCGATGTTACGACTGCTAACATGCCGGTCAACTTCGATCATTTCTCCGATTTTATCGACATTTTCAACGACCGGCCTACCTGTGCGAGGTGCATCTTTAACATCAAAAATGCCTGAACGGAATCTACGAAACCAAAATTGCACATAATTGGGTGTTACAGTATCGGAACCATAAACACGATTCACAATTTTTAGTCGCCTGGCTTGCATTTTCGCCTTTGTCAAAGAAAAACTGTAAAATGTACCGAATTTTCTCTTTGTTCACTTCCATTTTTAACACGCTGTAACTCACAACTGAATGCACCAAACAAAAAACAGCAAAATAATTTTTTTTACTGCGAAATGTCACCTTTCCAACGAGCATAAATCTGAAATTGTTTGATCGATACTTTACGAGATGTCTATCAGTGTAGCCACCTATCGAAAAAATAATGGATTTCTTTTTCCCCAAACTAATATTTATTACTCACTATTTTCTCATCACGATAATACTTTATGCAATCCCTTAAATATACCGATTGCAATGTGTCCTGTAAAATGTATATATGTAGTTTTTAAGAGACTTATTGCTTTCATTGTTCATATGGTTGTTCATTATATTTACATTTTAATTACAGGATTTGTTGAATGAATTGTTAAAGCACTTGAAAACTTTAAACTACAATTAAAAAGGAAAAGTCACGCCTTTCCTAAAAATTTTTTTTAAACGTTTATAAAAAGCTTCCGCTCGCACCGAGATTTTATTATTAAAAATGTTTTTAGCTTTGTCTCGTGGCGTTGGAGTGAAGACTCAGAGTTCGCAAGCCGCTGAATATTTATTTAATGTTATTAATTTTTTGGCTCAAGATTTTCATCGCAAATGGACATTTGGATTTTTTTTTCAATCCTTTGTCGCGAACGGTACAGTGGTACTATTTATGCCGATACTGTTCAATTTAAGTTACCTTAATGCCAGCATGCAATTCGATTTGGGCCAATTGTTCACATCGATCCAGGCAGCGATCAATATTTGCGCTATACCAATTAAATTCATTACGATGCAATTGTATATGAAAAATTTACATCGTATTAATAAAATGTTAAATATTTTGGATAGTCGCTGCAAGCATCCGGAAGAATTTAATAAATTGCGTCATTGTGCAATTACCGGTAATCGTATATACGTTGGTGCAATTATTGTGTATTTCTCGTATTCGATTAGCACTTGCATGGGCTTCATGCTAACAGGCCAGGCGGCTTATAATATATATATACCCGGTATTAATTGGCGCAATTCACTATTGGAATTTGTTATACAAGGCTTAATAGAGTTTGCCTCAATGAATTTGATTTGCTTGCATCAAACGGTTTACGATTCTTACTCAGGCATATATCTATATATAATCCGGATACATATACAAATTTTAAACGAAAGAGTGAGACGTTTGGGCTCGAATCTAAAAAACGATGAAAAGCAGAGTTACGAAGAGTTAATTCAATCCATTCTCGATCACAAACTTATTCTAAGGTAAAATTATAGTAAAGTCCATTACAATTCTTATTATGTTCGCCTAGAATTGAAATTTTAGTTCTCTTTCTCTATCTTATTTAGAAGAGCGATCAAGGGCTTCGAAATAAAAGCGGATAAGTCTTTTCGCGAATGGAAGATGCATCGGGTTTTCACATATCGGTTGAGGGGGTCGTACCTGCACTGAACGCTTATCTTTTTCTTTCTCCCCCCCCCCCCCCCTCCCCCCTATTTTTTCGTAGCTTTTCTTTCTTTATACTATACACGACTTGTGGTATATTTAGCTGTTGTAACATTCAAACGTACTTAATGCTCAACTTATATTGTATGGGACGTACTCATCTTTTTAATCAATTTAGACTGTCTGTCCGTCTATCTCTTTGGCCCTGTGATATCTGTCCATGGATTTTAGGTGGCGCCTGAAAAGAGAAACCTATTAAATATGTCTTTTGTAATTTTCAAAGATTCTCTACTAAAATCACTGAGCAATAATACTTCGACATATTTAATTGACCTGAACCCCCTAGTTGAACCCCTTTACATTTAATCGTTCTTACGAAAACGAAAAAAAGCGTCTAATTTTTAATAACGACATAAAACACCAAATGTTAATGAAGTATGTCAAAAATTTGGGATCTATAGGTTAAACACAAGAAAATAAGGCGGAGAGACAAGTTTACATTGATTCGGAAAGTGATTCTAGATCGTTCATGCATGCATTTGTACACAAACCTTGAGCCGAATACCATTCTTGGCTAGTGCTTCTACACGAGTAATCTCATGGCCTCGAAAATCGTTAAGGTCTTACTTCCATAGAACATAGTATACTGACTAAATGGTTCGTTAATACGCTACAGATATGAAAATGGGTACCCGTAGGATGCTTAAGTGGTTTATTGTGTACTACTACGATTATTCGGAATTGTATTGATTGATATACACTAAAGGATTTGGATTTTTTAAAAAATTTGGACCGACTAATGAAGCGATTAGCTAAAGAATATCTTGCCACTTTCCATACGTTCTGGTAAGGAAAATCGGATAAAAAAGTCGGAAAATCGGATCTTGAAACAGCCGCTGGTCGACTAAGGGATATCACGAAAATTAATATGTCCGCTATGAGATTTCGTAAATCATTTTTAGCACTTAATTCCGCATATGGCTTTTTCTCCGCTCACTCTCCGTGCCACTTACAATTTGTTGTTTTCTTCTCGATTAAAAAGAAAGGGAAATGTCTTGACGTGTTCAAGAGACAATCAATGTTAATAAATATTACCTTGAGCTCTACAAAGGCTTTCTAAAACTGTGAACTTACGTTTCAACCTTTAGTTGGCGCAGTGTTATTGACTTATCGGCTGTAAAAACCGCATTCAATAAAAAGGTTGATAAGGCCTTGGATATAAAATTCTGGGCTTTACAAACCAGTCAAAATACTCCCTGTAGTAGATAAACAATTTTGTTAATCTTGAATGGTCTTCATTACAGATTGGTTACAGCCATAAGTCCAATGATTTCGTTAACCATATTTGTACAATTCGCCATTACCGCAGCTATGTTGGCTACTACAATGATTAATATTTCCTTCTTTTCCAATGTCGTTGGCCGTATTGCTTCGATATTTTACATTATATTGGTGTTCGCGCAATCATCGCTATGCTGCTATCAAGCCACTTGCCTTGTATCGGACGCAGATGAATTGCCTGTCTCCATTTTTCATTGTCAATGGGTTCAGCAAGGATACCGCTTTCGCAAAATGATTATCTATTTCATGGTGAACACTCAAAAACCCATAATATTCACAGCAGGGAAACTATTCCCCGTTAATATGGCTAGCGTTCTTAGTGTAAGTTATGCTCGTTTTATGAAAAAAAAAAAAAAAAAAAAAACAGTAAATATGAAGAAAACCTTTCGGATAAATTTTATCATCCTATAGATTGCTAAATGTTCGTTTTCATTCTATGCGCTACTCAAGGAAATGGATTTCGGTGGACAAGACAAAGATTAAACTAAAGAAATCTTACTCGTCATAATGCGGTGGAAAAGTTTTCATTTTAATTAGAACAAAAATAAAAACTTTCTTTATGCATATTTAATAATATTTCATTTCCTTGCTAGAAACTGACATCTGTCGATTGTAAAGAAAAAAGTCGAAAGAAATGTGTGAATATGTGAAAGTTAAGTAAAATCATTAATTTAATGGCAATAAAGTGAAAATTTACTTATAGGTGAAATATAATAGTTTGTGTAATTAATTGCACAAATTTGTTTTCTTTCTCCTCTTTGGTTTTCTTTACGCAATGTTGACATGTATCCAAGCGGACCACATTTATACGCTACGCAATTTGTGGCAGAGGATGTGTTCAGTTAGGACGGACATATGTAATACGCAGCAGACCCATCTTTTATTATACCGATCGATTCAGAATCATAATCCGAATTGATCGAAGACTGTCTGTCCTTCTGTTCACGTAAAATCGTGTTCAAGCTACAGCTCGCGTTTGAGATGTTTCAATGAAATTTGTTACAGTGATGTGTGTTGTCCCTAAGACAAGCGCTTGTGAAAATGATTCGGATCGGCCCATTTTTTTCCAATATAACGCTCTATACTGAAAAGTCATTATATGGAAAAAAATTACAATTTTCAAAAATTCTCGGCGATTATTGGGAAAGGCGTTGGATTCGATTATTAATAAATGAAAAATCCAGATCATCATGAATAGCTTTGTTGCTAAGGAATTAAGGAGATATATTAACTGAAGCGCTTTGGATTGATATTTTTGATGTATTTCAATATTCGTATGGGCTATTTCACACTTAAGCTTAACGCATGAGAACCGAGCATACGTCTAAGAAACGATATATGTAGCTACTTAACAAAGTACGGTCAACTGCACTGAATTTCGAACCCGCGACCAATGACTTGATATACGCTAGGCATGATTTTTCCATATTAATCTTTGCTTAATACGCAAGCCGAGCAATCCATAGGGACGTTATTCAAAAAAAACCGCACCCAATCTAAATTATTTCCACCAATTTTCGAATGCCAAATTACTATAACTCAGCGATTTTTGTAGAGGAATTTTGAAAATTGCAATTTTTTCAAATTAAAAAAGTGTGGGGTCGATAAAATTGTTGCGATTTACTAAGATGCGTCTGATGGGTCAAATTTGCGTTAATGTACCAAATCTCAGCAAAATATCTCCAAAAGTTGCAACTTGTAGATTGAATGCAAGAATAGATGGACAGATATCAGATGGGCAGACGGGCAGACGGGCAGATAGACAGGTCGGTCGATCTTAAGTCTTTCTGCGAGTTAGATACATCTCGTACAAACTTGATATACCTAATATTATATGTAATAAAAAATTAAGAAAGAGAAAAGCTCGCAGAAAGGGCTTACTTAGCAAAAGCTTTCTCTTTTTCGAAATTCATGCTTTCTCATGTCATCATTATAATCGAAAAGAACAAATTGTAATGCGCTGGATCTACAGGTGCTGCTTGCTACGTGAACAAGTTGATTTCGCGGAAAATCGAAACCCAAAACGAACCATTTTCCGATACCTTATTTAAATCTTATTTATAAAAGCATATATGAATTCACTACTAAATCTGCGGCAAATACCGAACGCGGCTAAACATTTCAGTGAAAAACATTTGACCTATTTCATCTTGATGAATTGCGAAGAAAGTCTTATGCCATACTCTTTGTTTCAGGTTTTTTTTTTTATCAAAATTTCATATTTCATTTACATTTTATTATGGGGACACTATATGTGCTTTGAAAGGACCTGTAATCTATTCACATTTTTTTCACAAAATTTGTTTTCGATAAATTCTATAACTTTTCGAAGACGAGACACTTTACTTTTTAGATCCATAAATGGAAAAAATCGTCCATGCCCATACAATGTTACAAGTGTTAAAATTTTTTTTTTTTTTCACTTTTTTAAGCTTTTATGCATTCATTGATCATAAGGCAAACAAGGTATTCTTCAAGTGCAGATATATTATCTATATATTATCTATATATTATATATAAGATATATTATTATATTATTATGGGTTAATTTTAAAATGAATATGGTAGGACAGCGCGACCTGGTGGATTAATTTTTTCTTAATAATACCAGCGATATGGGTATCAAATAAAAGAACTTGAAGAGTAGAATGCGAAAAGCATAGTGATGGGTATGCAAGATTCGGCCTTCGCCGAATATAATTTTATTAATTGTTTTTAACTATTCTAACATAGATTTAACTACAGCAGTAACGTAGCCTATAAAATATATTAAAGTTGATAAAGTAAATGCAGGAATTTTAGGGAGGAAAGTGAAGCAGTCAACATGAGACATATAAAAAAAGGACACCTCACTCATATTATAATAACAAATGAATTAAATAACTAAGTTAACTACGTAACTCGTTAACCCGTCCTAAAATGAAGTGTCAAAAATTGAAGCTTACTGATTATTTAATACTAGACTTTTGGGAAGGCAAAGAAAAGCGTGAAGAAAGTTTTTCGAAATAATCATTAATTTAAAGAATTATTAAGTTGAAAAGAAAAAAAAAAAGTTCTTCAATAACATAATAACTTAACAGATAGTTTATAGGCAATGGATGGGCAATATACAAAAAGTTATATAAAAACCGAGAGAGGATATTATCGTCTGCCAGAATACAGACATTGAAACAACATCCTTGTCGATATGGTAGCAGGTAAACTAAACTTAGTTAAACAAATTAAATAAGGCGTTAGTGTTAAATCTGTTCATGAAATCTTTTTTATATAGATTATAAATTGTCAGCTAGTTCATTGGAAGCGGCCACTTACCTATTTCGCATATACCGCGTTTTGGGCATTAATAAACCACAAAGTCATCAAAATCTCTACATTTTCTATAGCATTATCTTAAATGGTTTAGTTAACTTTCTACAGCCAATTGCGTTTACAATGAACTATTTCACCAACGAACTCGTTTCGAAATTGGGCTCATTACTCACTTCCATCGAAATTGTAATCAATATTTACGGTTGTACGGTAAAATTCATCATCATAGCTTGGCTATTGCCGCGATCGCGCGCCACCATTCAGTTATTGAAGGAACTTGATGAACGCTGCCAGACTCCCGATGAGCGAGAGCTATTAAAGAATATTAAAAAATTTGGCCGCTTGGTTATTGTGATATTAGCGGCATCGTATCTTTTATATTCCGTATCACAATTCATTTGTTCACTAATTGCCGGCCATCCTCCCTACGGTCTCTATATACCATACATTAATTGGAAACGATCTTTCTGGGAATTTCTGTTTGCCTCTAGCATAGAATTTCTATTAATGAATGTTTCGTGCATCGTCCAAGCTAGCAATGATGCTTATCCCATCATTTACATAAATATTTTACGTACCCATATAAAGATTTTATTAAAACGTCTTAATAGACTCGGCACGGGACTAGACAAGAGTAAAGAAGAGCATTTAGAAGAATTGAAATTGTGTATAAAAGATCATAAGAATTTGAACAGGTATATATGCGGGCATGTGTTTTTATGCTAATAAATCATTTCTATTGTCGATTTTAGCTTATTCGAGAGTATTGCTCCCATTATTTCGACCACGGTATTCGTTCAATTCATGATCACTGCAGCCATAATTGCTCTCACGCTTATCAATATGTTATTTTTTACTACCAATTTATCGGCGGTTGCAAACTCATGCGTTTATATTGCCGACTTGGTATTAGAAATTTTTCCGATCTGCTATTATGCCAACTGCCTTATCGACGACAACGATCGTTTATCTCTGGAAATTTTTCATTCCGCTTGGCCTGAACAAAACAAAATTTATCGCAAAATGTTGATCGTTTTCATGCAACGTTCTCAGCAATCGATGTCATTAACAGCCGGTAAAATGTTTCCCATTAACTTGAATACATTCATAAGTGTAAGTAATTTTAAAAGAATTTTCAAGGAATTAATTAATTTTTAATTTTAAAAATAATTTATATTTAAAGATTATTAAATTTTCCTTCTCGGTGTACACCTTAATAAAAACCGTAGGTATCAAGGAGTAATTATTGCAACGAAATATTGAACAAAAAAAAAAAAAAAACAAAGTAAAAAACTTATATTCGGTTGTGACCGAATCTTTTACACCCTTCACCGTTAACCGAAGCAAGACAGCAAAAGTAAACGAACTACATTTTCATTCTTTCTAGTGTGGAGTGGGTGGGCGGCTAATTTTTTTGTATTTACAGAATAAACATTTTTGTTGTAGGGGCAACTGGACGTCGTAGTTGTGTCCATAGAAAAGTTTTAGTCACTGCCAAGGCCTTTCGAGGCTGGCATTCAAAATGTAAAACTCGCTAAGGATTTATATACTTTATAGCGTTTTTCAAACTTGTTTTTGTTCATTAAAAAATTAAATTTTAATGCACTATAATAATGGATAGGCGTGGTCAATGTTTTCTATTTTCAGAATAAATATAGAAATTTCCATGGCGTATATGTTGCACTTTGTGAATACCAATCATAAAATCCGAAATTCAAAAGTGTGCACATTTACTACTATATAGGCGTGGGGGCGTGTTGTAGGCCTATTCTTTGTTCAATTTGGCACATTTTCGAATTTTCTTTCAAGTTCATAGGTAATCTCTCTTTATTTTTGCGAACGGGATAAGTCTTAACGTAGATATTACGCGTTTACGCAGGCGGACTGACGGACAGATGAACCAACGGATATGCATAGGTGCATTCCCAATTTGAAACTGATCAAGAATTCATATACTTTATGCGGTGGGGTTTATGACGCCCTATAAAATTAAGTAGGCATAGGTGTTTTTTCCCATTTTTTTAGATATACCGCAGCATCCCCCACAGAATACATCATGAAATTTTTGTAGATTTATCTGCTGTGGTCTACAAGTAATGAGAAAAATAACTCAGTTTTTATTCATTTTGTAAAACCGAGGTGTCTGTACTTTACGTAGAACTGTGGGCGTGAGGCCTTCGACCAATTTAGCCAACTTTCAACAGTTACCAGCTTGTAAGAATTTCCAATGTTTGTGGCAACTTTGAACTCGAGAACTTCATTTGTGCTGCCAAGAGAATGCCTACAACAGATATTATGCCGATGGACGGACAATTGCATATGCTTAAATCAACTCAGAATTTGAGGCTGATCAAGAATATATATATATATTTTGCGGGTTCTCTTCCTTGTAGGCGTTGCACACGTTTTCAAAACATTTGAATATTCATCTCATGCGTGGGTGATGGGTGTAACAAGCAATCTAAATTAACAGATTTTTTGCAAAAGAATATATGGATCTGAAGATAATGCAGAACAGATGATGCTCAGAGGATGATATCTTCGGTCAGTAGTGCTCAGCGATGACGAAGAAGGCATTGTTTAATTCATATTAATATTTTAATAAAGATATTTATCTTAATTATGAAAATCTGATACAATGTTTTTTAATTTTCAAAACTTAACCCTCACAATTCCTTATTTCGTATAACTTAGGACGAATTCGCTTAGGACGGCAATTTTTTTGGACGTAACTTCCCGTTTATTTATTTATTTTTTTCTTAATGACCAATCAGTTATGTGATATCCTCTATTCGCGTAACACGGTGACGGTTAGAAAGAAGAGACGAAGGAAAAAGAAATGAGGATTTAATGATCGAAACAGCGACCTGCTAGCACTAACTTGGTGGTCGTGATTCTTACCTACTCGGATATCCATGCGCGGTTATACGGGGTTTGCCCGTATTATGCTGACTACAATGTCTTTTATATCAGTTTCCATCACTTCATCCATCCTTTTCATGCATTCATTACATCCTTTAACATGCATTTTACAATTCATTTGAAAAACTTGCAAAAAATCAACAAAAGTGAATGTTAGTCGGGCCAGGCCGACACCTTACACCATATTGTCTAACCCAATTCTTATTTTTTCATATTTTTATCTGAACTTATGGGACTGTATATTAAAAACAAGGCCTCTTCGTAAATGAAAGATCGAATGGGAATGGGAATGGAGGGTTCTGCCGCAACCAGCATACTCACCAGACATAGCGCTTTTTCACTACCAAAAGATTCAGGATGACTTAATTGATGCGCGATTTCGAAGCATTGAAGAAGTGCAAAATGGTTCGGCGATTGGATTGCTAGACACGGTATCGCCGTGTTTTCGAGAAGATGGGAAAAAGTTGTAGATAATGATGGAAAATATTTTGATTACTATATATATTGCAACAATTTTTCTCAATAAATGCCTTTTTCGAGTGGAAGAAAGGTTCAGAATACATCGAAGCAAGCATCGAAGTGGTTTGCCAAATTGTTTCTTGAGGGGAATTTTTATCATAAAGAGGTATTTCACCTCCGTCGTTCAAATAAAATAATGCTTTTTATCAACTTCGATCGATATACGATGACGGCTTAGAAAGATTTACCATTGATCAGCTAACAATTTCAAAACGCATACGAAAGTTTTTCCTGAAAATTTTTGGAGTTTATGCAAACTTTTTAGGCTGCTATGTAACGTCGAGCCAAGATACCTTTAATATACAATGCAAAGCTGGAGCTTGTCTATAAGGTCAGAGACAATCTTAGCATTAATTTCTTCGCAATATTTCGTATTTGAAATATGCTTGAGTTTCTTACTATAGGTTCAAGCATTGACTTGATATTTGTCTTTGCTATCCACAGATACGATAGGCAAGACGCCTTGATCACCGGTATCAATTGACATATTGAAAAAGAAGAAGAAGAAGAAAATTAGGAAAAGAAAAACTCTATTGTGATATTATGCATGGGGCGGGTGGATGTCGAAGATGCACATCAAGACGAACATGATGTAAATTTTCGTTAGCTCTCTTAAGGGTTTGCATATTTTAATGCAAAAAAAAAAAAATAAATAAATAAATAAAATAAAAATTATTGAGGTGCGATTAATTTAATCGCTATTAATGATAATTAAATTTAATTGCTGTTTTCTTTGCATTAAAAATGCACAATAGGTTACACGAAAAATGGTTAACTGGTCAAGTTCAACGAAAGATATATATATATATATATATATATATTATATGTTATATATATTTATTTGTTATATATATATATTTGTTATTTTTCGTAAAAATGAGTTTAATGTCTATTCAGAAATGGAAAGTGTAATACCGAACACGGTCGACGACCAACAACAATCAGACGAAAGGGATAGCATCGACAAAGAAAGATTCGATAGTCAGCTTAAAATAGATTATAATAACAATGTTAAAAATGGTATGTAAAATAAATTAATAATATCATCATTTTACTTTAATTGATTTAACATTGTATTCAATAATATTTTCATAATTTATTCTATTCAACATAAAGCACTCTTGACCAGCTTAATTTAGCCATGTCCGAGAATCAATTGCTCTGGAAGCTCTGGAAAATTCCATCGTTCCATGAATTAAGGAACTTTAAGAGCTTGAAAGCAATAAATTACCCAAAATAAAAAGTGAAGTTTTAAAGTTCCTTGCCTGATAGTAAAGGAATAGGTGGTGGTAACCGGTTTCTCGTACATTCTTTAAATATGGCTAAGTTTAACCGCAACTTATGAAATTAAAAATGTATCGCTCCTCCTCCTTCCGCTTCTTTATTAGAAGGAGTATCCTTAGCTCAAAGAAGAAAACAAATATCCATACACAGGTCACAAAGTAATGACAGGCGCGTCAACCACGTTGAAGCTGTTCTTCTATAACTGAAATCTGACTCTCACGTATAACCGGCATCACCGTACCAAGACGGCGAAATTACGCTCCCCCCGCCCCCGCTATAAAACATTTTCAACCTCTTCCCAAACCAATAACAATAAATCCGCCTGAATGGCCGACTAGGCCTAGAATTTCGACTAACAATTCAATGGTCGCGGGTTCAAATCTCAAGTGCGATAAAGTTTTCAATAAAGCAGATGACGCTAGTGCTTTAAAACTTTAGTCTTAAAATTTACTTCTCTGACTAAACTAAATATAGTAATGATAATAATAATAAGAGGTTTCAATAAAAGTCCGAGACAACCACAAATACGCACTACCTATCTGACTATCGGGATGAAAGCCTTCTTACCTGACTGCTGGGTATAGACCTTCGGGGAGTATTGTGCTGGCTATGATTACCTCGAAGTTTCGTAGGGAACTATCAAAGAGGTGTTCAGATAGGCCCTGGCGCGTATCAATCAACGAGAAAATGACTGACAGACATTTTCTATTTCGGTACCATAGGAGCAGTGGGGCCCCTTTTAGTGTGGATTGTCCTACTCCTTAAAGGGCACCAGTTATCGTTTGGCAAGAAAACTAGTGTGCCATCGGGCACGTTAGACCTTCACGGTATAGACTCACGTAAAACCATATAAGGAATCAGTACAAACTTATTAACATTAAATGGAAAACTGTTATTTTATGCAGAGAATCGTCAAATGTATCCTTCGTTGGCTACATCGATATTTCGTATTATTTTATCATTTTCACCAATAGATGTCGTTGATCAAAATATATGCACCTATTACGTATGAACTTTCCTTTAATTTGATGTTACATATTTACTTAAGCCGTTTTTGCAATCTACACTTTCCTTTTTTAATACCCACTGTCTCGGTGCTTTTTTTCATCCCTCAGCATTCGGCCGAAACGTGCGCACAATGGATGGTACAATGTTTTTATTCAATGGATTTCGTTTCTTGGGGATTTATATGCCGGAGAAAAACCGTCTCGTCTACTTGCTATGGTCATTTTTAATTAATTCTACTGTTACTATTTATTTACCGGTTGCTTTCATATTAAGTTTTGTAAAAATTTCGGGGGAAGATTTACAAATTGGCAATCTTCTCACGTCCGCCCAGGTGGCTATTAATGTTGTAGGCTGTTCGATAAAAATTATATTAATGGGTTTCCTTTTACCGAAATTGCTGAGTACTGAGAAGTTTTTGAACCGCTTAGATGAACGTTGTAAGACAGAGGAAGAGCTGGCTTCCATTAATAAATTCACAAAACAGGGTAACCGTTTCGTCGTATTATTCTCTGTGGCTTACTGGTCTTACTCGACAAGTACTTGCATAAGTGCGGTTACATTTGGACGTTTGCCATACAATATTTATAATCCCTTTTTCGACTATCATCAATCGATCGGACATTTCATTTTATCAATACTGATGGAAATGACGCTACTTAATGTTGCCTGTTTTCAACAAGTCGTAGATGATTCTTACGCGGTTATCTATGTCAACATATTGAGAACTCATGTCGATTTATTATTGAAAAGAATCAAACGATTGGGCTTAACCGTGTCTAAGTCGCATGAGGAAACCTATGAAGAACTAAAATTATGCATAATTGATCATAAAAATATAATTGAGTAAGTACCTGAAAAATATATATTTAATGAAAATTCTTTACTAAACTCTCCTCTCTTTCGCTTGATCAGAATTTACAATATCGTCTCGTCTATAATTTCTATAACCATATTTGTGCAATTTACAATAACTGCTACCATATTGGGTATAACTCTTATTAATATCCTACTATTTGCGACCAATTTCGCTTCTATAGTTGCATCTTGCTTTTATGTATTGGCCGTCGTCGTCGAAATCTTTCCGCTCTGCTATTATACGCAATATTTAATGGACGAAAGTAATCTTTTAGCTGAAGTGGTATTTCATTCCAACTGGGCGGAACAACATTTGCCTTATCAGAAAATGTTGATTTTCTTTATGCAACGCTCGCAACGTGTCATGGAATTCACCGCCGGCAAATTATTTCCCATAACATTAAATAGCTTCTTGAGTGTAAGTGAAACAAAAACAAATAATAATAATTAAATTTTATCCTATTTTCAGATCGCGAAATTTTCCTTCTCATTGTATACATTTATCAAGGAAATGGACATTAAAGAGAGATTCGGTTTAAATTAGTGGCAATATCTGCTACAAAAAAAAAAAAAAAAAAAAAAAAAAAAAAAAAAAAAAAAAAAAGGAAATTATATAAATTATATTCGGCGCGATTTCAAGAAAATATGTTAAGATCTCCTCTTCACTCGATAAGCTAATTATATATACAATATCGTCTGTCATACATAGTTTTATTAATGAAAAGAATCGAATCAGTAGCGAGCCATATGTCCTGTGTAGATATGTAGATAATTATGGAAATGGGAAGAGGGTTTGGCATTATTCCATGGTACATCTCAAACCCATATGTGACTCTTACTTACCTAACTTATGCTAATGTGCAAATGTCTTAAATATATTTTCCCATCTGTACGCAGACGACGTGAATTATGTCTCATTAGATACTCCATACTACAAAAAGAAGGATAGCTCTAGCATAATCACCAACATTAGATGTAAAAATATGCTTAAGACTTCTATATATGGACACTTTCGATGGCGTGAATGTAGAAGAATCCACTGTTCTTGAAGTTCTGGGTGTATAAATACAAAATTCACATTTGACAGAATCTCGATAAAAGTTTTTTGAAGCAACCGCACCAGATCTTCACGCCTTTTATGCCGACTACATCTGACCAAGATTAAAGTGCAATTCGCATGTATGAATGGGAGCACACCGATGACGAGGGTGCGTGTAATTTCGTTCTCAACACCCTCGGTTCTTTTCAACATCGTAGCGGCATGGGCTGCGCTATACTTACGCATGAGTACCTCCAGGCCAAGCTATGTACGGAGTCAAAAGAGATTTGTCCTTCAATCAAGTTCTTTAACAGAACTACTTAGCTCTAGTCGTCCCGTCATTGCTAATAAACCGCACGATTCTGTTGTTCTGCCTGCCTAGGAAACCACCTAGGCATGAAGTGATCTTGCCAACCAATCCGGGGGTTTCTACTTGCTAGTCGAGCTGGTCAATACTACTCACTTTTTCGTTCCCTATCGACCTACAGTCCTCCTTCACGTTCAAGGTATATAGAAGCTATATCCCGAATGGCTGCTTAAATATAAAGAAAAGGCAGCTAAACAACAACCGCATGCAGGTTACTTATCCCTTATGAAAAGAGCAAAGCAATTTTTCATCTTTTGTTTTTTTTTTTTAAACCCATTTCCGAAGGATGAGATTTATATTTGTGTTGTCAAATTATTAGCAGGTAAATGTTGTATAAACATTGCTATAAAAGAACGAAAGTCATGTGTTTGTCAGCGCTGGAAAATAGAGACTTTATTCTTAATAAGAGTTATAAAACATGCCATTTTCTTTATTTAAAAACTGGAATATATGAAGTATTACATTATAAATGGATTTCACGTATGTTAAAAAATTTTGCTAATGTCTTCATATTGTACATTATTAACGACGCGACCTTTCAAAGGACCTTTGGAAATTTCTATGGTGACACAATAGTTCTTTTCGTCCAATTTGCGCAATATAGCTTCTGAGCCACGATAAGCGCCGTTAACAACCAAAACGGGTTTATCTAAAGCAGGTATAACAGTTTCCAAATGAGCCTGATCTACTTTAACTTTTTCTTCAGTCTCCAGAAATTTTACTTTCGCCCGGTATTTATCGATAACACCTTCGACAACCGCCTTTTGCTTGTAAAATTTATCTCCTAAAGATTTACTAATGAATTTTACTACAATTCCCTCATGCAGCCAATAGTCCTTACGATTCGTTCTTTCCTTTTTTCGCTCTTCGATTTTTATGATTTCGTCTAAAGCCGAAGTAGTTATTGGCCCTTCTTTACGTCTTCTTTCCAGTTTCGTAACTTTAGGTTTTTTAAAGACTTCGTCATCATCGTCATTGGGATTTTCTGACTTATGTTTTGCAGGTGTTTTAAGTAAAGCAGATGCTACGAATTTTGCTTCTGGTTGAAATTTCTTCTCCAGCCGTATTTCAAGCTTTAGAGGTTGATCTTCTTCGCGCTTCAATTCTGTAAATTTTTCTTCTTCCTCCGTTTCATTATGTTTCTCCGATTCTTTTCTTTTTTCTTTTTCAATTTGCTTTTCTATGAATTCCATCATACGCTCTTCATCATCTTTTTCCATTTTTTCTTTACGTTCCGCATTAGCTTGACGTTCCATCGCTTCAGGACTTCGATCAATGTAGGTAACAAACCAACCTTTTTCAGTTTCATCGGCTATTACCTGTCCGGTGCGACCCAACCATTTAACGTAATCTGATAACGTTAACCATCTAGTGGCATTCATGTGTATGTGATTTTTATCGGCTATGTACTCTTGATACACTTTGTTTGCATTAACACGTTTAGTACCAAAACGACGTCTCAGTAACTCCATGTATCCATCTGAGAACTCTTTAGAGAAGCTGTATAAAAACTTTCCAGGTGAGTCTGCAAATAACAATAGCTGCCTTTGATGAGATTCACTCATGGTGTGACATTTGAAACCGTTTTCATCGCGACATTGTTTCTCACACATTTGACAATACCACCGTAACTTTTGCAATCCCTTAGCCTTCATTTTATTGGCCAAGTATTTGGGAGTTCCAACCTCAGCACGACCCATTTTTTATTAATAACTATATCCGCGCAATGTAAAATAACTCTTCAATAAAAAATGAATCGGAACGTAAACAAGTCAAAGCTTTATATATAATACTTTCATCACTTGATTAAAAACATCTGTGAATTATAGTAAAGAGTATGCACAAGCGTTGCCAGCGTAGGAAATTATCTAGAATGCAAAATTTAGTAATCGAGAGTTACTACACGAAAAATAATTTAATTTTGCATATATTTATCTCTAATAGAAAAAATACAACTCTGCCCCCAATCAATATTTCGTGCGCGTTCTCTTTAAAATTGTGGAGCAAATTCGGACAACTTTAATTAAAAAGAAAGTTTATTTTTTAACTATTTTTGCCCATAAAATAATGTGTGTTAGTTATAAAGTTGAAAGCAAGGTAATATTTAAAAGATAACACGTATGATAAATGCCCTGAAACGCTGAAACAACTAACATGAATGTAAACTTGTTTTGTTTTGCCTTCCAGAGGATTCAGAGGATTTGCTAAAATGATTCTCTTCAGCGTTATTGATGTGAAAAAAATTAGGAAAAATGAAACGTGAAATTGATGCATTTTTCATATAATTCTAGAGAGTTTTAATATCTACTTCATGAAAAATCGTGCGTGTCCTCGTGGTTGCGGTAGTGCGTTCCATTTTTGTTACTGGTTGCAATCCAAAAGATAAATTTTCTTGCCTTATCGAAAGGGCGAACTGTTTTTTATGAAAGAAAATGTGAATTTGTTTATGCAACTAACGGTATTTATTAAGCGAAAAAGAAACTAATTTCTTGTTGGAAAGGAGAATTATGAAAATAGGAGAAAATTCTATTCAATTAATTATCATATCTATAAATTTAGAAAAAAAAAATATTAAAAAATAAACAATATCGAAAGAACACGATATAAATCGCATGTTACGAAAGTAAAAACGTACCATGAAACGTAAATGAACTAACAAACAGCGGTAATGAGTTCTTTTGTATACATTTCTAAAAAGGAAAAAGTAAAATAAACTATTTTATTTGGAAAATACGGCGAAGAGCAAAAATTAAATAAGAGTAAAAGATGAAATTTGATAAATTGTTATGAGAAGCTATAAAACTTAAATCGGATATTTTTAAATGATTTACAAGGGTGCTAAAAACCCAAACACTGGCTGAAAGAAATTACGAATACAGGTAAGTAAACTTGTTGCTGCTCAGTGTAGAATACAGCCTACTTGCCTGCACTCATATTACGAACTTCGAACGTAATCTTACATAACTATTATCATATTGTTGGGCCTTCCATTATGCTTTGACTTGTTATTATTCCCAGATTAATCCAAATGATTGCTCCAAAGATTAAGAAACCAATTAACCGCGATTGTATTATGCGTGTTAGTAGTCTTTTTTCCTCACTAATGGCACAACAATAAAACGACACTAACTAGAAATTTAAGGCAGGGCGCTAACTAAATCTACCGTTACATTGCAATAGGTGGAAACCAAAGTATATTGTTTTGCAATATTGTTTTGCAATATACTTTGGTTTGAACAATATTTTGAATATATTATATAATCTGTATATAACACCTTTATACATGTATATAGTACTTTTCTTGTTTCCATGTACAGCATAAAATTCGAATATTTTTTTTAAATGTTGGATAAATTTCGGCTTTTTCGTTTACGGCACTCTATAGGCATTTGCATATTATGGTGATATTAATTGGATCGACACGAACATTTTTTTTTTTTTTTTGGATGTTGAGTTAAGATGGACCAAGTCAATAAATTTTTGTCTTATATATAGACAAATTTTTATGACAATTTTTCTTTTGTTGTTGTACAAGAGTTAGGGAAACGTAGACTTCTTCTATCGCCCTTTCGCCCTTAATTGCTTAAACATTGAAATCATTTTAGAAAAAAGGAGAAATTTTTAAAGTCAATTCAAAGATATACAGTCTCAGCTGTATCATTATATCTGCTTGTGCGAAGTATCTAAAATTCGTTTCAAAGAAATTCTTATCATTTGTTTCTTTCATAATAATTTTGCAATTTTTGTTAACACATCGGGAATGTATATATGTATGAGTTTTAGCATAAATTTGTAATTTCATTATCAGTTAATGGTGTGACTAAGCGCTTGCCTTTGCTTAATAAATAAATATTTTTTATTTTTGTTTTTTATATAGTTAACATACGTAATTAATATTATAGCAGAAAATATGTTTTTGAATAATTGATTGATATGTCAAAGATTAGATGATCAATAGGAAAAAACCAATTGTAAACGGAAGGGTTTATTGTTTATAAAGCGGAGGCGGAGATGTACAGAATCTACAACAAATTGGTGTAAACAATAACAAATCACATGCTTTTTTGCCATTTTTGAATTTGTTTAACTAAATTTTAATTCTCTTTTCGTTTGGACGCAGAACGGTTCCATTATCTTATCGGAGATGGTGGAAATATTCATGCAGTTACGAGTATGTGGATGCTTTCTTTCTAATATTATTATTAATTAAGAGTAAATTGATCTCATTGCTAGGACAATAGTCAGAAAAGTTTATTTAAAGTAATTAGGAAAATAAAAACTAACACATTCCTAATACTTATCCTATTTATACTTAAAAAAGACAGAAGTTGTTATCCTTTTCAGTTTCGAAAGTCTTTACAGCTAGTTATAAATTTTGGATTGCCATCACTGGCTTACTGTCGTATCCGAATATATTAGACTTAGATTCGTCATTAAAAATTACGTTTTTCCAGAAATTTTATATCATGAATTTTATAGAGTTTTGCAAACTCGAAGCGCTTATAAATGGTTTTCTATCGAAATTATTGGCTTTTGAAACATTTCAAAAGATTTCCCGTTTGCCAATTAATTAACAAGGCGAAAATTATTGGAATCAGTTCATGATTGGAGGCGAAAAATAGTTTATATAAAATAATATAATGAGAAGAAGAAACTAAAAGCATGAAAGTGAAAGTGGCAAGAATGATGAAGTGATACCTGAAGATATAACTGAGAGATTGTGGTGACATTGCGGAAAAATAATCTTTCTTTTTTTGTAAGCTCCTTCCATGTGGTCAAGCGAGAATCGCATAGAAATATTGTGGACTGGTTACCCAACTCAATGTTGAAATCAAAAAAAATGAATAAAATCGTTAATCTATCAGTCAGAAAGCCATCATCTTTCTTCATACCAACGATGGGCTCGCTTAAATGACGTTGCAGAAACTTGGAGGATTGCGGTAGTTTATTCCTACGCTATACTGTGCGCAGTAATTTGAACTATAAAATGTTAGTTAATATAAAATAACTGGAAGTACTTAGTAAAAGACAGAACAGGATCTTTTCCGGAAAGAATATATTCAAAGACTGCACCCTTAAATGTATTCTCGCAACCAGCCAAATAATTAAGATTTCTCGCATTCGGTTCTACACAATTTTAACCTGTTCTTTTAGGTCACCTTGTCGATCCAGTTTGTGAGTAATCGTAACTATTTTATGTATGGGCCTCTTCATTGTCTTTTCTCACAAATTTTTCTTTTTTTTGTGTATACATCGCGTTCGATGAGATTCGATCCGTAAATCGGAGAAATCGGGATATCATACGACAGCGGAACTATATTTCTAGCATATATCATATGCAGTATATAATTCTAATTTTACTTCGTAAAATTATTTACTAGGCGTTGCCCAATTAAAAGAAAACTGTGATTTGAAATACAAACAATGCTTATTAAATAGATAGGCCTTTGTTTCTATTAAATATCAAATAGAAGCAAGTGATTTTTTATCATTAGTTTTCATAATTACCTGTAAGGTGCTGCCAAGTCATATGAAAATATGATTTGCAATACGATACACGCAGTAAATCAGCGAGTAAATTTTCGTTCTGGCTTAGAGTCAAGTATAAAAAGCATTCCAGCGGTGGCTTTTAAAAAACTTCGTCTTAAACCGAAAATCAATTTTTTGTTCTTCATATTGGGGAAAGTAAAACGGTATTGCATATGAAGAAGAAAATACCGCAAGCCCACGTCTACCAAATCACGGAGGTCCTCACGTAGCTGACAGTTGGCTTTCAGCGCTTTGCACGGGAAAGCGAAAGCCAGACTTTCCATATGCGACCCGGTATAAGTGTAACGGCTACAAATTACAGCCGTATTATTAATTGACCAATTGAATGCAAACTTTTGGTATAAACCCACCCGTAAATGCAATACTTTTTGGTTCTTTTTGTTTTTTTTTTTTTCTCTAAAAATTTTGCTAACAAAACTACTTTTGCCAATTATGGCTATAAAAACAAAAAAAATTAATGAATGGAGTTTTTAAAATAAATGCGCAGGGCATGCAAAAGACCATATATCACTATCACTTGAAAAATTTATTTGTAATAATTAATAAACAATTAAATATTTATTTAAAATTCCTAGGAAAAAAAAATTATGATAATAACTATATAAAAATATTAGTCGTGTAGAACCGTTAACTGCTTTCAATAATATCGAACATCTTTGCTTAATTACAAGTCAATAACATTTCTAAATATTCAATTCATTATTTTTAATTCTATATAAATACAAATAAAATTACGTTTGTATCCTATTTGTAAAAACAATTACACGCGTTCTTCGAAATGAAAACGAGCTCACCATCATGACTTCGTTGTGTATGTTGTGTTCAAAGTTTTGATTTCAATAAATATTTATAGAGACATGCTTTGTCATAACAACTATTATATGTTTCTTAATTATTTAAAATTAATTAAAATACTTTAATGCACTAATTTAAATTCGTTGTTTGTCGACTACCATGAAAATATTGTTAATAAATTTTTTTTTTTATAAATAAAATAACTTTTTTTTTTTTTCAAAAAATGTACTTATACTATTTTGATTCTCAAGTTTTGTTCAACTTTTTTAAAATTTTAAATTTATTTAATTCTTAATGTTTAAGTAATTCTAAATGTTTGGCTTCAGTTTAGTTGTTGTTGGTCAGTGCATAATCGACTTGAGAAAATCTGCAAATACACAAGAGAAACAAGAACATAGCCATTTATCCATACTTATATATATATATATATATATGCATATATAATGAAAATTTAATAGAGTTGATTTCTTCTTTAAAGCAAGTTAAGCAATTAATTCACTTTGAGACCTTAGCAATTATAGTGAAAGTTAAAAATATTTACAAATCAAGTTTAGAGGTTTAACGTTACCCGATCGGATCAATGGAGTAAATTTCACGTAACTCAACGCCCCAAAAAACTGTGCATTTTGAATATCAATTCGCAGTTACCTTTTATGAATTTGAATGTCAACAACAGGTTAGACGTCTGCCAGTGTGACTCTATGCATTTTTTACGCTTAAGCTGAAGGACGCTAGTTTTTAGGTGAAAACCGTGCCAAGGATGAGTAGCATGGAAAGTCGATTTAATCGATTATCCCCATATAACAATGTATTAGTATTTTAAAAAAGTTATTCCGAAATAATGTAATGATTTGTTTTATCTGACTATATTTCATTTTTTTTTTTTTTTTTTTTTTTGTTAACCCCAACTATAAACTCTATTTGATCTTTTATTATTATTATTATTAATTTAATTAATTTAATTATTATTATTAATTTCTAAGATTAAAGTTTTAAATCTTTATTAAAAATTCTGCCGCATTTGGGATTTGAACCCACGACCATTGAGTTGCTAGTCTAGTCTAAGCTCTTATCGATCTCTTAAGCCCAATTGTTTGCTTTGAGGAAACTATTACTTTACTTTTATCTTTTCAAAACGTTCCTCACGACAATAATGACAATAAGAAAAGTAAGACGTTTCATAGCGTAAAAATAATAATAAAAAAAAAGTAAATCAAAAAAGACTACAAAATATTTCTTTAAAACAAGATCGCGCTACTCACCTTTTCAATCGATTATAAGTGTGGCTACATACAAGTATGAATGTACAGCAGTCTTTTTTATATGAAGTAGTGTTTTGGGGAAGGGGGAGTGGATGGATTGTTTATGCGCACATGTGCTTATGGCTAACTTTGACATTGCTTGCAATTAATGTGAAAAGTTTAAATACTCTCTCGCTATAATATTTTTCTGCTCGGTTCGTCTGCTGTATTGTTTCAATACTTTTTATTATTTCTAAGATAAGCTTTTTGTTTAATATGCTCTTTCAAACAACTATTATCGGCTGCCCTCTGCAGGCAAATGCGTTCTTTGCGTAAAACAATGCATTGCATTTGCGCTATATTGAAGAATAGTTTGCCAATTGTTTTGGCATCGTGATCGTTGGCCATTTTTAGGCAGGTGCGAAAACGCCTATCACAACTGCAATGCGACAACGTGTAGGGACGATAATTAAATAAATCATAGCGATTGCTCATTGCATTTATGTAAACTTTGCAGTGGTCATGCTTACGGCAACATTTATCAGTCGATGAAGCACCACCAAGGTAATTATAGGTATTGTTCGCATTGTTACCGCGACCACACCAACGTGTATTCGGAGCGATCAACCAATCAGCTAATTCTCTACGCTGCCGTTTAGCGTGCAAATCACTTCTGCTGCTCATTTCAGTGGTTGCATTTTTTGCCGAATTGTATATTGCTTTGTAATCATTATATTGTTGTTGTTGTTGAGCCACCAAATAATTGTGCTTGGTCTTGTAGCTTTTGTCGTTGTTGCCATTGCTGTCTTGTTTATTATAGACAAAAACTACGTCATCGTATTTATCATACGATGTATGATGTCGTAAGTTTAGTTGACGACTGCTACTACTACTACTACTACTACTACTACTACCACCATCACCTATGCGGCGATTCACTATTATGTTATTGTCGTCGTTATTGTGATTACTGTTCTTACTGCTTAGGTAAGTAACAGCATTTTGCTCCGTTGGTAAGTTTTCATTTATCTTCTTGTCATAAATATTGTTGTATATAGATTTTGGCAGTTCTATGGCATCCCATTGATCAGTTACTGTATATTCTGGGACATTAAATGACAAAACTTGTGGAATTATTAATGCGTTAATTAACGTAATCGTTAGCTTAAATAAATGCTTGTTAAGCATTTTTCCAAAATTCATTTATTTCACAATATAAGTCAATTTTCAGTTATAATTAGAAAAACTTCTAAAGTTTCAACGCTGAAAATTCTTGTCTCGCCCCGTTTATGATACACTTATGTCGGCACAATTTCAACAATTTCACTTGAAAAAGCGGTCTTAACAACTTAACAACTCAGAAACAAATAATAAATATTATAACGTATTATTACTTTTATAAAATAACGTACATTTTTTACGCAAGTTTTGCGATACAAAATTCACACAAGAAAATTCAATTTCAAAGTAAAATTTACTTTCCTGTCTTTGCTGTACATTTCTTATGGATACTCCGCAACAACGCAGAGAACAAAATTCATTTCGCAGAGTAAAATTTCGTTGCACGACTTCTCATTACTCACGAATTGAAACGTGAGCGATGTGAGCGATATTTTCAACTTAGAATCACTTGGTTGTTATTGTTGTAAAATTTCATTTTTTTTTTTTTTTTTTTTTTGTTTTTTCATTTGCCTCGGGTGAGGACTGCTTTACTTTACTCTCATCTGAGCATATTGAGAAGAGTTTTTTTTTTTCACTTGTTATTGGCGAATTTCACTCTCAAAAGAGCATCCATAAGAACACACAGCAAAGCAAATTTTACTATTTTATTTGTGGTGAAATTAATATATATATGCGTGCGCGTTTGCTTCGTTTCGTGTTTCATGCTACGCTCTATACCCTTCAAACATTAGCCTGAGTTTATTGGAGCGTATATTGTACAATATTTTTGAACTGGTTTAAGTTCGGGGGATGCTAATATTGCGTAAATACAATAACGTCAAAAGGGTCATTATAAATGCGATTTCAGTATGGATCCACTATACGGGCTATTAAACATGATAAGTTATTTTCATTTACACAATTATTCTTATTTTCAATTGAAATTCGGTTTGCACATCTATACCTCAAAGCGGTCACATTAGCAAGATTCAGTTTGGCTCCAAATTCCACGACAACGATGACTCCTCTTCAAATATTTGTTTGCTAGAGAAGTTTATTACCTTTTAATCTCTTCTTTCTTCTCGTTTAATATTTTCTCTAAAGCGTCGTCTAAATCGATTCCTTACATGTTCCTTACGGCCACAGTCCACCACGTCACTGTTATCTATTCTTAGTTTGATAAAAGAAAACAGAGTTTATCTTTTAGTCAATGTTATTTTTGGATGGATTTTCAAACAAACCTCAGGTCTATAGTAAAAGTGTTTGACTTAAATATTCACCTCCTGACACGCCCCTATCAATGAAATTATATTCAAATTGTTTAAAATGTACTGCATTGTGAATATAGTTTTTTCTTCGCCCAAAATGAGTCCAATAGACAACTGCTTACGTGATTAGTTCCTATAAGAATATAAGAAAAAATGATGGCCCTAACTGTTAAATCTATCAATCATTTTCAAGTTAGATCAGCAAACTTTGATGAAAATTCCCTTTTCCACGAAAAATACATAGTTGGGCAACCCTTAGTATGACGCATAGCAGCCTATTGTACGTCATAACACAAAAACAACGTAAACAAAAATCGATACAATTCGCTAAAAATACAACTTTTTTTACGTGAATTTTTCTAGGATTTTTACAAGAGCATTTTTTTTTTTACCACGATTTCTTGTACAGTTATAAAAAATAAGAACAATTATAATAATAGGAAGAAATTAAATTTGATAAAATATGCACAGTTTAGGGAAGACACCAGCAACACCAGCACAGAGGCAATCACAACAATTTCGGCAGCAGCCAACTCCGCCTACTGATATACAACAGAGGCAACAGCGTAAGGGGGATGAGAACATTAAAAAAGAAATGATCCGACAGCCGCCCAATAGTTTGCCATTGCGTAGCGATAATTTAACAATAACAAATACAAGATCTAGCTCTTTGGAAGATCACACAGATCCGGATGGGCGTTATCTATGCGCTATATGTATTAATTGGTTAAACGAACCGGTCTTAACTTCGTGCGGTCATCGTTTTTGCAAATCCTGCTTAAGCTCTTGGCTTGGCCCCGAACGACAATGGTGCCCAATGGATAATGAGAAAATCAGCGGCGATCAAGATGTATTTCCGGATAACTTTACGCGACGCGAAATCGAGCAAATTAAGTTAAAATGTCCCAATGCCAATTTGGGTTGCGATTTGGTGGCGTCACCAATCGAAGTGGAACGTCATCGTTACAATTGTCCATATCGTACTAATGAGGATTCTGCTGAGGAGAAATGCCCATTTGCTTCTATAAAATGCGATTTTGTGGCACGTCCTGAAACGAATGGCTTAGAGGTACATCTTAAAGAAGAAATGGCTTTGCACATGCAATTGCTGCTTAAAGCTTTTCAGCAAACGGCCATATCGACTTGGAATCCTCAAAAGCCAAAAAAAATTGCAGTACAAACTAACGGTTATACTGAGAATCCACAATTACCGCCTCCTCCACCTCAATATGCTAATGGAGCCGAGGAACAACTTATACAAGCGATGTACCAACGTATCGTAATTTTAGAGCAACGATCCTGTGAGCAGGCAGTAAAAATTGAAAATTTAACCAAACTATTGCAAAATCAGCGGCAACAAATCGATCCACGCTACAGTGGCGGTACCATACTTTGGGAAATTATAAATTTTCAAAAATTGATAGAACATTTGCGCGCCAATGCCAATAATTTGGTGTATTCACGCGAATGCTTTACTTCACCTTACGGATATAAGTTCTGCGCTCGTTTGAATATACAACCGAAACATCAGCACTTACTTAGCTTGCACGTGCATCTAATGCAATCCGAAAATGATTATCACCTGGATTGGCCATTTAACGGACGTATAAAACTCTGTATGATACATCCACGAGATGCGAAACTCTCACAACACGATACCATAATGACGAAACCAGAAATTTTAGCATTCCATCAGCCTCGTGAACGGATCAGTACGCGTGGGTTCGGCTTTGTCGAATACGCAAATGTTGGGGAAATTATAAAAAAAGGCTTCTGCGAAGACGATCGTTTGGTTATAAAAATCGAGATAAACATTGTTTAAAAGGAAAAGAGAAAGTAAAGAAGAAGAAAAGCCACAATTAAAACAAAAAACTAATTGCAAGATGCGGTCTAAAGTCTTCCAGTACATTTCGACGAAGGAGGAAGAAGGAGGAGGAGAATAAACCGTGAAGTAAACCAGACGAAAGGAACTAATTACAGGAAGTTTTGTATACAGATAGAAAACAAACACATGAAAAAAACCTTTAGAGAAGAGCTTTACGTAAAAAACTAAAAAAAAAAAAAAACGAAAGCATTTTTAAAGATAATGCATCATAAGACAATGTAATGCATTTATCGCAAACTCGCTTAAGCAAATCTATTCCTCATTTCACACTATCTGTCATAAGTATATTTATGTTAATATAAATTCGTTGAATCCATTGCGTCCATTTTTATATGAATAGTTGAGTTTTAGTTTTATAAGCTTAGAATTTGTTATACACATATATATGCAATTATTTGTATTTATTTATTTATTTTTTTTTTTTTTTCTGTTTTCCGCTTTATCCTACCACCACCGAAGAACGACAATTGCCGCGTACACTCAAACTTGTTTTTGTGCGTTTATGCGGTTCCTATTCATCGCATAAAAAAAATTCCTTTTTATAGCTACACTCGAATCCTTTCTTGTGCGTTTATGCGGTCCCTATTCACCGCAGACCGTACAAAAACCAATGCGAATGTGCATTTGTCTCTCCATCCGTCTTTTAAAAAGAAGCACATAAAATAAGATAGAATGCTGAAACCCGGCACACTTAGCTTTGAATTGAATTCAAAAAATAAAAAAAAAAAAACAGTTTGTCGATCTGGTTATAAACAGCGTAATCAAGTCTCAAATTGAAAAATTCTTCTCTTTTTCTTTTATATATTTTGAAAAATTCGCGTACAGAAAGAACTATATAGAAGCGATGTCGAATATATATCGATGCAAGATCGTACAAAGGATGCAGAAGCAAGACTAAGTACTCCCAACTATCGGAGTCAAGCAATTAAAATAGATATGAATGCGTAGCTTGTCTCAAATTGTCTTTCAAGATCTTTAGAAATTTTGAATGAAATTGATTTCGATCGGTTCTCTCTGATAGGCTCGTAATTAATGAAAAAATTTTGCGAGGTGGTAGGTAATCCAAATTCGCCGTAAGGCGTATATAGCTTTGTTAATGAATTAATGAATTAATTAATTTCATAATATATTCTCAATGTTCTTGTGTATCCTTAATCTATGAATAAGTGTTTTATGTAAAAATAAACGTTTATTTTATTAGCATTCCATTGAAAAATGCGTTATATCGTTTTTTGTTTTGTTGCAAATATTAGGTCGAGTCATAAGTAATTTTCGCTTAAATTGTTTTCATTGAATAACAATATTGTAATAATTTAACAATTGATTGCCAGCTAATCAATCTTTTTGAGTGGCGTGGATTTTGCTTTAATATTGCCCTCAAAGTCGGAATTACGTCCTATCTTGAAAGGTCGTATCTCTAGATCGGGAATTTTACCAACCAACGTCTAACTGCCCAATCAGTTATCAGCCCTTCACCGTATACAGTGCATATTTTTTCAGATGTCGCTTAAGCGCTATTGCTTTCTTTAAGTTCCCAAAGCATTACATTACACACTTTTAGACTCCCCATTTGAGAGATTAAGAACAGCTGAATGTAACACGCACCGCATAAAACAATTAGCAGAAGACTGAAGACTGACTGAATCGTCGATCTATATAGTGAGAATAAGAACTCGTTTGTTCGGTGACTTATAGTGAGTAAATACGAACAATAGGTTTTACTTAACTGCATCGTACCTTACTTATGACCCGACTTAATATCTCGATAAAGTCGCTCTTACAAGAGTAGTAGTAGTAATTTAACAAAAGGCATTTATCCTAATTTAACAGCCGCCTGATCTTTCTGTGTCGAGTCATTACTTAATTTATTATATTATAAATGAATATATATAATAAATTAATATAATAATAAATTATTGATTCGGTAAAGACAATTAATATAAATGGGTTTTGCTGGTGAGGGGACCTACCTATTCGCCTTGTTGGTTATGCCATATGTAATTTCTGTCTTATAGCATTGATTCGTCTTACGGTATTATTATTGTAGCTCCAGCGTTCCCCAAAATTTCTGAAAAATTGTCGCAACTTGGCAGCTAACATATGTCAACCGAAGAATTTTCATTTGCTAATTAATAAAATAAGGGCGAAGATTAATCATTTAAACATAGTTATTAAATAATTTTGACAGCTTAACTGGGGATTTTTTAAAAATTATGTAAGCTTAAGATTCAAAAAGAGGTTCGAAATCGTTTTTTTTTTCTTATGTTTTCAATAAATTAGAATTTTTTTTTTTATTTCTCTCTCTAGACTTTTTCTCCTTTCTTTACAGGTTTGAAAGTACCATAGAAACGGAAAAAAAGAACTTCTGGTAAGTCATTCTTCAAATGTTTTGGTTTATATTAGGCGATTATATCGAATATTTTTATTAAATAATACTTGGAAAGATATCCGGTAAATCACCCGACAAACCTATATACATGCTAAGATGCTTACATCTTGTTTTAATGTATGCATCTCTTAGCTGGTTTCCTTATTAATTAAATTGTTCATTGTCATTTTTACGATTTTCAATGACTATGGGTATCACAGGTTGTATTTCAAATATTTGTTTTTCTAATGCTGCGTCATGGGTGCGCATATGAGAGTTAAGACCGCCCGAATGAGCAAAACCCTTACCGCATACTCTGCATATGTGTTTACGATCTTTGGTATGCAATAATTTGTGTACTCTCAAGGCTTTCTTACGTTGAAATGTCGAGCCGCATATATCACATTTAAAAGGTCTTTCACTTGTATGCGTAACTGCATGAACGTTTAGATCATGAAATGAATAGAAACTTTTACCGCATACCTCACATTTGGCGGGACGTTCACCGGTATGCCGACGCATATGGGCCGTAAGGACACCACGATCGCGACAACGTCGTCCACATATTTCACATATAACTGGCATTACGCCGGTATGAGATATCATATGAGACTTTAACTCTTTATCGGTGAAAAAGCTGCGATCACATTCTTGACACTTATGGGCTTTTATGCCAGTATGACGTATTTTATGACGCATCATATTACCAGTCTGAGTAAATGGTTTACCACATATATCGCAAAATATTCCTGTATGCTTCCACTTATGGCCACGCAAATCACGAGCCGAACGAAATATTTCTTGGCATTCATCACATTTGTGTTCGATTTTAGGTTCTTTGCTTGTTCTTTTTTGCATTTTATTTGGATTGTGAATAGTGTACTTGTGCTTCTGCAAGCTACATTTAGAGCTATATGAACGATTGCATATATCGCATGGAAATGTCAAATCAAAGTTGTCGTCCTGTTCAGCTTCCGACTGAAAGAAGAAATTTTCGCATAATTTTCAACTAATGTTCGCAAATTAAAAAAAAAAAAAATTACAATTTCATTTCGCCTTTCATCTTTTTCTCGTTCATCTGCAATTTTTACATTATCTTTGGTATTATTAATTTTTAGAAGGAGATCTTCCGAATTTTTTTCTAAATTTTGTTCATTTTGTTGTGATACACTTTCTATAACTTCGATTTTCAATATAAATCCATTCCCTTCATTAATGTCTAGTCTTTTCAATGATTCTGCTTCAATTTGTTGGTCTTCATCTGCGAACTCTTCTTCGTCAAGCAATTGCTCTTCTTTAATCGGGTCACCAATGGGATCAACCTCTTTACTTGGCATATTATCTAACCATCCATCATCTTTCGCTAATTTCGCTTGACGCTTCCTTTCCAATTCTTCCACATTAAGTTCCTCCTCTGCCAGTGTTAAATGTTGCACCTGAAAGTGACTAGCAAATTGTTCCAAATGCATTTTACTGCCGCACAAACTGCACGTAACGTTGTAAACGGTTGGGGTTTTGCAAAATATTTCGCCACATTTAAAATTATCATAAATGTCGCACGGTTTTAATAACTTCAACATTTTCTTTGAAACGCGAATTAAGGAGAAAACGGTAAATTATTTGTTTATAAAAAAATTATTACGATGCTGCCTAGTTTTAATATAACGTGGAAAAAAAAAACCAAAAAAGTGCTGTCAATTCCTGTTAGCAAAACACTAAACTTCCACGAAAATTCCTATTAGATAAAAAAACGCAAGTGTGACCACTTGGAATGAATTCTTGACATCACGCGTACCGCTTAAGAGAAATGCTTAAAACTCATAAAGTGTTTAATTAATCCTGATCATGTCAACAAACCGATCGAACCTTCTTTATTTCAATACAAGTTCAGGGCTGTATTTGTCAGCGGATCATGTCCGATAAGTTTTTAAAATTGTCTTAATAGGCGATTGCTGCCGGCTTTCAATTAATATTTGCAACGAATTATGAGATCTTTTATCAATCAATCAATCAATTAAGAATATTTATGCAATTGTTTACGCGAAAAGGGAGAGAAAAAGATGAACACACAGAGCAGTAAATGCTATCATATTCCCGTACTTGAAAAAATGGCCTTTATGATAGTTAGTTTTTTATAGGCCAAACAGAATTTGAAAAAAAAGTAAAAAATTTATATAAAACATTTAAGTGCTCCTGGCTTTGAAATATACTCTGATGGGTGAAATGTATATGAAATATAAATGCAATTCAGATCTTAAAAATAGACTTCCCCCCTTTTCTTGAGGCCTATTCATCATTCCTGAATGAAAAGCTCATATTTTTATTAGCCAAAAACATCTTATCATCGTAGCCACTAGTTAAAATGCTGCCAAATTTCAAAATTTATCTTGAGTACAAAGATTGTCAATGCGACCAAATAAATGAATGCTGAACAATTCAAATAAAATATTATATTATCCCATTTTCTTTCTTTGGAATACCGTAAAAGTTAGTTTAACATTTGTCTTAAATCATTTCTAATTTCAATTGTATTTAAAAAGAAAATGAAATTGTGTCTTATTGTTTATTGTATAAATTTAAGATAACCATGAGTGTTCTAAACTTAATTATAAATCTTGATCCAATTACAAGTATTCTTAAACTATAATAAAAGAACAAAAAATAGAAAATAATTATTTTATGTTAAATTACTTCTTCTTAGTACGTTTACGTTTCTTATCTGAACCATGTATACCCTTTTTACTTCGTGTAATGCAAACACGACAAAACCAATCTTCATTATCCTTGGGAGCCACAACAATGCCCACGCAAACCCTAGGTTTCAAAATTCAAATTCAATAATTTTTCAATAAGAAATTACAAAGTATTTAAATTCATACCAATGATACCAAGCATCACAACCATCACAACCAATCATAGGAGAGCCATCGTCAACTTTACCGCAGGCCGGACAAATCCAAACACGATTACCCTCGGCATCCTTTATAGAAATTTTATATCAGTTAATACGTTTATAATTCAAAACAAGAATGATGGATATAGAAACTAACATAAGAGCAATGCATCCTGTTTCAAATAGATAGTGTTATGCATTATATTTGATGATTTGTATATTAGATTCGATATATAGACACTACTTTATTATATTGACATTAGGCTTAGAGATTCTCAGGCATCAAGTCTTTTAAAATTCGACTGTTTACCGTTTCTACCTTTTTTAAAGCCAGAACAAGCGAGGATGTGTTCGTGTGCTGCTTACGCTTATTTTTGGATATTCCCGAAATATTTCCAAAATATTTTTATAATATTTCAAATTAATATTTGTCGAAATTTTCCTACGAAACTATAAAAGGATCCACCATTGTAATTGTAAGCTTTTAAATATAAAGCTGTTAACAGTGATCAATACCGATAACCAATAGTTTACTCATTTTGTCACTGTAAAGCATCCAAAAGGCGAAAAAAACGAAGCCTCATCCACATGGCAACATGTGCAAAATACCGTCGACATGCATGGTTTCTGGGCAGGAAAGTTCAAAATATGGCGACTAGGATCACTGAAAGATTTTTGTTACAACACAAGGCATAAAATTGCTGAAAGGGGCAATGAAAATTACTTTCGTTACACCTTCTAAAATTATCGCGTTTTCTTCAATTACATAAGAGTGCATTATTAACCATGATCCGTACATGTACCGTATCTCGGACAGGAAGGACCCAATCGAATCGAAATTCGCGGAACAGAGATGCGTTAATGACGTGTATTAATCATTTTAGAACAATAACTGCACTATCGTACTTGATAATATGTTTGCGATCGAACCAAAGTTTACCATGCAAAGCTAAAAAAAAAACCCCAAGAAATAAGAAAAAATTTATTTGTTGATAAAAGTTCTTGATAAACTTTGTGACAAACGCATCTCAGTCGCAAATTCTGGATCTATTAAGTCCTCTCCGATTCAAGATTGCTTTTTGATGGCGAGTCGATGGGTTAAATCGTGATGTCGTGGTTTCGTTACCACGAAACAACTCGCAAGTTTATAAACGTTTTCTTTTTAGTGTTATTAATTGAAAGTAAAAAAAAAAAAATTTTGGATATGTAATATGCGGTTAGTCAATAAATTTAAGTTCAAATAAGCCTTAAATGCTCCGTCATGTACGGATTCGTTTTAACCGATGCATATGTGTATGTTACTTACTATATATGAGGATGGACGACTGGTTTCGGTGATGAGCGTCAATGGACTCTGTCGATCACTGCTACTACTGTGGCGATTGCTTGTATCACTAGAATGACCAACAGTTGTAGATTGACTTGTCAATTCGTTAGATTTGGATGTTTGCAATAGTTGATGGGGAAGCAAAACTGAGCTAGCTGATATAGTGCCCCCTGAAAGCCAAGGGCTGGGTGGTGGTACCAAAAGACCAACATTTGCCGTTGTACTACTTTTGCTGGTATCGCCAAAACTCGTATCTAATGTATTAGTATTAGCTCCTGGCATATTGCCCGTAGCTGCACATCCGCTAGATGACAACTCACCACCTATAAGAAACGTCGACTTGGAAAATTTGTTTTTCATTTTAACATCTTCAACACTTACTAGTGTTAAGTTTTTGCTTAGGTGGCCTCGTAACTAGCGGTGATATTCTTGCTAATTCCGGTGAAGGCTCTCGCATCTCTCGTCTAAGCGGCGAATTGTTGTTGCCGGCAGAAACATTTGCAAATTTCTGCAAACTATTCGTTTCAGCTTCTGTTGGCGTTGGCGACGGATTCGAGCCCAATTTTAAAGTTAATTTTGGTATTACGGTGCAACTAAGAGCTGCTGTATTTCCCATATTCTCTTGTTCATTTACTTTAGATGTAGAAATATTTGAAGTTTTTGATTTTTTCCCTTCCCCCGTTTCTAGGCTTGAGGCGTTAGCGTTTACAACTTCTTTAGCGCCGCCTATAAACGTACATGCTGGTGGTACAGTTGTGCCACCCTCGACGACGGGCAAACGCTAAGTTATTTTAAATATGAAAATTGATTTTAATTTAACAATTAATTTAATTGTTTTTCTTACTTGTTTCTCTTTTTTCTTCTCTTTTTTCAATTTTTTTAACAAATCTTTATCTTTCACTTTCTCGCCTCCCGTTGCGACTTCACCCATCTCTTTAAATTCCTTGACGGACGAAGGTAATTGCTGCTGATGCTGCTGCAACTGTTGCTGGGCCAATAGATATTTCTCTGCTTTCTCCTTGCTTTTCACTTTATCTTTTTTATCCTTCTTCTTTTTGACTTTTCCCTCTTTTAACTCTTTTAGCTTTTTCATTTTTTTATGCTCTTTGCGTTTCTTTTGCAAATCAAGCATTGAACCACCAGCTCCTGCAACCATGCAACCGGTTTGCGTGAGTGCCGGTGTAATCGTGACGTTATCAAATACCGAAGTACTTGTGGCGGACGAAGAAGAAGGCAATAAATCCTTATTGTGACTTCCAAAAGTGGGGTTGGCGTTACCCGTTAAACTGTTAAATGGAATATTTTTAGAGGAGTACGCTAGGCCAGTAGAGTGTAGCGGTATCAAATCGGCACCTCCAGCCAACTTGCCTACACCGGCACCCGGTTCGGCTTTTTCGGGATTAATAAGAGTGCTATTAGTATTGGAGAGGGCAGAAGCTTTTTTTACTTGTTTCTTTAATTTCTTCAATTCCTTGGAACTAAGTTCAGTATCTAAAGGAGGCAATTTACTGCCAACCGCAGTCGCAAGCGATGACACTGAACTGCTTGCAAACATATCGTCCGCATTGAAAGCTGGCTGCGTTGCATTCAAATTCGATGGTGTTAATGTTTTACTACTAATCGTTTTGGATACTTGTGATGTCTCGTCTGAATCATCTGACACTTCAATGGGTTCATCAGCATTCAAGGTAATAGGTGGTGGCTTATTCATGCCAATGACTTTCTTATGCATACTGAAGTCCATACCCAAGAGATTGGATTTTATAGGGTTTTGTGTTTGATCCAATGCAGCAGCAGACGAATGCTTCGAGGCTGCACTCTTAGGTAAAGGTAACAGTTCCACGGGATTCTCATTTTTTTTCATTAACTGTTCAAAGCTATTCAACGATAATCCACTGGGTGTTGATGGTAAATATTTATTGCCAACATTACCAACGCTATCGTGAAGTGGATGTGTGTCAGCCATATTTTTGGTTAGTAAATTATCTTGAGAAACTGTTGCTATCGTAGTATGAGATTGACGAGACTTTGGGTTTTTTGGTGAGGCGTTTTCACTAGATTGTTGCTGATGCTGTTGTTGTTGTTGATGATGTTGTTGCTGTTGATCTTCGAAAGTTTTATTATTCATTGAGTCTGGCGTGGTAAGTTTTAAGAATTCCGGCACAAGCGGAGCGACATTGCAATAATTGCGTTCATTATTTGGAAGATTTGCATCTGCTTTCTTATGATCCCCTCCAAGATTTTCAGTTTCTGGACAAGGGGTAGATTAGATTAAATAAAGCAAAATAATATTAAAGCAGCCGGATTCTTACCCTGCTTTGTCTGATTATCTACAGCGGCATGTTTTAAATTCGGAAACGGAAAAACACCAGTCAATAGCAAATTGGCTGCAGCTGAAGTTTTGTTATTGTTGGGAAAAGCTGTCAAACCAGGTGTAGGAAAAAGGCCATGAGTGGGTATTAAACCAGGACGTGGTGGAAACGGAAATGGAAGCATGTTTAACATATTACCCGGTAAATTGGGAAAACCGGGCCGCGGGGATAACATAAACGGTGATTGAAGGGAAGGCGGCAAAGCGGATAAATCACTAGCGGTTGGCAGGCGTTTAGAGTTACCGGGCGATTTTAGATTGGGAGAAACAGGAAATGTTGCCGACGTCGGACCTGGAAGAACCGTTAACGGCTTCTGGCCGCCGGTTGCCATACTTGAGTCATTATTGAACTCGGCGTTATTCGTAGGCGCTGGAGCTGGCTTAAGTATGGTATCCATTCGCATTAATTTCTTATTTATGGATTGCACTTCTTCGGAGGTGGGAATAGATGTAACGCCAACGTTACCAACTTGTAAACTACTTAATGCCGCATTGTTATGCAATAAGTTAATGGGAAGATTTTTCAATAATTTGTTTTTTTTGCGTTCTTTTTTCTCTTTAGTAGCTGCCATAGCCATAATTTGTTGTTGCAATTGCTTTTCATTTAAGGAGAACATTGGAAACATATTAGCGGCTGCGCCAGTATCAAACGGATTATTGGGATTTAGAGGATTCAATAGGGGGGCACCGACAGCATTATATGGCGGCGGAAATAATCCAGTTTCCATTTTCAGTTTTTTATTTTTCTTAAGCATCGCATTCGACAGAACACCCGGTAATTTTGGTGAATTCTTGCTGCCTGGCTTGCGTCCACGTTTCTTTGGCTTATTGACCATATCGACATTTTCTGCTGCTTTCTCACCGAACACACGCTTAAGCATAGACAAATCTTGATTGGGTTGATTTAAGGTAGACCCCATAGGGAGAACCTGTTTATTCATTTCCTCTAGCGCTATGTTATTGCTGACACCTGTTGCTTTTGCTGATAAGTCATTGGGAAACATGGAGCGCGGCAAATTTTGTTGTGCCACAGAAGTCAGACTGGTTTGCGCTAATAAACCGCTCGTCCCTGGGGCTGGTGTTATGGTAGTGCCTGAAGGCAGATTGATTACCGGAGAAGTATCATTTAGGCTTGGTATTCGACCCGGTGTTGGTGAAACTGCTTTGTTTGCTTTTTGCTTCGATATTTTTTTGAAAATATTCAATTTACTGCGATCCGGTTCATTGGATAGCTTAATTTCCATCCCGGTTTTAGGATCTTTCAAGTCCCCAGCAGCGGTAGTTACCACATCCCCACAAGTAGATAAGCTTTCATTTTGTTGCTGCACACTCACACGACTATTGGACGCATCATTTAGCAAATTATTGGCTGAAATTATACTATTCGCCGTGGCGATATTAGCCTTTATCGGTGACGTTGTGGGAGCTCCTAATTTCTCCTCTCTTTCGCCACTTAAAACATTGTCCTTAAACAATTCCTGTTTCGAAACAGGAGTCATAATTTCACTTCTATTAGGTACTTGTGGAGGAAAAATTGTCGCCATATTTGCTAATCCGGACTTTTTCCCCGGCTTGTGAGCATCCATTAATATTTTTTGATGCTTTAAAAATTTCTCCCTTTGCTTTGTCTGCTTCCTCAACAATTTTTCTAATTGCATTTTTTCCGGCCCATGTGGCATACTTGCCACTATAGCTGGATTTATAGCATTTTTTAGTTTCTTATCTGGTCCCAAAACGGTTTGTAAGAATTCTGCAGGTATTTTTCCTTGCTTAACCATTTTTTGTAACATTTTTACATACTTGCGTTGCGCTTTCTCACCGGCATCTGATTTCCCGATCAGCTTCTCTGAAAAAGGCTGTTTATCGGCTAATAGCTGAGCATGTAAATTTGGCTGTCCCTTTTGCTTTTTAGCTTTTTTCAGCAACATATTTGCAAACGAAGCTTGAGCCGAGGAGTGCACACCACCTGTATGGCCCGTGAATAATGATTTCTTGTTTCCCAGCTGTGAAGGGGTGGTTATTGGTAAAGATTCGCTGCTGGTATTTGATAAATGAGACGAAATTTTATCCGTTTTATTTGGAAAATTCTCCGGCATATATTCCGACTGCTTTTCATTTTTACGTAAAGACGTAAAATCCACAGATTTATTAATAGTGGATTTTTTGTTATCACCTCCCGAACCACAATTAGTTATTATATCTTTGCTCGCATCTGTGTTCACTTCTATGGTGTTTTCCTTATTGCTCGACCCAGGTAAAATTGTGCGAGATGGCGGTTTAGAATTAGATAAAGATGGTGGCGGAACAGGCGGTGGAGGTGGTGGTGGAGGTGGGGGAGCATCCAAACCGAACATTTCATCTGAAAAGGTGGCCATAATTGTAATTATTTGTAAAAATTTTTGACAATACGTTTTTAACTATTATCCTTAGAGCATGAACGTGAATAGAGAAGTCCCTTAAAAAAACAAGAAGGAAGTTATATTCACCTTGTAGCGGACTTTTTATAAAGACTGCTTACTTATTTTTATATTTATATTTAAAATTATATTTTTGTAAACTAAAAAAGACACTCACATACTACGTATTATGTGCGATTTTCTTGAACCGTAGGTGCACTCTTACAAATAGCTAATTTCCAAATTTAACGCTCCAATCAAAGTTACAAGCCCATCATATAAGAAACAAGATTTGTCGTTTTTTTTGCTAATTCTCTACGAATTGTGTATAATTTTGCAACAGTAAAAATACCAAGGATGGACATCAAGGCTCCTTCTAGACATATTCTTGAGAACGTTAATGTGATTTGAATAGGCGGACAGACAAAGATGTTGAATCGATTAAAATTGACCAAAATTGCATGTACGTGATAGGATCCCGAATGCATATTTCTATATGTCAAAAAAAAAAAACAAAAACAAATCTGATATACTCTCCTGATGGATATTTAAACATAAAAGTTGTAAAAATGAATTATATAGGAAAGGCTTACTTATTATATCCGGAATTATGGCTTCTGGCATTTTACCCTCAATCGCCGGTGATATGTAACCACCGGTAGTCATTACCACACTGCTAATTTCCCTTGTATTGTTAATCGTTCGTTCGCCATCTTCCAAATGAATAGTCGACTTAAACAAAGATTGCAAGGTATTCTTATCCAAACTTACGCCTACTTGAGGTTTGCCCGTAGCATCTGCAATATACAAAAGTCCTGTACTCAAATTTTGTTAAGTCTCGTAGTTTCCATACAAAATATACCTGTGCTATTTGTTTCTCCCAATGCCGTAGTTGCGTTATTAGCATTTCCAATCTCTGTACCATGTAGTTTATCAGGACTTGGCTTCACATCAAGACCAGGAACACTATTATCTACATCATTAAGGATGTTGTTATCGGGCGGCTCTCTTATATCCGGTGGCAGCATTGGGGGCAAATGATCGTGCACATGTACAGGACGCGTTAGAACTTCTTTGCTGCCCGGTTTCAGAAAATTCAAATATGAATCTTTGCGTCGGGGAAACTTCGGCATTTCAATAACAAACGGGACCGGTTCAACATTGTTGATGTAATCCGTTAACTCATTAAGATTAACATTGATACTTGATAAAGTCAAGGCTACATCGTTTAAATTGGCTTCTGTGCGGTTATCTACACATACCAGATGAGCGAAATTATTTATAAACACCTTCACAAATATAAATTCACGAATTTCATTGAAATTATTTACTTACAATGCTCCACTTGACGTCTCAAGTCCCTCGTAAATTCTTTTAGAAATTTATCCAAAATATCTTGCAATAATTCTAAAGAAGCCGTCTGTGTTGCATTATACCCAATCGTTTGACATATCTGAGCTACTGCGACACGCAATAGCTCCTTTATGTATAGATCGCTCATTAGGAACACCTTTGTTTCTTTGTATGCTTCGTAGATTTCTTTATATTTTCCGATTTTTCACCATACACAAGAAATGACGCATACATTCAAGTGAAAAAAACTGTGAAAGTTTTTTCTTAATGTTTGCCTTCCGTTCCACTACTTGCTTAGCTGCCAAATCCGCAGTGCACTTTCTACTGTTTTTGTTATCTTAAAATAATATAATATAGTTAAACATATTCCTTTTTTTTATCGAACACATTTTTTAGAAAAATTGGAAATTTTTTATGTACACAACGAAAAAGTCATAGGCCGAAAACACAAAGAAACCATTCGCGCTTATCAGGCATATAAGTCGTAAATACTTAACACATAGCTAGTTGACACAATGAGATGTTATTCCCATTTTCAGGTTGAGACTTCAACTTTGCCGACTTTTTGCAATTTTATGGGAATCGACAAATCATATGGTTTTTCACAATGCATACATACATACAACATATAGAATGCGTTTACCTTACACTATTGTACATTTTCATTATATTGTGTGGTTTGCAATTTCGGTTTATACCATACATTATTTGCAAGCAATACAGACTATTTAGTTTACTGTGAAGATATAAAAAGTGCCGGAAATTATTTTTGATCCTAAAACCATATTGTTTTGTGTACACTTTCCTGTTAAACGATATGGCAGCGCGGCTGCCAAAATGATAAAGAAGATTGTTTATATATTAGATATATAAATTTTTTGTGTATTAATGAGTCCATTTATTTCTTTATAATAAAACAATTTGATGAACTATTTCAACCTTTAAGTGAATTGCCTTCATTGCTTGTTTTTCATTTCCTACAAAATAATGCATAGTATGAACCAAAATTCCAAATTAAAAATTTAAAAAGAAATAATGATCAAATCTTCTTGTGGGTATGTATATATACGAAATCATATGATTTACTAATGCCCATAAAGTTTTGTGCAAAGTCGGCAAAGTTGAAGTTCGAATCCGACATTAGGAATAACGCTCCAGTGTGAAGAAAAAATTAGTCTGTGGAAGTGTTACACGGAAGGAATATTTTTGGAGTTTAACGAATGTGGTTTTCATTTCGAAATATTTTGAATCGTAGCTTTACAAATAGAGGTAAATATTAGATTACAATAAGGTACTGCTATAAGCATCTTCTTACACACATATACTGAGTTAGAGTAACCTGAACGTCACGATGACAATTAGGGAGATTAGTTGTTTATTTTTTTGGATGTTAATTTAGGATGGACCAAGCAACGAGCCTTATTTATATTGCGTTACGAGATAAAACATTTGTTAGCATTAGTGAATTGTACGAACATAATAAACGCCCATGTAAGTGCATCGAGTGCGAAAAACATTTCTACGATAGCCAACAGAACTGTGAACACCAACAAACATAAAGAGCTACTCAAAAATTCACCAAAATGAACGCAAGCATTGCTGCCAACTATGTGCAGGCTCTTTTAACCAAAGACCTGCATTATTATTTAGTTATTTTGCTATTGGCAGCTACATGTTTTATATCTACAACAGTACATACAGCAATATAGTACATAACTATATGATGTCATAGAAGATCAAAATACTATAGACTAGGCCTATAGCGGAATAAAAGGGGGGAAAGAAGAGGAAGACTAATCGCAACATCAATACAACAGTCATATTATCACTTGAGCAACGTCAGTTTCACATATTCACGTTCATCTGAAGTGGAGACTACGTGATAATTTTCATTAAGATGTTTACAGAGTACTCGTAATGGGTAATTCAGTTCACAGTTAGCCCTACATCGCGGAAAGCGTCGAATCTCTACGCGAAATTGTAAAGGTAAACATATTCAATAGGAGTGAGGAATCTATTTCGTCATTAATAAGCGTAATCATAAAATTTACCAGACGCGTCACACTTATCCTCTCTACCGAGCATAGGTCGATTAGAAGAAGTCCAATCTCATACGAAAGCAGTGTTCTGTACGCATCTCAATCTGGTTCACGAAGAGAAGTTCCATCACTGCACATAATATATCACAAATACAATTCTCGAAAGTAACTGTGAAGCAAAAATCACCTTGACAGATAGATTTTCTCTTTCAACTGGCAAATCGATTAATTACCAATAAGAAAAAACAAAAAACACTTTCCAAGTAATTAAATAAATATTTTGTGCCAAATCTGGATCAACCTTTTTATAACTATAAGAATAAGCAATAGTATTAAGAAATAAGGATACAAATATTATAAAACTACTTACGGTTGTTTTTTTGTTGTGCTATAGGCATTCTGTGGAGCAAATTATAGGTATTGGGGGCTGACGGATGGTATTTGAGCGACATGTATTGAGTAACATATGGTATACTCCGCAACCAAGACTGCTTGGACAATGATACTACAATTACCACCGATTGTGTTTGAACTTTGGTAGTCAATCTTCTACTCCAAATTATTACTGTCGAAGATGGACGTCAATTATGTTCGTTTAGGTACTCGTATATCTCTATCAGCTTGCAGATCGAAACTACCCGCCTCGCCCTAATTCCAGGTGGATGTTTCTCGCTCTCTCTCTTTGTCTCTGTCTCTCTCTCTCTCTCTCTTGCAAACTTATTCCTATATTTACTAGAGCGTAAGTTCTTTTAACATTTGCAGACGAATTTATTAAAGAAGTTATTAAATACTCAAGATGCTCACTTGATGCCATATTTCACATATTTTGTTCAATATGGCAGCTGAGTTAGCTCCATTTATCATACTGCCTTTTATGCTTACTTTGGTTCGCATTTCAAAAATTGCTTTGTCGACATTCGTACAATTTTTTACAATTTAAGATATTATTTCGCTCCTCTGTTTTAATTTTATGAAGCATCGAAACTGTTTTTCTATTCGTTAGTCAATAATTCAAAAATTATCATTTACATTCTAATAGAACAATTTGAGAGATATATATTATATTAAAAATAAATTGTCTTTAGTTCTTCTTTTTAAAATAATACATTTTAAACCGTATATTTTAAAAGAAATTTGAAATAATGCAATTATAAATACAAATTTAAAATAAACTGATCTTACTACTTATTCTGCGTTTTTGTCTTCGCTTTGCTTTGTTTGTGTACGTACACAGTCGTACGATTTGTCAAATCTTGGAGAAAGTTGAAAATGTCGAATTCCCATTCCCTGTGACGCAATCCTGCTTCATTATATTACCACTTAAGACGCATCAAATCGGGGTCGGGGTAAAAAATTCAAGTAGCTTTTCCCATAGTGACAAAACGCAGTCAAATAAAATAAAAGCAAAAACATGAAAGAAAAGCTATTGATTTATTTTGCACTAATGTATTTGTTTCTTATATTACGTGATTTTAAATTTTGCTTTATACTATGTATAACAAGCAATGAAGGCGATTCATTTTCAATTTAAAATATGTTTTTCTTTTTTTTTGGATTGTTGAATGGAGATGGCGTAGGTTTTTCAAACTAAAATGTTTAAGCAATTCTTTGCATTGTTTAAATGCGTCAATTAATTCCATCCTCATGGTCCCTCTTTTAAACCCATTTGTTTTAATTCTTCGTTTCATTACGTTTTAACATTTATGTTGCTTTATTTTTACTTCTCAAAGCATATATTAGTTGTTTCAGCTGGTTTTTTCATTTTTTCTAAAACGGATGCGGTTTGTCCTTTTCCATACAACCTAAGACATAATTAACTAAAAGACGTAATTACGCAAAATGATGTCAGGGTTTCTACGCGTTTATTTATTTTATACAATAATTGTCACGAGTCTGAGATGACCTTTAAATTAATTCTAGCTGGTAGTGTTGCCAAATTTTATTTCTATTCCAAACACCTTATGTATTGAACTATGGCGCCAAAAGCTTCCTAATTATATTATTTTATCTTCGCAAGTCGCTTTCTGCTTCCTCTTTTTATTTATTTTTTCGTTCTTAAAATTGTAAAGATATTTTGAAAACCTTTTTATTAGACACAACAAAAATGTTCAAGAAAAGTGAAAATAAATACCGCCTATATATTCAAAAACGTAGTACCATATTGCTGTATGCTCCACAAAATTGCATTGGTGTTAAGCATTTCTAATGCGTTCATATACGCAACAGGAAACAAGTAAAGTAATTATAATATATCTTCGCGCACAATGAAAGGATCTTTACGTGTCTATCGGCTAAAACGAAAATTTTGTTAAATAGAAGAAATTTGTTCTTCATTTTATTTTTATCTTTTTTGTTAAAAAAAAATTCTAAATTCACGTAAAACAGTTTATAACAATTAGGAGAAATTCCGCGTTTTAGTCCTTATAAAATGTTAAGAATACGGTCTAAAACAACTCATCGTAAAAAATGCAGTCAACGATAAGAACACGATCTAAAACAAAAATAATGCAGTTAACTTGTTACGTTTCTCATATAAAATTTTGCTTCCATTATAGGTATGCGTTAAGGCGTTCATATTGAAAACAACAAATGATCAAGTAATTACTTTATATAATTACATATTATTATTACTATTATTATTATTATTATAAACTTAGCCAGAGAATAAATTCTAAGACTAAAGTCTTAAAGCACTAGCATCTAAGGCTTTCGGCTTTATTAAAAACTCTACCGCACTTGAGATTTGAACCCACGACCATTGAGTTGCTAGTCGAGACTCTTGCCTACTCGGCCACTCAGGCGGCTTATAATTAATAATTACATATTACAAGAGGTTGTGTTTAAGAAATTGCAAATGTATATTCTGTTACTTACGGCACGTCGAAGTATAGATCGTAAACGTTAGACGGTTAAATAAACATAAAATTTCAATTACGGCATTTGTCATCAGTCTGGCAACACTTTTGGGTTTATGTTGGTTTCTAAAATCGCTACTGTATTCTTCTTTGTCGAGTACTATATTTCACGTTTCCCAAAGCTGTTCACAAACTTTAGAAAAGAAAGAAAGAGGAGACATGGTCAATTTGCGAAATAAAGATATGTGCGGCGTTGTATTTATAAATGAAAAACATTTTTTAGTGTTTCATTGCACGCACTGTGAAAAAGTTTTTGATGTTTTCGATATGTTACTGCTGCATTTGTCCACTCACTATAGTTTAGTTAATCATGGAAGTTCTGAGGATGACACAAACGAAATGGTAGATGATGGCGAGATGAATTATTCGCCCGAAGAATTTGTGGAGAAAGAGACTTTAGAATTCAACGATTTCGATTGTAATTATGAGAAGGTGTCTATAGAATCAATTCAAGAGGAGGTAAACAATTTTTTTTTGAAGGAGTAATCTATAAAATTATCATTGAATTGCCATTTCAAGGAAATTTTTCTACCAGAGGCCGAATGTGATCCGACCACAGAAAGTGATACCAAATTGAATGAAGCAGTAGAAAGCAACAATGAGGAAAATGAAAAATTATATCCTCGTGCTAAGTACCGTCGCATTTATAGTCAGGCAGTGCGGCGGCATAAGTGCCATTTATGCGGTTTCGCTTTTAAAGATTCTAGCAATCTAGCTAACCATCTACGCCGCCATACAGGGCAGAAGGATTATCCATGCACAGTTTGCCCAAAAAAATTCTTTACGCGTACAGAACTAGAGGCTCACGAACGACGCCACAATGGTGAACGACCATTTTTATGTACACACTGTGGAAAAGGATTTGCTACTTCCGGTTCTTTGCTTGAACACACTAAACGACATACTAATTATAGAGCTTTTAAATGTGATGAGTGCGGTAAAAGTTTTTACAACGGCTGTCAATTGCGCGAACATCAAGCGATGCACAGTGATGAGCGTACAGTTGTTTGCACGAGATGTCCGGCTACTTTTAAGACTAAAAAAAGATTAAGAGCTCATATGAAAATTCATTTGAATTTACGTGAACACAGATGCAACATATGTGGAGCGGCCTTTAATCAATCTCCTGGTTTGGCTTCTCATATGAAGACAAAACATAAAATAGAAAAGAAATCATTAATTTAATAAGAAATACAACTATCAATTCTTAACTTTGGCTTAGCATACTTATATAAAAATTCGACTAATTTAATGTAATAAAGGTATTAAATGTATTAAATAATAAAATTCAAAAATTACTGTTTAAAAAATATGTTTTTCTAAAGATAGATTATTATTTATACCAGAACAACAAAAAGTTGAGCTACAAGAGGTTTCCTTACTAGTCAAGCTAAATAATTAAGTCCAGCCATATCCTAATGTGCACTGGCGATTTTACTCTATTTTTAGCTTGGAATCGCACTCTGCACCAATAAATAAAATCAAATCAACTTGATGGTTTTAGATGAATTTTTTTGCGCAATCGGTTGGATTATCTATATTTAATGAAGAAATCTGTAACGAAATATTGTAGTATATAAATTATAATCTTTTAATAAAAACTTGCCTGATAGACTAAGTGGACTCCTAGTAAGCTAAGTGATCCTTGATTGTCTACAGCTTGTAGACACGTTTTCTTCTTGTTATTAAATCTAAAGTCAATATTTCTATTCACTTACTAAAAATCCGAGATAATATCAATATTCTTCACTAAGCATAACACTCCAGTGGAAGGAATGGGTATTTCTTACATATTTTATGCTATCAATAATGTTGATTGTACCGCTTATACTAATCATAATCAAAATGTATTTTCGCATATTTGTGTACGGACAAGCCCCGCAAACGAGTGTAACGCGTCCTTGTGTGTCGTTAGTGTATTTGGGATTAATGCCGGCATTTTCCCAGATATCTAATGCAAACATCTTTTTTCGATTATGTCAATAGAAATATTTGTTAGATTTTGCTGTATCTTACTATCAATTATTATAAGTTTATTGATACTGCCCTGCATGTTACCATGAAAACCATGAATCATAATTGAATATATGATAGGCCGTGTTTATTATAATATGTTAATTCGTGACAGTTTGCTATATGCCTTATAAACTAAGAAAAAAATAAATATGAATATGCTATCAGCTGATATACTGCTTATAATTTATTATTAACCGGTCGAGAGCAACGAGCGAAAAATGTTTTATTTCCTTAATTGCAATAGGTATCGGACTCAAAATATTCAGTTCACAGTGACATATCGTGAACATATTAAAGGCCGCTTGGAAAAAGCGATGTCGTAAATCACCTTATTGTCCTTTATTTCCCCAAATAAATACAACGCTTTCGTTTATCAATTGTCGGCTCAGACATTATGGTTGACGGCAGGCCGATGTTCAATCACACGATATACAATGATCATCTATTCAAAATGAACATAGTAAAACAACCCTTTATGCATATGTGGAGTCTCACAATCTCCTGATCATATCCTATTTAATTCTCAGAATGTTACCACTTCTATTCGCCATTCCACATTTCGAAAATTGATTATATGGGCTCTTCGTGACACAGCATTCTTGATATTTTACGTTCTCGCAATTTAACAGCTAACGTCGCAGTCTTCTCTTTACTTAAATCATGTCATCAAGACATATAAGTGTTTACAGTCAATTCATGACCCTGCTCTCTTTCACATTTTTTGGCTTTCACACCCATCAATTCCCTCACATAATTTTTTATATTCATGTACCACATTACACATTACGCATCGGAATTTACTTCTCGCTCTACTGTTCTGTGCTACGAGGCGGATAAGTAATACGCACAATTTAATAAAAACTTAACGTGGCGGACGTATAATACACAACATTAAAAAAAAAAATCTAATCAAATAATCACTAAAATAAATAAATAATAATATTATATATCAAATCTAACTTCAAATTTACTTAGGCCCAAACAAAGAACTCTGTGTTCACATTGGGCCTTTTTTACACATCTCAGCGAATTTTCAGTTGTTAATTTGGTGAATAACAGAAGAAGAAGGAGAAAAAAATTGTCCGGAATGGATAATAAAGATCTTTGCGGTGTAATATTTATAGATGATAAACAGTTGTTATCATTCCAGTGTTCGATTTGTAAACGAACTTTTGAAACACCTAATCTCTTATTAGATCATTTATCCGAACATTATACAGAAATCAAAATGAAAAAAAAATATCAGTTAGACGATGAATATGATGATGGCAAATTTTATTCGGTAACCAACGACGATAACGACATTTCCGTGGAAGTGGACCCATTAGTAGATAAACTACCCTTAGGATTGAATGAAAATCTTGAAGATTTTATAAAGATAGAGGTAAGGTTACTTCCCTTCAGTATTGATACGAGTTACTATGGTTTTTTATAATTTTGTCTAGATTGCCGATGACTACGCTAATGATATTCCCTATTCAAAGAATAACGAGAGCGAAAATAGGCTTACGGAAGTTGGCGAAGAATTATTAGAGAAATCATTCTCAACGTTTATTACAGATTCCGAGGATACAATAATATTGAAGGTATTTCTGAACGAAATGAAAAATATTCTTATAAGTAAAGCGTGTGCTTTGAAAGGAATTGTCAGTTACCGTGCAAACGAATGAAATTTCAAGCAGGTCGGAGAACGTAAGTGACGACCAGCCATCTCAGCCTAAATTTCGTTGCAGTCGACCTCGTAAAAATTTTGATCAGCCGCGTTTACATAAATGTGAGTTGTGCGGTTTCGCTTTTAAGGATAAACGCTTGCTGCAAGGCCATGTTATTCGACATAGTGGTAAAAAAGACTATGCGTGCCCAAAATGTTCAAAGAAATTTTATACCCGCATGGAATTAAAACTGCATGATAGACGTCATACTGGTGAACGTTCATACTTATGCATGCTATGTGGCAGATCTTTTGTTACTTCAACCGAATATCAGGGCCATATTCGCCGACACGAAAATAACCGCCCGTATAAGTGCAATCAATGTGATAAAAGCTTTTTCGATGGCTATCAAATGCGTAAACATCAAATAACGCATACCAATGAACGTACGGTACCGTGCCCTCAATGTCCGTCATTGTTCAAGTGCAAAAAAACACTAAGAGCACATTTAAAAATTCATCTCAATAAACGCGAGCATATCTGTAAATTTTGCGATGCTGCTTTTAATCAAAAACCGGGATTAATATCTCACATGAAGAGCAAACACAAAACGATACAAAACAAGTATTAGAACTATTATTATATTAGGTTATATAAGTGGAAATGCTTAGCAATATAAGCGGCCAGACACTATCTAATAAAACAATACTATATCGGAAGACTCATGCTTTTACTTTGCCATTTGGATATTTACCCCGTGCACGCATACACACCTGCAACAGCTAGACAATTGTTAATATATAAGATGCCTTTTTCAATATTGACCCCCAAGGGGACCAAGGGGCATTGCAAGAAAATCTAAAGCCAGAATCAATGACCTAATTTGAATAATCAGTAACGCTCTGGTCTACTTCTACATCAATGTTAGTCCCCGATATATTTATATCATATTTATATATTCAACGTGCAGCCAGAAAAATAAAATATTGCAAGAATTCTTGAATGCAAATCGAGAGATCTCCCAGAGATAAAATCCTTTAATTCGTTTTTGAAGCATAACTAATCCAAATGCTTGACAGTTACTTAAAAGCGTTGTCAAATGTAACAAACGTGTTTGATAAAAGAAAGATGAAAAACACTGCTCCAAACATAATCAAAGGCAAATACTATTGCCTCCATTTACATCTTTCACTTATTTAAAAGCAATCATTCAGTCAGTCAGTAGAATTTCTTTATTTTTGTTTTGTTCTTACAAGATTATTCAGTTGTCTTTAATAAGCGTCAAACTAGGCAGCATTTTTTTTTATATGTACGTGTATGCTCATGGTATTGATTTTCGTTTATTAAAAGAAAACTTTTTGTGGCGGATAATATAAATTAAATTGAGAAGAAAAGTATGGCCGATTCATCGACTTCTGTAAATGTTAATGATAAAATGACTAATCTGCTTAAGGAAGCAGAAAATTTAAAAAATAAGCTCGAAGAAGAGCGGCAAAAATTAAACGATATTAGTTTATCGAGTGTAGCGGACCGTTTGGAGCAAATAGCTTTCGTTAATATCAAACCACGCAAGATACTTAAAGGTCATCAGGCCAAGGTGCTATGCACTGACTGGAGCCCCGATAAACGTCACATTATCTCTTCGTCACAGGATGGTCGTTTGATTATCTGGGATGCGTTTACAACGAATAAAGAACATGCTGTAACCATGCCTACCACTTGGATAATGGCTTGTGCTTATGCGCCTTCTGGAAATTATGTGGCTTGTGGTGGCTTGGATAATAAGGTCACTGTCTATCCCATAACATCCGACGAAGATATGGCTGCCAAAAAACGGACCGTGGGCACACATACAAGCTATATGTCATGCTGTACTTATCCAAATTCCGATCAACAAATATTAACCGGAAGTGGTGATTCGACTTGCGCTTTATGGGATGTTGAATCTGGGCAATTATTGCAAAGCTTCCACGGTCATTCGGGTGATGTAATGGCTATCGATTTGGCTCCAAACGAGACGGGTAATACGTTTGTATCTGGTAGTTGTGATCGAATGGCATTTATTTGGGACATGCGTTCTGGACAAGTCGTACAATCGTTTGAAGGCCATCAGTCGGATGTTAATAGCGTTAAGTTTCATCCATGTGGTGATGCCATTGCTACTGGATCTGATGACAGTAGTTGTCGTTTGTTTGATATGCGAGCAGATCGTGAAGTGGCAGTTTTTGCTAAAGAAAGTATCATTTTTGGTGTCAACTCCGTTGATTTCTCAGTAAGCGGTCGCTTATTATTCGCGGGTTATAATGACTATACCGTTAACTTATGGGATACCCTAAAATCGGAGCGCATTTGCTTATTATACGGTCATGAGAATAAAGTGTCTTGTGTACAAGTATCACCCGATGGTACAGCCCTGTCTACGGGCAGTTGGGATTATACAATACGTGTTTGGGCTTAAGTTTAACAAGTAAGAAAGTTTATATTTGCTATGGGTCGTATCGCTAATATCCATGTCTCTAAAAGATAACATATAAAAGCGAGTGCAAATTTTTTTGTTACTTGTGAAATATTTGATGGTCTTGATAAATATTTTTAACAAGCCTTAGATCAATATCTATCGTAGATTATAAGTTTTCGCTTATTATGCGTGGACAGCTTTAATTATTCAATATAAAAGCATCCTAGAAAGTTGTCCTATCATTCGATGCTGGGTATAAAAAATGAAACTAGACATTTTAACAACTGTTGTCGCTCCAATATTATTTAAAAATTTAAGTAGTTATGTGTAAATGTCTATAATTGTTGTTCAAAAATAAAATACTCCAAGAGTTTGTTGGAAAAACAAAAAACATTTTAGAAATTAACAAGTGTTGGATAATCATCTTTAGCATGGCATCCATTTAATATTTCTTGTTTATGTTTTCGCATGTGAGCAGAGAGACCAGCAGCTTGAGCATATGCAGCATTACATATCTTACAAACAAACTTTTTGATGCCTAAATGTAAATGCTTGTGATGGTATAAAGCCTTAGGACGGTTAAATGCCTTCCCACACACATTACATATATGATTGCGTTCCTTAGAATGTGTGGCCATATGTTCATTTAAAAGAGATTTGGAACCGAAGCGTCGATCACATTGATTGCAGGCAAACGGTTTCTCGCCTCTATGACCCCGTATGTGCACAACCAAAGATCCTTCTTTGTAGCAACTGTACCCGCACTCCTCGCATACAAATGGCTTAGTGGTATGATATTTAAAGTGATGCTTCAATTTTAATTCACTAGCAAATGCTTTACCACAGTTCTCATAAGTGCATAGAAAATTCTTCACATCACTATGCAAGGGCATGTGGCGTTTTAAACCTTTTGCTGTTGTAAATACTTTACTACATTTGGCGCAAGTATAACCGGTGTGGGTGTTATTATGGGCTTTCAGGTAACGTTCCTCGGCAAAGGCTTTTAAGCACAGCGTGCACTTATAGGGTCTGTCACGCAAATGCTTGAGTTTCGTATGAACTTTTAGACGATTTTCGGAGGAAAATGATTTATCACATAATTCACATTTACATTCTTTAGGTTTAGGATTCTGTTAGATATAAAAAAATTATTATTACATACAATAGATACCTATATTAAAGAAAATACAGGACCGTTTCTATAATTCTTCGCGGTTTCTCATCTTCGTTTTGTTCCTTATCATTAGACTTTACATCACACGGTTCGCACGATGCGCGCTCGGTCACTTCATCGAAATTATTAAATTCTTGTAAGACCTCTTCACTACTGCAATGCTTGTCTGCAAACCCGCTGAAAGGCTTCTCATCAAGCGACAAATCTTGTTTAATAATATAATTTGGAGGATCGAAATCATCATCTTCAATTTCAGTATCGTTTTCGATAGTGTTTAACTCTTCCTTATAATTGCAATTTTCCTGTATTTCTTGTAAATGTATACGCTCCAAATGGTCTGTAAACTCATCAAAGTGGAATATTTTGAGTTTGCATAGCTTACAAATTATGCTAAATGTAGCAATGTTATGGCATATAACTTCTCCACATGATTTATTAAAGTCTGTATTATAACTAATAGGTAAAAAGCAATTTCTTAACATTTTTTTCCTTTAGTTTTTTAAAGTGTTTTGCTTTATAAGGCAAAGCCATAAAATGTAACCAATTGCGATCAGTGCAACCAAATTTGTTTATCAGATTAATAAATTAATAAAGAAAATGTAAGAGTCGCCCATCTTTTAAAATATATGAATTTACATGAAAATGAATCGGGAAGTTACACTTTTCATTCATGATTACCCAACTACGAATAAACGTCGATATGGTAAGCAAGTAAGTGAACAAAATTCACTTTTCATGAGGCTTTGCGGAAATTGGCGAATCATATATTAACTTTTTTCTTTTGTTTTACATAATATCATATTTCGAGTTAGATTTTCTCAGAAATTAAAAAACAAGCAATAAAGATGGTCCAATAATGACTGACAATAGTTTTAGAATGTGTATTATATGGGAAAGCAATTTCTAAGGTATGGACCAATTTGTGATTGTAAATATTATAGTTTTTATAAATAATACATAAGAGTTTTTTAAATTCTGTTTTTCACTAATCAATTTCAAAAAGTTAGTTTATTTTTTTAATGTTGCATTTGTTATTTTTCCTGCTTTAATCACAACCTAAGTAGGTAAATATATCCCTCAAAGCTGAGGGATATATTTAATTTACAAATTTTTTATAAAGCATTTTAATTTGTAAATATGAACATGTATATGTATGTATCTATTTACATATGTATTTATATATATGTTTACATATATGTTTATACATTTGAAGAAGAATTATGGAATCCACAAGAGATATCCTCGCTGTATTTTATTTACTCTTAAAGGTAGATAAGATTATTAGTCTAATGGCTTTAATAAAGTCAGTTGTTTTATTGATATCATTTATAAAATGTCCATAGACTTGGACACTTCGAAAACAAGTCTTCGAATATTGCAAACGTTTTGGGATTCACAAACAATATGTTTAATTTTTCGTCCGCAATTGTATAGTAGTTTCCTTAAAGATCCAGCGGTTTGTTGCAGTTGTGTGACCCAGGCGGATTCTTACAAATATTTTGAGCTTGATTTTTACAGCGTTGACAGGGTATACATTTTTTTTGGCCAATTTCTCTCTAATTATTTTTTTAAACACACTTTTGAAGGTGAACCTTTTGCATTGTGCATTAAAAGTGCAGAAACAGCGGATTTGCTAGGTTTGCTCGCTAATTTCCCAAGAAACTATTATAGCTCGATGTCCAAAAAATTGTTATTTTGTCTCTATAGCTGGTAATGGTTTTTTTTTATTGGGTATCTCAGCAGACCCATAAAGAATTTTGACTCCAATTGAAGCTTTCTCATCGAAAAAACTCTTTCTTTTTTAAAATCAAATTGTTAATATCTGTGATATTTTGGAATAATATCAATTTTATTTGATTTCACTTTGTGGTATACAAGTTTAATTCTCAATTTAATTATTAATCGATATTTATAAAGGCAAAGTGACGACGCTGGCACACGTATGATCAGAAGTAAAGAAGAACAAGACGAGACATTAACCAAGGGCTGCCACCACCTTCGTCTTTATAGAGTTACCTTCCTGCAATACATTACAATATGAAAGGAATTCTAATGTAGCGCTTTTATTGTAGAGATAAACTCCTCTTCTTGAACAGTTGCACCGGAATTGAAACTATTGAAACTGGGCCAAATTGGTCGAAGGGCACACATCATAGCACCACGTAAACTGAGAAGACCTCTGCTTTTCAAAAGGGATACAAAATTGGTTTTTTGATCATCACGCCTAGACTACAGCAGATAAATCTACAAAAATTTGAACCCATATTCTATAGGCAATGCTGTGGTGCCTTTATAAAAAAGCAAAAAACTGACCACGCCTACTCAATACTACAGTATATCAAAATTTAATTACTGTTTAATACCTGTATAACGCGCTGAAACAAACTTCAAAAATCCCATAGAGTATATGCATTCTTGTCCAATTTTAAATTTGGAGTGCACCTAAACAAGCCCATCTGTTCGTTTGTCCATGTGTATGTTCACCCAACTTTGTAGCACCTGTGATAAACATTCTGCCGTTCGCAAAAATGAAGACAAATGAAGTCCGCAAATTTGGAAATGAATTTGAAAGTGATCTAAACTTTTCAAAGGACACGACTGTAACGCCTATGCGCCTATCCGCCTATGCGATAGGAACTTTTATTTTGAAAATAGAAAAAATGAAACTCGCCCACTCCATATTATAGAGTATGATGACTGTCTTCTTTACGGTAACAGTGATGGGTAGAAAAGATTCGGTCACGACATAATTTGTAATTTTCTTACTTGCTTTTATTTGAATTTTGAACAGCATCTTTGAAACAACATTTTCCAGGAAATACAGGGTGGCCTCTTTTCAGTCGAAAGTTGTACTTTTTTCATTCAGACACTTGCTAATCACACAGAAATTTATACAACATTTTTTTTTTTTTGTATCAAATATATACCAGTTACACTGGATGGCGCAGAGCTCATTGACGTGATGATGTCTTCATAGGAAAGGTACGTTGTCACCCTTTAATACTCTTGTCAAAACGATTTTCTTATTTTTGATACTCAAATATATGCCTACCATCCTCCCTTGCCTTTCATTCAAAATAACAAATTATGAAAGGCCTTACTTTTACACTCTAACAGTGGTGCTGCGATCGGCTAACAAAGAAAACTAACGCTTCGTGTAATGAAATAAACGATATATTTCCCGTATAATACAAATATAAATGCATGTATATATATATATATACATATAATATATGTTTACATATATATGTACGATATATTTCCTGTATAATACAAATATAAATGCATGTATATATATCTATATATATCTATATATATCTATATAAGCATATATGTCTATATATCTCTATATACATATATATATATATATCTATATATACATCTAAATATGAATATGCATATATGTATTCATTCATAAGAGCAAAAAATAAATTTGTAATAAAATGTGATTATTAAAAATAATAAAAGTCTTGTCTCAAACACTAAGTATCTCCAGTTTGATCGTTGTTGTTTAATTTTTGACTTTTCGACTCTTCAATTACACCCGGAGAAAAAGCTTTATCAAGCGAGCCCGTCTCTTCGATATCTACAGCTATTTCGTCATCATTTAACGCATAGAGTATAGTGCTGTCGTTCATTTTTTCCTGGGCAAATTTCCTTGATCTATTTATTAGATCGAACCAGCCATTTTCAATGGGCCTATCAAAGGTGCGTTCATACCATTCGGGCAGATGGTCGGCATCGAATCCGTTAGGATGACAACTAACTTTAGTGTGCAGTATGTGCACTAAATGCAATTCCAAATAATTAAAGGCACCATCTGACTCCTTCATTAAAGGTGAACTTAATGTACTAATTCTAGTTAAGGGTGTGGAATAGTTTGATCTCGCTTTTATTTTATTTTCATTAGTATTAGCTTGCGCTTTCTCAGCTGCTTTATCTAATTTCATTTTATCATTTAATAATTGTTGACGCTGGGCGTGCTTAGTCGATGGAATTTTCTCATTGCTTTTATAATTCAATACCATATCGGATATACTAATTTTCGGGACTAATGGTTTTTTTGTTGGTAAAATTTTAGTCTTTACTTTCGAACGCACCGCTTTCAATTCATTTTCCATTGGATTTTTATCAATTACCTTATTCGGTTTCTTATCATTCAATTTCAAATCATCAAATTTTTTTACCATCAGCATACCTTCCTTATCCAGTTCTTTATTTTTCAATTCATCGGATTTAACTATTTTCAATGAAGTTGCCGACTTTGCTTTGACAGACTTCAATAATTTTCGTTTTGGCTTTTTTATATCAATAAATATTTTTCCATTTCTCTCTTTCAAAGAAAATTGCTTAGATGCTTCCAATAGGTCCTGTTCGCTTTTATATCCCAATTTTTCGTATGCAACTTGTTTACCTTTTATTAAACGATAATCTCTTAGAATTTGTTCTAACGTGGACGGGCCTCTCTTCGTTTCGATAAGATGATGAATCGCTTTAACAATTTCTCCAAACGCTTTTTCATTGGCCATTTCCTGATTCATATTTATCGTACTTATCTTATCTTTACTTATTTATATATATACATGTATACACACACACACATATATATATATATATATATATATACATATATATACACATGTATATATATATATATTTTTTTTTTCTTGATTTTTTAAATTTACTTTTCTATTTTTTTTTAAAACTACAAATAATGCTGCAATATATATATATTAATATATATATATTTTTTTTTTGTTTTTATCGAAAATAACGGACGTCTTTTTATAAAATATATATCTAGTCAGAGAAGTTCGATTAATCAAATGTAACGTTCACATCGAAATGATTACAATTATCGATATTTTTTCAGGTTGCGTAAGGAATTTTATTTAATAAACTAAATCCATTTCTCTCATCGTTTCGTGATGGGTATGTTAACTTTGTCGAAATGTTTGCACAACACCAAGACGGTGGCTTCAGAGACCCCACAAAGTATATAAAATCTTGGCTAGTTTCAAATTTGGAATGCTTCTACACATGCCCGTCTCTCCGTCTGTCCGCCTACTCAAATGTATAGCATCTGTGGTAAATATTCTCCCACACTTTCAAACAAATTCGGAAATGACCTGAACTTTTCAAAGCACCCACCTATGCAACAAAAACGTTTATTTCGAAAATAGAAAAAATCAGGCCACTGTTTATTATAGAGCATGAAAATGTAATTCTTTTCTTCTAAATTTTACTTCTGTTAATTGTTTTGAAGAAATTTCCTGCCAAAGTCCATTAAACACATATGGAGGCTTATGGTGCTTGTGAATTGACAGTTTTGGTTTGAACGGTTTCAAAGTCGCGATTTTGATGTCGACGATAAAGAGAACGGCCTTGGGGACCAAAAATAGTTCGAAAACAATGACTTGCAAGACTTACTGGACAAAAAACTTTCGAACAGCTGAGCAGTTAATGACTCAACTGTCTCTAGACGTGTCTAGATGCGATGGGAAAGATCCAAGGGAATGGAAAATGGCAACCACATGAATTGACTGAAAATGCCATTCCCGTTTGCCATCGTTTCAACAACGCAGTTTCATTGCTTGCCAGTAAAAACGAAAGTGCGCGACCACTACAACAATCCCAAGTGCAAAAAGCTATGGATTAGTTCCAGAGTGCCATCCACATTCGACATCACAGTGGAATAATCATAGCAATAAAGTCTTGCTGTGCATATGATGGCATCAGCAAAGTATATGGTAATACGAGCTGATAAAACTGAATGAAACTATTAACGTAGATGTGCACCGACGTCGGTTGAACAAATTGAACGACGTATTACTGCAAAAAGGACCAAAAATTGCGATTAGTAGGCGCAAAGTCGTCGTCCTGCATGACAACGCTCGGACACACGTTACTGGGGCTATCAAGGATACACTGTTGCAGCTCGAATGGGAAAAATCTGCCACATCAGGCAATGCGCCTTTTGATTTGCCTCTTGTTCAGATCGATGCACCATGACTTGGGTGAAGAAGTGCGAAAATGAGTTAATGATTGGATCGGTGCCAAACCAATATCGTTTTTTCGATGCCGTATGCACATGTTGAACACAGAAAGATGAGGAAAATGTTCTAGCAAATGATGGAAAACATATTGATTACTGTATATATTGTATGAAATAAAGAAATCCCTTGATCAAAATACAAGCAAGCACCTAGTAGATGAATCTATTTATTTGTAATTTACAACACAAATCGATATAATAAATATTGTTCTCAATCGATCAAATAACTGTACGCCTACATATTTACGAAAATACTGTGCCAATATAATATATTTATCAATTTGAGGAGACGTGAAGAGATGTCGAGACGTTAGTTAAAGCAAAAAAATATCATAAATGAAATTTGCATTTCATTTCTCAATAATGGTTATAATTGATGTGCTACGTTGTATTTGTTCTTTGTGGCTGCGTTTATGCTGCGATAAACCGGATGATTGCTTAAACGAAGCATTGCATAGATGACAAACGTGTTTGCCTTGTTTCGTATGCAACGATTTGTGGTGTAATAAAGTTTTCTTCTGCTTAAAGCTCATATTGCATTCATCGCATAAATATTGCCTATGCATGGTATGCGTGTCCTTATGCGTTGTCAATTGATACCTTGAGGCGAACGATAGACCACATATTTCGCAGCAATATGGTTTCTCGCCGGTATGTTGCCGTCTATGCACAATGAAATTGCAATTCATTTTTGTCCGATAACCGCAATATTCGCATATATAGCTTTCCGATATGATGTGATAGCGTCTCTTATGATCGCTGAGACGTTTAGGATTTTTAAATTGTTTTTGACATTGTTTAAAAGGACATCGATAATCTGCCTTAATATCATTTTGATGATCCATTAGATGATAATGTAAATTGTATTTAGTTGTAAAGGATTTATTACATTCCACGCACACATACGCGCTGCTGTTCCTGTTATCCTGTATTCGATTTAATAATAATGAGAATAATAATAATAATAATAACAAACGAAATTACAACAACAACAACAACAACAAAATACTTGTAAGAATTTTTATGTTATTATATACCATTTAACCCGAGACAAGCGATATATATATATATATATATATATATATAAATATATATATATGCATATGGGTACTAAAGAGTTTATTAGCGTTTTACTTAGGCGATTCTAAATTTAATTGCTGCATTTGAATAGTTTGAACTTTTATTTAGACTAAATTAACAAAATCAATTATATGTAAAAGCTAATTATAAACAAACAATAAAGCAAAAGCAACATTGAGACAAGTGCACCAATGATGATGATGATGATGATCATTATCATTAAGACCGTTTAACAACACATGGTATGCGATTTTTCAATTGTCTTTCAAAAATTGCAAACGTATGCTTTCGGACATTTCGCTTTTTAAGTTAATTAATTGTTGCTAAACTAATTTTGAAGATTTAATCAAATGCACTGTTTATGTAAATAAATAAAAAAAACTCATACTCACTATAGGGCAAATATTTTCTACAGTATCAGTCGATCAATTGTCACCACTTCTCTTAGCAAGTCTTTACACGATCATCATTATATCCCATTTCTAAGCTAACAAGTTTAAGTTAAACCCTATATTATATCATTTATGATAATTTTGGGAAAATGCAATTCAAGCATATTTGTATGCTCCTAAGTAACGATTCTACCTAAATACCCTACAGTATTTTGCCTAATCAAATCTTCATTTATCTTCGTCGCAAGATATCAAAAATTTTAATAATTCTTTACAATGTGAAAGTTTGCATTGCATGGCCTTACCTTATATTATAGGGCAAAGGATCAAGATCAAGAAACCGATCATGTCAAACAAACTTACCAGTCACTAAGTTTAGAACGTATTAGATCACTATGTTGAACAATTGCCCTAAAAAAAAAAAAAAAAAAGAGTAAATTTTTTGGTCATACGAAAGCTTTCATTATACTCTACACCACTTGTGGCACAGATGTATGTAGGTATGTAACACGCAGAAAGGCTTAAGACAGCCCCATCTTTTATTGTACCGATCGATTCAGAATCATAATATGAATTGATCTAAGCCTGTCTGTTTATCTGTCTGCCGCTTGCCTATCCATGTAAATTTGTATATCAAGCTACAGGTCGCAATTTTTCAGATATTTTGATGAAATTTGGTATAGTGACGTGTTTTCGGCAAAGGACGAAGGCTGTTCAAAATGTTTTGGATCGCTCCTTCTTCGACCATTCCCAACATGGTTCTAAATTGGTAAACGAAAACATTGGACAGGCTGGAACAAATTTTGAATCCATTTACTAAAGTTCATATGACAGATAACTATTAAAATGAACGACAAAACTTGCTGAAATTGAAAAACTCGCTGTTAAGGTATTATCGCACTGCATCTCAAAAATCAAATTCTGTATTTTTTAAAATTAAAAAACATATATCATAGCATTTTATCGCAACAGTAATATCGTATCGATGTTTTTATTTTCATTTTCATGCAATTGCAAAACGTTTAACGCTTTTAATGTACAAAAAGAACTTGAGAAAATTATAAGAGAATTCAATTTAACTAAGAAATCTCTCAAATAGGTTATTATTACCCGATGATAAAGGTATTTCCGATTCGAGTGGCATCACCTTTATCATGTCTTCTTCGCGATGTTTTCGCATATGACCGGCCAATCCTGCTGCTTGTTTATATGCGCTACCGCATATTCTACATTTGAATTTCTTTGTATCCAAATGTAAAAAACTATGATGGTACAAAGCCTTTTGGCGGGCAAAACGCGCATTGCAAACTTTACAAACATGCGTTCGACTGCTAGCATGAGAGGCCATATGTTCACCTAACGACGAGCTCGATATAAAACGTTTATTACATATTTTGCAAGCATACGGTCTTTCTCCTGTATGGGTGCGCTGATGAACGCGCAACGTTTCCCTTTCGCGACAACTATATCCACAAATATCGCAAATAAAATTTTTCGGTTTAGTGTGTATTTTCTGATGAGCCCATAAGCGACGCTTCGTATGAAATGCTTTACCGCAATTCTCAAAATCACATTTGAAGTTACGCTCAGTTTGATGTATATCTTGATGTCTTTTCAGGTAATACTGCTCCGTAAAACCTTTATTGCAACCCTCAAATGGGCAAACAAACTGTTTCGCCTCCTTATGTATTAGTTCGTGACGTTTACACTGATGGCGTAATTTGAATCTTTTGTCACACATTGAGCATTTAAAGCCGTCGTGCACGTCAATGCAATGGCGATCGTATAACTTTTGATTTTCGAATAGTTCATTACATTCGCCGCATGGCGTTTCGATATCCAATTCTTTTGGCTTTTTATTGCTTGTTTTATGAAATCTAGCAATATGCGCTTTTAGAGAACCAACACTGCTTAAGTTTCTATCGCAGTTTTCGCATTGATAACTCTTCTTATTGTTGGTCTTATTTTCTGACTGAGTATACAAAATTACGTTTTAACTATTGTATTTTTAGATTATTGCGCCTTCTTACCTCAGGTTCATAGTTCTCATCTGAATCCTGACTTTCATCGCCTTCCGATATAATAATATTTGCATATTTATTGTATCTTTTAAATGTGTCTTTTGTGACCATTAATTCTTCTAATGTTTCCAGATTTTCAGACGTTTTAACATCACCACGTTCTTCAACGAGTATGTCTTCTTGCTCCCTGTCATTCTTCTTTTCATTTACGAACGTTTTGTGAATCCTTGCTATGTGTATTTTCAATAGACCAGGATTAACGAAAGTCTTATTACAATGCTCGCATTGATGGCATTTCAACATCTCTGTTGCATTTGTTTCCTAAAAATGTATACAATACATTTGGGTGAGAGCTGAGTTTTATTTTATTACGTTTTAATGTACCTTACTATCTCTGCCCAGACTGCCCAGGCTATGACGTGCTTTTTTATTGTTCCTTTCTTTTGTTTTTTCCCTATTTCTCTTTAGAACCGTTAGGACCTCTTCAACATCTTCTTTGCTACTTTCTGCACTACTGCTCCTATTCAAAATATCTGGCATATCCTCCCAGGACATTTCATCAACTGAAATTTCTTGCTCGTGGCAGCTGTTCTCATCTTTAACATTCAATTCCAAAAACTGCGCATAATCTATTTTTGAAGCTTCCAACTTTAACAAATCCCCATCGAAGTGCACATTCTCAATATGCATTATAAAATCGGAAAAATTAAAAGATTTCATGTCGCAGAGTGTGCAATATATTGTAAAATCCCTGGAACTGTGGCAGAAAATTTCACCACATTTCGCTTTAGGGGCTTCGTTAAATTTTATTGTTGGTAAAGTCTTCAACATAGCTTTACTGGCTGCAATTCAATAAAAGGAAAAATTTTTTTTATTTTCTTTTGCCAGTCAACAAAAACAATTGACAATGAAAAAATTGACAGTTTGCAGTGTGGCCACGTTCGGTAATTTTTTACCGAAAGAATACAATGTTAATATAAGACGTAAGGGATAGACAATTTGCTAGCTTTTATTTCCGTAACAAGCATATTTCTTTTTTTTTTTTTTGTAAATATTCATTTTTTTATTCATTTTATCATTTAACTTGTAATCTTCAGTAATGCCATCCAAGAAGGTTTCGAAATTGTTATCCATTCAACAACGAACGGTCAACAATCAACTTCTTCTAAGTGATCAGTTTAAGATTCTTGTAGACTGTGTCCTTTTGACAACTAATATCATTCTCTTGGTTAATACGTAACTTGTTACCAATTTTTCCTTCTTCACAATGCAATAGACAATAGATAATCCGTTATTATCGTATTCTACAATTCCGCATCGAATGTTTTTCTGTGTTGAGCGGCGGATTCAGCTACTGGGGCCTTTTAACCAGAAACTTATATTTTATTTATATATGGTTTTTCTTCATATTCAATTTTAGCACCAAATTCAGGAGCGTGGGGTCAGGTACGCTATTCCGAGTGTAAAAGGGAAGAAATACCTATAAATATAGATGCAATAATCGGTGAGGTGGCAAAAGCCATCTTCAAAATTATTTCTGAATATTTATGCATGTCAAAAGATCGTTTTCCATTCTGACAAAAAGTTGTCATGCTGCGCAATGAGCTCTTGAAGTGGCTTGGCAAAGTTAGGAGCAATTCTAGATCGTATTGGGGTAACAGTTTTCTTCTAGTATAAGGAATAGTTCTAGATCTGCTAAGATAATGAGTGATTCTAGATTTTTTCAGATTATTAGCCTGTATCCAGTGCTTCAGAAAGTAATGAGAAAGCCGATGGTAGGAAGGCTTCTACGTGGGCTTTGTCTAAGTTCTACTGCGAGCCACTGACGATACCTGATTACATTTGAAAAATATATCAATGCATTTGTAGACAGGCTTTGACTATACGAACTAAAACAGTGTACCATCTAAACGGATGGAGCTGCCAGGCAATCAAACTCTGAGCAAATTATTTCTTGTAGAGTTGCGCATGTACACTTGGTTTAGACGATATTGACCGCAGGAATGTTGGAACAGGTTGCTCACAGGCATCATTCCTTGGTCCATACTTTTGAAACTTTATGATAGATTATGCAATTATATGGCATCCGCATGTGTTCTGCTTACCTCTCCTATCCGTCTGCCTATTTGTGTCTCGGGTCTCAAGTGTGACAATTTTATCTGGACCCATGGCAATCTTGTTTTGGTTCTTTCAATATTTCCTGCAATACTGGAAGACGGTAAATCAGCGCTATAGAGATGCTTGTGACTCAATTAGTGTCTGATCAGATTCTAAATGGATCGTATTAGGATTTAGTCGAGCCTAGTGTTTTAAATATATGGTCGCCTTAAGCAGGGTTTCTGAGTTTCATGGTGGCTATGATTGACAGAAATCAAAGACAGATTCATTACTGATCATACGCCAAGTGTTACGGAGACGTGCTTACTTCTGACAATCGGTAGTTAATCACCCTTCTGCCACGGCGCACTAGTTGAAATTAGCCCTTTTCGATAGAAATCCATATTAAATCTTTACAGGCAGTTGTGTTTTGAAATCACCGTTCTATTAACCAACAGAATCATACCTAAATAGTTGTGGGCACATTTTATTTGTATTTTCTTTTAAGTGCGTGTAACGTCATCGATATAAAGGAAATTCAATAAAAAATCTATGATCGAATTCTTTTTAACTAAGAAATCCGGTGAATAGATTCTTTTTATCTGGCGACAATGAAATTCTCGACTCTAGCGGCATCATCATCATAATATCTTCCTCTCTATGTTTCCTCATATGTCCAGCTAATCCAGCTGCTTGTTTATAAGCACATCCACATAACCTACATTTGAATTTTTTCACATCCAAATGTAAAAAGCTGTGATGATATAGGGCTTTTGGTCGCGCAAAACGTGCGTTGCATACCTTACATACATGTGTTCGAGTACTTGCATGTGATGCCATATGATCACCTAGCGACGAGCTGGATATGAATGTTTTATTGCAGACCTTACAAACGTACGGTCTCTCACCCGTATGTATGCGTTGATGCACGCGTAATGTGACTCTTTCGCGGCAACTATAGCCGCACATATCGCAAATAAAATTTTTGGGTTTCGTATGTATTTTCTGATGTTGCCATAAACGACGTTTAGCATGGAATGCCTTACCACAATTTTCAAAATTACATATAAAGTTACGTTCAGTTTGATGTACGTCTTGATGGCGTCTTAGGTAATAGTGTTCCGTGAAACTTTTATTGCAACCTTCAAAGGAGCAAATGAATTCTTTTATCTTATTATGCAGCAGTTCGTGACGTTTACAGCTATAACGTATTTTGAACCTTTTCTCACACAAGGAACATTTGAAACCGTCGTGTACCTCAACGCAATGGCGATCGTAAAGCTTTTGATTTGCAAACATCTCCTCGCATTCAATACATGGCATTTCATTGTTTGATTCCTTTGGTTTTTTAGTCCTTGTTTCATGATATCTAGCAGTATGTGCTCTTAGAGAAGCGCAGCTACTTAATGTTTTGTCGCAATCTTCGCATTGAAAGCTCCTCTTGTTATCGACAGTATTGTCTAACTAAAGATAAAATTTAGATATAAAAAATCATTTTGTACCGCCCCTACTTACATCGGGTTCATAATCACCATCTGAAGCCTGGTTATCATCACGCTCCTCTGAATTAATATTATCAACATCTTTATTATATTTCTCATTCGTATTTTCAGCAATCACTAACTCGCCTAACAACTTCTGGTTTTCTACGACTGGATCATCTACAGGTGTTTCAACATTTATCAGTTTTAGCCGGGCAACGCTCTCCTTCTTTTTAGCTAAACTTTTGTGAACTCTAGCGACGTGTATTTTTAGCAGGCCATAGTTAACGAAAGTTTTACTACAATGAATGCACTGATGACACTTTAAACCCTTGGTCGTATTCGCTGGCTTCAAACGTATAAAACACATTTAAATAAGATTATTGCTTTTTTTTTGTCGGATATCATTGTTTACCTTACTATTTTTATCCATATCTGAACGACTGCAATTCGCTTTAGCTTTATTATGTTTCCTTTTACTACTTGTTACTCTTGATCTCCCTTCAGTTCTCTTTAATACAGTTAGCACTTCTTCACTATCTTCATTGCCACTTTCAACACTACTGGTGCCATTTAAAATATCTAATCTATTGTCGCAGCATATCTCTTCCCCTGGAGCTTCGTGTTCTGCAAAGACGTTCTCCTTTTTAACATTCATTCCCAACAAATTCGTATAACCCATGCTAGGATTTTCCAATTTCAATAGATTGTCATTGAAGTGCACATTTTCAATATGAATTAAAAAATCAGTAAAATCAAAGGATTTCATGTCGCAAAGTGTACAATATATTGTGAATTCCTTTGAACGGTGGCAGAAAATTTCACCGCATTTCTCTTTAGAAACATCATTGAATTTAATTATCGGTAAAGTTTTTAACATAATTTCGTTTAACAAATACGAGAAGCAATTTTGCAAATTAAAAGTTTTTGATGTGCTCTCTTGTATAGATTAAGAAGTTTAAACTTTTAACAATTCATGTGAAAATTTTTAATTTAATTTATCAACTAAAAAAAAAAATGATTGGTAGAAAGCAAAAAACACTTGATCCTTTACAAAGTGGCCACAGTTTTCCAAAATTTGCCCATTTGTAGTGTATTTTCAATGTTCAAATAATGACTTTAGTCGAAGGGAAAACAATATAATAAAATACATAAATAATAACAACTAAGTAAAACTAGTACTCATTTTATTAAGGTTAAAACAAAGAACTTTGTCTTTATATTAGACCTTCTTTACACATCACTGCGAATTTTCGGTTGCCTATTTGTTCAATAGAAGAAGAAGAAGAAGAAAATAAAATTACATTAGACAGTTATTTGGCGCCGATTTTTTAATATCCATCTGCAATTTATATATTGAATTCCGGAAAGTATTCAACAAGTGATGATGATAAAATAACAAAGTAACATAACTCATGGTCCTATAAGGCACATGACCATAAATATGTATAAATCTATAAAACTTAATAAATGTTGACGTGCTGCTACATGAAATATGTGCTAATTGTTCGCAATTTTGATCCAAGCGATTTTCGTCTGATCCACTCTCTCCTATCAATTTATTCGATACATCTAAATTTTCTGTTAATTTCATTCGTGACACATGTACAGATCTTTAATACAACTTGCCTAAGTTTGCAGACAATAATTTTGCCTATGTGCGCCGTACTACTTCGTCCTCTTCCTTTCGACTTACTGTCCTCTTATATTTATACGCTAATATATATAACATATAAGGAAATAACATTCTCGCTTATTTATTTAATAGCAACATAAACTCAGAAGTGCAAGGAAGGTGCACTTCTCGTTATAACTTTTAAAAATTATCAATAAATTTAATACAGAAAAGTGAATCGAAACTAAGTAGTATTTTATGCAAAATTTGTATTCATTTTTGATTAATGATATATCAAAGTGAGATTATTTTGTATATCTTAACTGGCAAATGGAGGAAATGTAAAAATTCTTCTTGGTTTTGGCTTGAATTTGTCTCATTTATATATTTACGGGTGTATGCACTATTTATCCATAATGTATAACGTACTTATTATTTAAATATAATTAATTAATCTTCTGTTGTATATATACATATATGTGTGTGTGTGCGTGCGTATTAATTTATATATGACACTAAATATTAGAGATTCGGGGCAAGCGGTAGACATAAAATACTTTAATAGATCAATTAAAACAATTTTTGTCTAATTCAGGTATATATTTGTGCCAACACGACAGGTTATTTAAGGACTGTTATAAATTGGTGATTCAAAGTGTTCAATAACTTGCTTTCCTTATATTGAGACATTCTCATACATATATATACATATGTGTATTATTTATTTATTTATTAGTTTGTATATAAAAATATCATATAAACAAACAAACACTTTATGCTTATGGAAATTTGCTTAGCAACCGTTGACGATACTATCAACCGCCGAAATAGTTTCTTCTCTGGCGATCGGTGGAGTAATTTCTAATATATTTGAAGCATTAGCGGGTAAAAATGAGGTATAAGTTGAATTCTGTATGAGCTCAACAATAACACGTTTTGCCTCTTCTTCTTTCTGATTAACAAAATTCTGTTCTTGGAGAATATAATTTGTCATAGGCTTGTGTACGTCTGGTGAATTAATTGGTGTTATATTTTCTTCTACAATTTGATTTTCGCCTCTAACATTTTGCTTTTCATCGTAAGCTGTGTGCAACTGTTTTCGATGTTTTGTTGAATTTGTGGCTAAGTCTCTTTTAGTCTTTTGTGGTGGCCGTGGTGATTTATGCATGATTTTAAAATGATGACTGAGACCTGAACTAAAATTAAACACTTTTCCGCACACCGAGCAGCTAAGTAAGCGTTTGGGTCTGGGTGTATGAATTTTCATATGTTGCGTTATGCGTAAAGTAATCTTACCGCATACGACACAAGTGTGTGGTACTTGTTCTTTGTGATTTCGCATATGCTCCGCAAGAAAGTACTGAGTTGGGTATTTACGGCCACAAATGTGACATTTAAACAACTTACCCGAAATGTGCGATATTACATGTTCGTCGTAAGTCAGACGGTTTGCAAAATTTTTCCCGCATTGCTTACAATTAAAGGGACGATCTAGGTGCACCTTACGCATATGTCGCTCAAGTAACGAAAGACTACTTAATTTACGATTGCATATTTTGCAAATGAAGCCCTCTGGATAATGAACAGTTTCAACGTGTTCCTTTAACTGACTAATCTTATTGAAAAGCTGGTCGCAATCAGAACATTTATGCGCTAATTTAACAGCACTGTCCGATTCCAAGTAATGTATACGTTTATGTATAGTTAAACTAAACGAGCTTCGAAAACGTTTACCACATGCGGGGCAGACAGTGTTTTCGGTCTCAGAGCCAGCAGAAACTAAGCCCGAGTCGTCAGAACTTATGGAATTTTGTAAATTCTCTCTTAAAATTTTTGGATCAACGATATTGTCTACTTGCGAAGGTAACGTATTAGGAATTTTTGAACCTTCTGGTATCAAAGTTATAACCGTTTCACCTATAATCTTTCGAGTAATGTCTTTGCCTGACAATTTACTATTTTCAAGGTTATTATTATTGAACTGGTTGGTAATAACATTTTCTTCTCCGTACTGAGAATTTTCATTAATAAGGACTTTTATAGCTTCGTTCGTCTCCTGTTCTATTAAAGCATTTTCAGATGCAAATTCCTGATTGAGAGCCAAAGAATCTTGTGATCGCTTTTGTTCTTCGATCTTTATGCGTTCATAAAGCTCGGCAATACGATTTTTAACGGCAATAACTTTAACAGTGGTCACCTTTTTGCGTTTTCCTTTAAAACGCAACAGCTCTTGCATTGTGGGCTAAAAAATATTGTAATTGATTTTCTTTCACAACTTAACTTAAGCAGCTATAACGCTACTAACACTTACTTTTTTTTTTGGCTTTATTCGTTGTTGCGCTTTATCCTCCTGTATAACACATACCCGATCAAATCGTAGTTTCTCAACATTCATCTCCTTTAAAAAGCATTCCTCAAAGCTTTTACTTGCCGTTTCATTTTTCTCAACTTGAACTTCAGTCGATTTATTTGTTAAATTTTGATATTGACATATACTCGAATTGTTATCATCATCGTCCAAGTAAACGCATCCATTTGTAGGTTCACATATATCTTCTTCTTCTTCATCAGCCTTATAAGCTTCAGTCTCATCTAATTCTTCGATAATCATTTCATTATCATCGAGTTGTTCACATTCTTCTATTCTCATAACATCGATATTGCAATCGCTAATGTTGGTCTGCTCATCATAGACTTCTGGATGAACCTCCTCAATTTTTGGTAATGCTTTACCATTCTCTTCTTCTCCTCCTTGGTGTTCCTGAACTTCACGTATATGTCCACTTAAATGTTGACAAAAGTAATCTATATTATCGTAGGTTTCCTGACAAAATGTACAATAAAATTTTAATAAGCGCGTTATTTCGTTATAGAATACGTGACCACATTGTGTATCCTCCTCCTCCAAAAGGCAAGGTAACTCCCCAGAATCACAATTATAATTAGAACACGAAAAGCTACATTCTTGCAAACTTGACGTATCCATTTTTTAATATACAGTGTTTTCCTTAATTAAATAAACAAGCGTTTTCCCTGTTTTGAATGAGAAATAAAGAAAATAATTTGATCACAGTCTAATTTGTTGTTGTTTCCATAGAAGTTGTCAATTTAGAGAATGGCCACAGGGCTTAATGTTTATCAGTTTTAAATATGGCAACATTTTATAGATTAATCTTGGCAACATTTTGTAAAAAGGTGTTGTGGCAAAATCTTTTTTATTAAGCAATATATTTCGTTGCTTTGCCGTGTGCGGATTTCCTAGTTTTTTATGTAGAAAATGCATCCTGATCTCACCGAACGAATACTGCAACATTTGGAAACTGTTGATAAAATTGATACTTTGGATTTAGTTGAAGTATTCGGCGAAGAGCATCAAAAGATTGTAGGTGCTTTGAAAAGCATAGAAGCACATGGTGATTTAGTTAGAACCGAAACAACTTCCCGCAAGAGGTTGGAGTTGACAGAAGAAGGTCAAGCAGTGGTAGCAAATGGCAGCCATGAAGCAGTAATCTATAATGCTGTTCCTGAGCATGGTATTGTACAAGCGGATTTAATGAAACTTACACCGGCCGCCAAAGTAGGTTTCAGCAAAGCTATGTCTCAAGGCTGGATCATGCTAGATAAGTCAGTTAATCCTCCTATAATAAAACGAAAAGTGGATAAAATTCAGGATTTAGTCAAAGAAAACCTCACCGCTATAGCTAATGGTAAAAATGACGTTCCCGCTAATCTGGTAACGGAATATAAAAAACGTAAATTGTTGCAAGAAATTACTATCAAAAGCTTTATACTATGCAAAGGCCCGGAATATGCCAAGACCTTAACCAAACTTGAGACTGATCTAACAATAGATATGATGGCAAATGCGTTATGGAAGGATTTAAAATTTAAGGCCTACAATTTCAATGCTTTGGGTGCGCCGCCTTCGTGTGGTCATTTGCATCCCTTGCTGAAAGTACGTAGCGAGTTTCGTCAGATTTTCCTTGAGATGGGTTTCTCCGAAATGCCTACTAATAATTTTGTGGAATCGTCTTTTTGGAATTTTGATGCCCTCTTTCAGCCACAACAGCATCCTGCACGAGATGCGCATGATACATTTTTTATAAATCATCCGAACAAAAGTTACAAATTTCCTCAGGATTATCTACAGCGAGTGAAACAAATTCATTCGAAAGGAGCTCACGGTTCTCAAGGATACGGTTATAATTGGAAACTGGAAGAAGCTCAAAAAAATCTCTTACGTACTCATACCACGGCAGTTAGTGCACGAATGCTTTACAAATTGGCCAATCAAGCAGAAGGATTTAAACCTGTGAAGTATTTCAGCATAGATAAGGTATTCCGCAATGAAACTTTGGATGCCACACATTTGGCTGAATTCCATCAAGTTGAAGGTGTTATAGCTGATGTCGGTCTAACTTTGGGCGATTTAATAGGCACTCTATATGAATTCTTTCGCAAATTGGGTATTACCCAATTAGAATTTAAGCCAGCTTATAATCCTTATACTGAACCTAGCATGGAAATATTTTGCTATCATCCTGGTCTGAATAAATGGATAGAAGTTGGCAATTCAGGAGTTTTTCGTCCGGAAATGCTGCTTCCAATGGGCTTGCCAGAAAACGTTAACGTTATCGCTTGGGGTTTATCTTTGGAACGTCCCACTATGATTAAATACAGCATAAATAATATCAGAGACTTGGTGGGTCCCAAGGTAGATCTGAAAATGGTTGAAGATGGACCGATTTGTCGCTTGGAACGTGCTTAAAAAAAAAACAGATTTTCATATTTACGTGTTTTTGAGTCGGAATGCAACACAGTGTATGCTCCGACATTATAGTGAATGATCTCGAAAAAAAAGAAGAAGAAACAAAGAAGATTTTTTAATACGTCACTAATTTTTCATAAAAGCATTTTTCTTTATTTTTTAAATTTAGTTTAAAAATAGTAAAACAAATTGGAAAAACGTATTCGAGACTTGTAAGATAATTTCTAAAAATTGTGCTAAGATAACAATTGGGGCTATTGGAGTGTATTAAGAAACGTTTCTTAGACGCAGCTGCTAATCCATGAATCACACATCAACTGCTTTGAATAATTCGAAAAATCAATTGCTAATAAACGCAATTAAACCCAATCAAAATGTAAAGAGCGGCATATCCTGTTCACCAAGTACATTCACAATACCAACGTTAAAAGTTGGCGCTGATTTGTCTACTTTCGACGTCCTAAATGTTCAAAAGCAAACAGATCAGCAAGGTGTTAGCGGTGGTACAGTTTCTAATGAATCTACAACGAAATTAAATCAGTTTTTATTAAGCCAACTAAAAGAGAAGCAAGCGGCCAATGATGAGAATTCAACGGAAAACTGTAATGGCATTTTATTGCCCAAATTGCAGTTAAGCGGTGTTATTACAAATACGGATAGAACTTACCCACCAGCAAAAGCGAAATTTGACATACCTTTAATTAAAACCAACGTAACAACCCAGACTTCCAATACTAGTGTTGGCAATTTGTCCTCTGAGTTTAATAAACTAGATTTCAACGGATCTCTTACCGTTAAACCGTCAACACAAAACATTGATCTTACTACTGCGTTAGCGACCGCAACTTGTAAAGAACAATTTAAACGTTCTTGCAAGGCAATTAATGCAACGTCGAAAACTCAATTAGATAATGATGTTGTTTTCGATATTCCTTTTATTGAATGCGATCGTCAAGATACATTTTCTAAAAAATTTTCACTGGATGATGTAACAAACGAACATTGTCAAACCGACGTTTCCCAAGTAATTTTAAAATATAACATTGCCCAACCATCTCCTTTGGGTCGCCTGTTAACCCAACGACATCGCATCAAATCTATAACCGCAACGACATTGATGAATTCGTCTTCATCGACTAATAAAAAAGTAAAGCATAAGATTGTACCTTTTCAATTTGATACCAAATCACCAGATGATTTAGTTTTGGCCGCCTTGAAACGTCCGTTCAAATGACAATTTAATTTGTATATTTATGTATATTGATCTGACAAGGAATTTTAAATTGTTAGCAACTACTCAACACATCCTTTCTTAGATCAAAACAAATTATTAAAAATTTGCTTTTAATTTTAAAAAAAAAGGTGCGTTTTTGTACAAATAAAATAAAAACTTTTTTATTCATGTTTTCAAGAAATCACAAGTTAATATCAAAAGTTTCTTGTTTATGTACATTCATTCATTCTATCTGACAAAAATTTATGCATAGATTTAATTAATAACTGTAGTTAGGAGATATGGTTTCAAATTATCTGTTACCAGTTTCGGGGCAAGGCTAAAAGATCATCCAAAGATCTTGCATAGAGTTCTCCGCAATCAAAGAAACAATGACATAATGACGAATCCCAATCTAAAGAATTAAGTTTAAATTAAATTTTTCTTTACACGGTCCATATGCCAATATCGCCGTCTGCAATGTAGCAAGATTCCATCTCTTTCTTACGGAAAAGAGGTTTTTATTATATTATTCTCTACAGAAAATTATAAACCTATTTTCGATAAGCAATAATAAATAAGTGTCTCAAACTTTAAATGGCTTCATTTTTCCTTAAAAAAAAAAGCAGAGTCGTTTTTAGCTTTTTCATTTGTATGACTTATAGTCAATGTTAATTAATAGGGAAAGCCCCATGAAAAAGGATATAAACGTTTCTCATTAAACGCTTCGTGTATGTTTTTTGCGCGCGGATTTTTCAATTGATGGGTTTACTTATTAAATAATCAAAAGAAAGATCAGAAAGAGTGATATTAAGATGCTACTCAGGTATCCTGTACGTGCGGACACGATAGTGGTTAGAGAGGAGTTCACAAGGAGTTTAAGCGTTCAACTTAAAAATAGCATCAGGTAACGTGGGGACGACCTGCTGGTAGATTGTTCCAAAGAGAGAGAGAGAGGAGCAGACAGTAGAGTTAAACAACAACGAGTCGAAACAGCTGTACGAAGACGTGACACAGACAGACAGAAATATGTTCAAAATACTCATGATGGATATGTACAAAAGATCCCGTCAAGCTGAAAGTTGCTACTTTAAAATTTTAACAACTATCCACTAGTCATTTGCTATGGCATGACTCCCGTTTTATGCAGGTATAGTATCTAAGCCTGCGAAATATTACTGCAGTAGTAAGCAAAATTCCACTGCTAAATAAAATTACCAAAGGTTTAACATTAGCAAAAGCCGTCGGCAAAACAACGACCCAAATTATCTAACCGACCAAATTATCTATCTGTAGTTTGGCTGTTGTCAAGTATTTTTGCTCCGCTTTAAAAAGCCAACGGCCTCATCTACATCTTGCGAACACATCTTATGTCCAAAGAACATGGTTTTGTGTCCTCGTGGCCAACACATCCGGAATGTAATCAACTGAGGCTAGCAGTAACGCGTTCCAGACCAAATAAGAATTACAAAAAAGCAAGTGATTTAACAAGGAAATAAACATTGTATGGTGTTGCCATGTGATGAAAACCAGGAAATTATTCTACGCTCATGATTGAAAGAAGAAGATCATTTTTAAGTCCGGAAATGATGAGAAAAAGTTGAAACGATTTCTGATACTTTTATATTTTTGAGATTTGAAAATGACGTATTCAATACAGGACGACTATAATGAGTGCTTCAGACAATTCGGAAGTAAAATTTAGCGCCGAAAGTTGTTTTAATGTTAAACTTTTGTAATCGGGATGTATTCTAGTAAATTCCACAGGAAGGAAGCTCTACAAACTATTCTACATTATCTATTGGGCGACTCACACATTGACCAGCAGACTCAATCCGGGATAGCCACCGAGTTACTTCGTCTTTATAACAGTAGTGAACTCAGGTCTGACCACTCTTCCCCGAATAATGCAAAGCAAGATACTTTCTGTTTGCTTTGTAGCGCAATGTACGATTTAAATTCGTTGACTGATGATTTTATCGCAATATATATGGTATGCAAGTTATATGTTCTAATTGCTTAATGCGTAGCGCAATATGTACTTGTGTTTAATTCTTTAATATCGTGATAAGATATTTGTATATAAATCCTATTCTAGTCCTAGATGTGAAATGGAAGCTTGATAGAAGAAAGACATTTCTTTTATTTTCAACTAACTAATTTTTAAAACTAATTGTGTTTTATCTCGAATTGTCGTTACATTTGCTATAACAAAAACATTTACTATCGAAAAATTTTCATCTCTATATTTTCTCGCACTGTGTGTCCTATGAATATTAAGAAAGAAAAAACAATATTAAGTTTCCAAGCAGAATGAACATTTATTGAATACTAGAAAGAAATAAAAAATTTCTTGTAAAATGTAATTCAAGAAAAAAACCATGAAATATCGTTAACAATTGGAGATGATAGCTGCGAGAACGCCCTAAACGCCTAAACTATTAAATATGATGAAGAAATCAGAGGTGTCCTCGACCCGGAAATCGGACGCCTCATTTTCTTGTGATAATGCTTCGTCGAATTTGTTGTGTGGGGAGATATTCGTTACGCGTAGTGCCCGAAAATGGACGTTTATTTGTACGTTCTGCAATAAAGGTACCCGCGATATAGGCGAATTCGTCTGCCATATAAAATTGAAACATTTAACATATCCTTATGATGAGGATTATGATTCAGCTGATATAGAAGAATCAACACTGACGACGGATGGAGCATCAAATGAAGGCCAGGAAAAAAGTCAGGAAAGTGATGTAAGAAATGCTTCCATTAAAAATAACTTTAAGAAGTTAAACGATTTCTTCAGGTTAATTATTTTTTAAACTAAAAGTTTCCTACTTTCATTAATATTGAGAAGCTAAAAAATTTTCCTATGAAACTCGAGAAAAAAATGAAAATTTTGCATGCCCTAAAGTGAATTTTTGTTGTTTTCCATTTGTAGTATTTTGATTACGGCAATTATTTGGATGTTAGCGTACACACCGAAATCGGCGATATATCTTATGGCAAGAATAAATTAACAAAAAGTCGTACATTATCAGAGCGTATCTTTGTAAATAAGGAACAACAGGAGGAAAGTAACTTTTTGCCCAAGTCTTTAAATGAAAATGCCGGCGATGACGTTACTAATGCTGATAACAAGAACGATGACATAAATTTGCAAAAACATAAGGACAACAAATTAAGAAGCAATTACGTTGCGAAGGAAGGAACACTTGAGAACGCAGTGGAACGTGAATTTAAAATAGAAATAGACGAAAGGAACGTAGTTAACGATAATGGAGTTGACATTGAAATGACTGAAGAAAATAGTGAGTTACAGACTGCCTCCACTGCTACTTCATTGCCTAGCAAAGCCCATGCTAACACTCCAAGTAAAGATGGAAGCGGTGTATTCTTGAAGCGTAATCGTAAACAAATACGCGGACCAGCTTACTGTCAGCTATGTAATAAAACCTTTCAATATTATTGCCTTTATAGGAATCATATGATAAAACATTCCAATTATACACCATATATGTGCCAATTATGTAAGAAACGCTTTAAATCTAAGCAGGCCATACGCTACCATATGAATACACATTCGCGTGAAAAGAAGGAGTACCAATGCCCGTTATCCGTTAGTTATAGCGGCTTTCCCTGCAAAGTTTGCGGAGAAATAATAAATAGTAATGAAGCGAAAGAAATGCATTGGAGAAGACATACAGAGGAGCGACCATTCGGTTGCAATGTTTGCACGAAACGTTTTCGTTTACGTCATCATTTGATACATCATTTAAAGTTGCATAGTTTATACCGTTGTGAATTTTGTAAAGAAGAGTTTTCAACATCACAACCTTCACAACGTCCATACACATGCCCACAATGTGAAAAATCGACCGAATTGCATGAAAAGGTTAGAAAAAGAAAAGCAATGTTTAATAAACCGGTTGAAATAAAAAATCCTTTAAAATTATATAAAAGTACGATGGCGCCGCAACCACGATCAACTGAATATGTGCATTTGGATGAAACGGTAACAGACGATGAAGAACGTTCCGAAACGAATGATTTGCTAGCAGCAAATAACAATAGAAGGAAAAAACGAGCAGCTTGTAAGTACTGCTCGCGCAGTTATACGCATCCCAGTACACTTAACCATCATGTACGTCAAAAGCATCCTGATATGTTGTAAGGAAATTGAATTTATAATCATACAAGTAAGAAAGCTATGTTCGGTGGGGGCCAAATCTCACATACCCACCACTATGCTTTTCGTATTCTACTATCCAAGTTCTTTTATTTGATACCCATATCCCTGGTATTATTTAAAAAAACCGTGTCCACCATATTGGTTTTAGAATTAATCCATTTTTAGGCAGATAACATATCTCCATTTGAGGAATGTGCAAAATAGCTTATTGGTTATTTCCCTTATCGTAAATAAACAAGAAATCTGAAAAGATTGGGAAAAAAAATTAAATTTAATCATTGTAACTTTATGTGGGCATAGCCGATTTTTTCCATTTTTGCACGAAAAGAGTAGAGTGTTTCGTAAAGTAAATGTGGAAAATTTCAGCCTTCTAACTTCAACTATTTCCGAGTAACGAGCAAAAACCTCCACGTTTTTGTTAAAAAAACTTGAGTGACGTTCAGCTTACGTTCCACTACAGGCTTCTGCTCTAAACAATTTGATCCATTTTCAATGCCAACCTTTGCGCAAAAACTTTCAATCTTTCTATGAAGTTTGAAGTCGAAATCTTAATTTTTGCGACCAGGATAGTGCCAACAACAAGCATCGCACAGACGGACAGACGTGGTTTAATCAATTCAAGGGTCTCTGGAATCAATTATAGCATCTCTAAAACTTCCTTTTGGGTGTTGCAAACATAACAAATGCCATCTGTTACTCTATTAGTCAAAAGATCTATGCTGGCTTGCAGGTAACTAAGAAAAGGCGACATTCTACTTATACACCAGTTAATAGAATAAATAGATTTAAGCCTAATTTCATAGAGGGGAATGTATAAATTCGTCCCGATAATTGAGCTTGTTTATCATCTCTGTTCTTTTGGCAGAATTTATGTTCAATCTCTATAGACACCAAAAAAAAAAAAAAACGCCGTAGAACTAGCCTAAGACTCTCGCGTTTTATTATCGTCGACAGCGAGTACCAAGTTGAAATTCGAATGGAATTTCATAAACCACTTTTGCGACATTCATTCTGCATTCGTAATATATTTCTATATATTAGGTGCTTGCAAAAATTTTGAACATTTTTTCACTGGGAATAGGCATTTATTGTGAAACATTCGTCCAACATATATGAATGAAAATATTTTCCATCATTTTGTACAATATTTTCTTATATGTCCGTTAAACAGAGCGATATCATGTCGAAAGAACTTAACTGCTGAATAACTCAATAATAATAGTATTAAATGGAAAACCGTTATTACAGATCGATGCAGGCGAAAAGGCCATGGTACTTTCCGTTCCTTTATCATTTTTACCTGTAGTAATCGCTGATCAGAATTTTTGCAATCACCTTTGTAAGTATGCAATGCCTTTACGAATGAAATGAAATCATATGAGAAGAATATTGATTATGATTTTCGGAAAATTGCCGCGATGACGTGGGCTATCAAAATGAACCCGCTCTGATTTTAATATTGAAATATTTATTATATTAATTTATTTTGTGATAGATATTGTTTACCATTGTTTACGACTGCAGTTTATTTATCGTTGATTTTCTTCGTTTTTTTTTTTTTTTCAAATCTTATTACCTATGTTAACTAAGATATTTTATATTACATATATTTAATTATGAATTTCAATAAATACAACAAAACAATGTAATAACAACTTTAACTTTAATTGGAGGATCTGAAAAGCATTCTACATTTAGTAAATTGTTTCTTAACAAAAGTTGATATAAGATAAGATATAAAAATTAAAAAAAAAAAAAATTACAAATTTATTTTCATAAAATAATGTACGAAAAATCGCTAAAATCAATCAGTCTAATTCAAGAGTTAATGGAATCGTTCTTCAGCCCCGATTATAATCGAAGAAGACCCCCATATATACATGAATAAAGCGGAATATTGTAAATTGGAAAATATTGGTAAAATGTATAAAAATGGTTTCATATATACATATATATAGGCCGTACGATGCAAGATGAATGTCAAGCTTTCTCTTACAATCAAACATAGTACACATTCCCTATAATAGGGAATGCAAAAAGCCCATCGGAAGTCGTATAGAATGTCTAGCTTGTTTTTAAATTTTTTTTTTTTTTTTTTTTTACATATTAAACTAATAATAATAAATTAAGAAAGTCTTTATCGCTTAGATGTGGATAGTGATCGATCGGAATAATTTTTTACCATTCTACTAGGTGGAGCCATAAATAACTTCCGATGCAGATAGGTAGAATCTGTTGTTCGTATTTACCCACTAGTAATTCACCGAAACAGTCACAGTTTTTGTTTTTACTATATAGCTGAGGATTCAGTGAGCCTTCGATCAACTGTTTTATGTGGTGTATGTTACAATCAACTCTGAAACAGAGTCAAAAAAAAGCATATTCGACATGTGAGAGTTTGACTGGACTGATAACTGAACGTGCAGTTAGAAATTGCTTTGCAGAATTTCCTTGTGGGGATACAATCTTAAAAGACAGGTCGTCCTTCGGACTTTGAAGGCAATGATAGAGTAAAATCGACGCCACTCAGAGAGCTTCAATACCTTACAATCACTTATTAAATTAATACAATTTTGTGTTATTCAATAAAATGAAAATAAATGAAAGTTACTTATGACTCGACCTAATAAATTGTTAGATAGGCCTAAGAAATCTACGCATCAGTTTTTAAAAACAAAAAATTTCTTTGGGCCTATACTTTGGTTACAATTCACAATCAAATGTAGACGGATCTAAATCATTCGTTTATGAAATATAACTCATAAACTGCGGACTAATGCCTATTACGAATCGAAAGTTAGAATATTTCCTATAATAGGCATAGCTTCTTCAAACTTGATCTATTTTTACTACCCTAGGTAATACTAACAACGGAAGGGATACGAACAGGACTCAATCGATTACGAATTTTCCATTATCGGGCCTGTAATAAATGTTTCCGATTATCAGCAAAGCGAAGAATACGGTTTTCAATAAAAATACTAGCAAGTTTTAATCATTCTTTTCTCAGCCTAAAGCTATAGGTTGTTATTGTCGTTACACTAAAGGGTGAGCAATACGATGTGAGATCTCTTTCAAAAATTCCATTTATTTGCACTTTTTAAGGAAAACGCTATGACATCTAAGGCGACAAACGGGATCGAAACGGAAATTACGCTCAAGATTTTATATTAATAGCATTATAAAAGAGTTACAGTATTTGCATTTTATAGAACTTGCGTCACGTTTAAGCTTGAAAAACTTATGGCTTTCTATTGATATTACAAACTTTGTTTGCAAGACTTTCCTTCGAAATGATATTATTTTGACGCCACATTCTTTTCATAAGCATTTGAGGCAAAAAAAAAAACCGATTTAGGGAAATTTTTAAAGAAAAAAATTTCAGAAGGTGTATATGTGTTATCTTCCCTTTCCTGCGTCTCTTTTACAGGTACACGCAGATGATTATACAAAGGGAGACTCTTATGTAATATCTGCATTTATCTGGCTGGAAGACTCCTATTAGGCTTTGCCGTTAATCGACTTCTACAAATAGACATATACATGCATATAAATTTTATATATACATGTAGATACATATAGTAGAGACCGTTGCGATTGGGTGTCGCAAGTACTTAGTTATAGTAAATGTATACACATATATATATATATATATATATATATATATATATCTAGGAATGTTTATATAGACGTGGTGATAGACGCGCTAGTGTTTTGATTAACTGCAGGCATGGTAAATAGATCTACGTATATGTATACGAATATAAGCTTCCAAACAGATCTATGTAAGACAAAAGTATATGAAAAATTATTATTGATACGATAAAGCAATCATCTTATTTGGGTAATTAAAAGTAACCATATTTCGGCCACAGCACAATTAAAACATCAATTGAGCAACAATACGACTTAGGTATTAGTTTGGCTATCTTATGTCTGATTTAAGTTTTAAAACTTTATAAGAATCTTTCCTTATTTGACTTATTTGCTACTAATTTATTAAACACAAACTTTCTGTTTTACGATCGCTGCGTGACTTATCAAAGTCAGCGGTATCCTTGGCGATAAAACATCATCGCCCTACGGTTTAGAAAAAATAACAACAAATACTCTTTTTTTTTGAGGAATTTATGATGATATGATAAAGGTCTTTTAACTAATTCAAAAATGAAACGTTTTATTCCGTTAAAACATAAAAAAAAAAAAAAAAAAAAAAATGCAAATTAACTCGTCTCAAATTTTTGTCGCTTTAAATTATTGTCTACCTATGTGTCCTTGAATTGTCAACACAGCAAAAAAAAAGAGAAACTGTGCACAGAAATAAACAAACATGTGTGTAAGTTAGTATATGTATAACCATTAAATAATAGAACTAACGATGTTTCTAAAACGCTGATTTTGGCTTTTAATTTTCATTTGCATTGGATTTGTATGCTTATTTATATTATACTATATTTATAACGATTGAGGGCTATTTGTAACGAGTAAATCTACCACCGTATAACGATGTAACGATTGCCCATGCATTTTCTACAAAACGTACAATCTGGTAACTCTTCTTGTTATTGTTGTTGTTTTTTTCTTTGCAAGCACAGCAAAATTACTTAGTTATTTCATTTTTGTTAAGTTGATTTTGCTCTGAGAAATAGAATTTTATTCTCAGCAAAGTTAAAAAGCCACTCAGGGGATTGCATAAGGAATGTACAGGAAAGTAAATTCTACTCTGAGAAATAGAATTTTATTCTCAGCAAAGCCAAAAAGCCACTCGGTGGTCTGTTACACGAAGTGGCAGTTTATTTTATTTTTCTAATTTTTGTTCATACTCATCTCAATAATTTTTGCTAAGAATTAATTTATTGAAATTTTTTTTGTAATTTATATTGTCATTGTTATTGTTGCAATTGTTCTTCAAGTGTAAAATAACGCACATAAAAGATATTTCAAGAATACATATAGTACACGACGAAAAGCAAAGTAATTCTAATAAGAAAAAAGTTTTTCAATAAAAACATTAAAAAAAAAAAACGAAAATAAAGAAAGAAGAGAACAAATTCTGTATGTGTGTGGAAATTAATGCGTGAAGGAAGGAAGAAAGACATTTTTTGTTCTCGCTAGACGGGAATTGAATCCCGGCCGCGCGTTTGTGTGAAAAAGTATAAAAATACTGAAATTCATTGAAATTTATGTATGTATGCATGTGAATGAACATACGTTCGTATACGTTGGTATTGGACTACACGAAAACGCAGAATTCAATTGCGAAGAATAGGGGATTACAGTTTTTAGGTCTTTTTTTTATTTTTTTTGCATTTAATTAAACTATTCAAAAATTAAAAAGCTGCTCTTTTTTTCAATTATAAAAAGATTTTTTAATAATAGCTATATAGTGTTAACTTAAAATATACTGCTTTCGTTATAATGTTGCAGAATTTTGGCAACACTATAGCGCCGATTATACTCAAAGTAAGAAAGAATTAAGACCGAACTAACCAACGAACGTTTCGTATCGTATTGTTTAGATACTTTATTCTGATATATTAAAAGAAATATGCATACGGTGTATCGTCTTTTTCTAAATCAGAATAAAACTGCTGTTTCAAGCAGTACGATACGTAATTACTTACATATAATAGCAAATGGAGTTTATCAGCTGTTCAACTATATCAGATGCTGTCAAAATTACAGAGATATCAGACGCATTAAAGCTAATCAACAAAAAAAAAAAAAAAAAACGTAGAATGAGATGAATTTTTAGACAAAAATTCGACGTCTTCATGTTGTATGGGTTTTAGCGCCATACGCTATAGATGTTCAAAAGTCTATTGACTGTAATTTCTTTCCTGGCATATGAAAAGAATAGTCGATTAATGTCTAATATAAGCATAATGCTATGCGTGTACGTTTCTCGTCATTATACCAACATTACTTCGCTATACATTACTTTGAATATAATCAGTGTTTAACTAAACAACGAAATAGATAGATATAAGCAAATGCTAGAGGCGATAAGGCGGAAGAAAATAAAAATTAAAGCAAAACTTACGACACAATGACATCGAAAAGCCGAATCAACACAGATTGCAAAAAGCCAAACGCACAAACATATGGTTTATGTTAATTAGACAGGCAAACAGGCAGACAGGCAGAAAAAACAGCAGACGCAAAGCTAACAAGAAAAGGAGAGACAGATACAGAAAATAAAAGCAAATTAAACTCATTTAGTTGGTCATATATATATATATATATATATATATATATATTTACACGCAATAAAATAAAAATACAATATCATTATCACGGCACTACCACATATACATAAATCACTCACTCTCGTATGTAAAGAGCCAGACGGAAAATTTTCATTATAGAAATATCTAGCTTAGTTGACTGATTGACTGTCGGTAAAATTAATGCGAATATATGTAGGTGTGTATGTGTGCGTATGTATCTGTTTAAATTTTATGCATGCAGTTTTTTATTGGAAAACTAAAAAGCAAAAGCAAAAAAAAAAAAAGAAAAAGGATTGTAGTAGGTGAAAAAGGTCAGTCAGTACTGTCGTCTGCAAACGCAGCGAAGAGTAAATAGCGCGCCAGTGACAAGACAAACAAATACTTAATAGACATGTATACAAATGCTTTTTGTTTGAATTCTTAATGATTTTTCTGTTGTTGTCTGATATTAGTTTATATACTGCGTGTTATATGGACGGAACCGGCTTAATATGCAAGGTATACGCCATGTTGTCTGGCTTTTAAAAGTGTGCTTTGCTTTGTTGTGCTCACAGACACTTTTGAAAATAATTATGTGTGTTTATCAGATATTTTAACTAAACGGAATGTTGTGTGACGATTAAATGCAAACAAAGATCGTAGACGATTGATTTTCGTTTTTGAAGTTCATTTTCAAAACAAATGAAATTTGATTTCATCAGTAACTGAAGGACCTGTAGCGGAATCGTTACTTGATACTTTATATATATTGATTGGTTAATAATAATAGTAAGTTTCGTATTCAAATTATTTTTACTTTTTTTTTTGTTTTTTTTTTTGTTTTTTTTTTTTTTTTTTGTTAAAAAACTTATAGATTTGTCTTTGAACACGTTGTGCTTATATTGCCAAAGTTAGAGTCATCTACAATATTAGAGATTCAAGAAAGCAGTACGCGCCTCAGTCTACATTTATTATATTGGGTTGTGTAAAGGCTTTGATATTTATTTGGGCGTGCACCGTTGTTGTGCCACGTGAAATGTTGCCATTTACACCGCAAGTTGTTAAACGTTTATTGGCATTGAAAAAGTGCAACGAAGACAGCGTCGAGGGCAAGTGGTCCGAAAAGGCTGTTAAAAATCTAGTCAAGAAGATTAAAAAAAATTCGGCTCTTGAGGAATTGGAGAGAGCCATATCTACCCAGAACTGTAATACGCGTTGTGTTACAGTACCGCGCAATAAGCCGACCGCCTCCGGTGAGAATTTACGCAAAGGTTTACCGCATGTTATCTATTGTCGTTTGTGGCGCTGGCCGGATCTGCAGTCGCAAAATGAATTAAAGGCTTTGGATCATTGTGAATATGCTTTTCATTTGCGCAAAGACGAAATTTGCATTAATCCGTATCACTATAAAAAATTGGAATTGTCTATTTTGGTTCCGAAATCCTTGCCTACCCCGCCGGATAGTATTGTTGACTATCCGTTAGATAATCATCAGCATCAGATACCAAATAATACTGAATACAATGCAGCGACGTTACGTAGTGCTTCCTTAAGTCCGCCTCAATATATGGAATTATCGACTAGCAGTCAGCATCAATATAGTCAACAACAATCATCGCAGCAGCAACAGCAACAACAACAACAGCAGCAGCAGCAGCAGCAAACGGTCCAACAGCAACAGCATTCTCCCGGGTTTTTCAGCGGTAACGGGATGAGTGCTACGGCCCAGCAGCAACAAATGACTACAAATAATTTACCGCCCGGAGCTTGTAACATGGACTCGCAATCGAGTGTGTTGAGTGTAGGCAGCAACAGTATACCCAATACAGGTACCCCACCGCCTGGTTATATGAGCGAAGACGGTGATCCGGTAGATCCCAACGATAATATGAACATGTCACGGCTAACGCCGCCTGCTGACGCTGCACCTGTTATGTACCATGAGCCAGCTTTTTGGTGCTCCATTTCCTATTACGAGTTAAATAACCGTGTAGGCGAAACGTTTCACGCTTCGCAACCTTCAATTACGGTGGATGGCTTTACTGATCCTTCTAATTCGGAGCGTTTTTGCCTAGGACTGCTCTCGAATGTTAATCGCAACGAAGTGGTCGAACAGACACGACGTCACATTGGCAAAGGTGTACGCTTATATTATATAGGTGGTGAAGTTTTTGCTGAATGCCTTAGCGATTCATCGATATTTGTTCAAAGCCCAAATTGCAATCAACGCTATGGCTGGCATCCGGCTACTGTGTGTAAAATACCGCCCGGTTGCAATTTAAAAATCTTCAACAATCAAGAATTCGCTGCTCTGCTCTCACAATCGGTATCGCAAGGTTTTGAAGCTGTCTATCAGCTAACGCGGATGTGTACCATACGCATGTCATTTGTGAAGGGATGGGGAGCTGAATATCGCCGTCAAACGGTCACCTCGACTCCATGTTGGATTGAATTGCATTTGAATGGACCGTTGCAATGGTTGGATCGAGTACTCACTCAAATGGGTTCACCCCGTCTGCCTTGCAGTTCGATGTCTTAAAGAAAGCATAAAAAGAATTTTTTTTTAATAAAAGCAAATGAAAGAAATGAAAATGAAAGCAGGTATGTTAAACAGTTGAAAACGCATAAAAAAAATAGATAGTTAGAGAGAGAGAGAGATAGAGAAAGATAGAGAGAGAGAGAGAGAGAGAGATAAGCAGAGTGAGTAGAAGGAGAGAGAGAGAGAGAGAGTTAACATTTGAAAATTGATAACAAAATGGAACAAAAGAAACAATTTTTCCTAACTAACGTAAAGTCTCCCAATTTCAGTGAACCTATTTGTACACACATTTGTTTTATAAAATATTTCAAATGCTTTTTACAAAAAAAAAAAAGTTAAGCTCATGCCTCATTACTCTCCAAATCTCGTTTAGTTCTTCCATCAATCGGGTAAGTGCTACTACTCTATCTACTATACTCATATACTTTTATTTTTTAGTTATCAATCATTCAAGCCATCCCAGAGGGAAATCTTAACGTATAGACTTCTTGCTTTTATTTTCTTATTGTATTTAATTTGCAGTTTTTTGAGAAATCATTAAAATGAAACTTCAAAGAAACGTCTTGCTCTTCTTCTAATTTGTTTTTTTTTTTTTTTTTTTTTTTTTTAAAGCAACACACACAAACACACACACACACACACGCAAAGAACTAAAATGAAAATTTCTAATATTTTGTAACTCATGTCTGAGTAAAACTGAAACGTTAAATAACAAATTGACTTCTTATTAAGAAATTGAAAAAAAAAAAAAATTTAAGAAAAAAATTTAAAAAATGTTCGCTTGAAGCAGTTGAATTGAATTATTATTCATTATTGTTAATTGGAAATCTTAAAGATACGATTAAGTGAGAAAGGTTATGAGGAAGAAAAAAATTTTTTTTTTTAAAGTTAAAAGGAAAAATATTTTATATACAATTCATTATATTATATATATATATGAACAGATAGATATATGCATATGTAGAGATTTGAAGTGTATTAGGCGAACAGAGGTATACATCAGGTAGGAAATCATTCTTTTTGTATTTCTTTAAAAGAAGAAAAAAAAGAAGAAGAAAACCAACAAAATTAATCGAAATAAAACTCAAGAAATCATTTTTTTTTTTTGCTGCAAAAATTACATAATGATTTTATTCTCTTGATCTTTAATCAAATATGTGATAAATCGAACTTTTTTTAAAATTTCAAATTCCGCGACTAAATAGCAATGAAACTAAGATATCACTTATCATATGTTTTATGAGAATTAAAATAATTTTTTTTTTTTTTTGTTAATTTACCGTATTTTTCGTATTATAAGACGCAAGCCATCTTTTTTACATAGAAAAATGGACTCAAATTTTGGATGCGTCTTCTGGACCGAAAGGTAACATTCAAATATTGTTTCAATAAATCATCTCTAAATTTGACGTTTGTAAGGAGTGACAACAAAATAGTTCAGATGAAAGTAATACGAACGAGATGAGTATATAGTAGAGATAGTAACGTCAGGGAAGATTAATTGAATATTGCTAGTAGGACTTATGTTAACTATAAATAAAAATTTTGATCCGAAAGTAACATTAAAATATATATTTTTAAAAGCCATTCAAATGTTCTCTTGTAGCATCGGTCGATCCAAATTTTTATCGAACGAAATGACATATCTGAAGATCGAAAAAAATAAATATTATTTTGTCGAATTTTAATCGGTGCACGTTCAGTGATATTAGCTAACACATTTAGCGGACAAGGCAATCAATCTATGGTATTACGTAAAAATAAGCCGCGAAGAGCAATCGGTTTCATAATGATGATGATGAACAATCTCAATCATCAATTTTTACAATAACATTGATGGGCATAAAAGATTCGATCACAACCGAATTATATTACGATTGTGGCATGATGTCTGCTTCAAATGATTACACTGGCAGTGGTTGTCTTTTGGTTAGTAATTATATAGAAATGAATCAAAAAGCTTTTCCAGCAATGCTTAGTATCTCTTCAATAACTTGAATCTCGCTCAGTACGTACACTAGTTTAAAAAAAGTCTACAAATTCTTTTTTGTCATTGTGCTGCGCGCAATGTTGTTTTTTGAAGCGGCTATTGAAAAATGTCGAAATTTCTTTTCGGATCATCGATTCATGCCCATTAATGTGTTTTCATTAGTTCCTTTAAATAAGTTTTATTATTCTCTTTATTGTAGTTGTCATGGGTGCTGTATTCGGGACTAATTTAGATTCTTCTTTTCCTCGAACTCTCATATATTTCTTCATACATATCGGCCAAGAAAGCTTAAGACTGAAGTGCATCCAACACGTTCTTTTCCCCTATTTTGAAATGACTAGGTTCACCAATAAAAGTAAATATAATTTTATAACCCGAATTTATTGTCCTCTACAAATTCCAAAAAAAAAAATTTTTTTTTTAATTCAAATTTTTTCTTATAAAAACTAATGTATACAGCAACAAGGTACAATTAGGGAGAATTTCGTAATTAGAAGCCGGTGGGCTTATGTCCACAGGTAGTTCACCCGAATTTTATGAACACTTTTATCACTTTTATGTCCCTAACAAGAGATTTTTTTAATAATGAAAAAACGAACAGAGGCCTTCAATAACCGGACAGTTGTGCTAAACATGTCGGACATATGCGTTGATGATAACATTTTTTAATCGAGTCCATAATAAATGTGCACGCTTCCTATCAACCAGCGATGAATAGGTACGAAATTGATTTTTATGCCTAATATCACGGACTACGTTTCCAGTGTACGCTTTTTCTTTTCAATTTTTTTTTTTCATAATTTTATAATTGCCGAAATTTATCACATATTTGAAAAAAAGAAGATTAAAAACTTGAATTTTTCTTTCCATTTCATTTAATTAAATGCAAAGAAAAAAAAAAGAAAGAAAGAAAAATCATAAACATCAAGATTTATAATGCAATGTATCGCATGGAAAATAAAATAAATGTCAATAATATTTATAACTTAAGTCAGAATTTGTTATTACATTTTAAATATCAAAGTAATGTTTACATGGCGTTAATTTCATTATAAGGGAAGAAAAAGAAAAAAAAAAAAAAACAAACAAAAAAAAATATTAATAATAATAATAATAATAAAAAATTCTCGTTTTCATATAATTGGTATTTAACCTTTTTCACCACTTTAAGTTATAATATATAAAAAGGAAATATAAGTAATTAAAACTTACATAAAACTGCCCAGGAAATATGTGCATATGGAAAATATACATCATATAAAAAATAAAAAAATAAAAAAACACAAAACCAATAAAAATAAGCAAAAAAGAAAAGCAAATTTGAAATAAAAGTTCGGCTTAGCATCGAAACGATTACTATATCCACCTCACCTATGTTGTGATAAATTTGAAAGACGATTGACAGAAAGAGAGAGAGAGAGAGAGAGAGAGAGAGAGAGAGAGAGAGAGAGACAGACAGAGGAGTGAACCTCAACTAACTTGAACGGATATGCAGACAGGCGATTAGCGGTTAATTTCTCATATATGTATACATATATATATATATATTAATTAATTAATTAATATTAATATTAATTTAATTAATTTCTTATATTTGCGAATAAGAGTTATTTGGAAGCAATTGTTCGTAAATTTAATTGATTAAGGCTCCGATAATTTCGGGTTGAATTAAAAATTGAAAAATTTTTTTTTTTTTGCTAATAAGCACGAACCTATTTTCTAATAAGAAGAAAAATCAGACAATCTCTATCTATTCTACGATTTAATATCGCAGAACGTCTTAAATATATTCGAAAGACTTTCATCTATAGGCGATTTATTTGAATGCAGTTTCTTTGAGACTTTCGGCTGTTAATGCATTTCGATAATTCTTGCTTTCATTCATGGATAATTGTCCTCTTAGTTTTCATGTTCTTTTATTATATATAGCAATATATAAATAAAAAATTTTATTTTTAAACTTTTTTCAATCGATACCAATATTAAAAAATGCAAAAATTCGCACGAGTTCGCCTTTTTTTCTCCCAACTTTTCTTATTTTTCAAAAATATTTAACTAAGAAAAGTATATCCCGAGGGCTTTTGGTAAGGTGTGACCTCTATTACGGGATCTGATCAATACGTTCGACGTGACGGTGGATATAACGCTTAACAACATTTACTCAAAGATCCTTTTAAAAACTAATTAATTCAGAAAAATATCATTTAACAATATATTTAACGTACATACATTACATACATGCATACATACATACATAGACATAGCCTCTTCTCTTATGTCATAACTTGAGTATACATAAATAATTATATGTAAAGAATTTATCTTGTTTTCATTTTTTAATTGCTTTTAAATTTTAATAAATTTAAACAAAAAAAAAAAATTTAAAAACAAAAAAAAAATAAAGAATCTTTTTAATAAAAAAAAAAAAATAAAAAAAAATAAATAAAATAAAATTGAAAAAAAAAAAAAAACTATTTTTTATGAATATACATACATACAAACATTGAATGTTGTAAGCAAATCTAAAAAGAAAAGAAAAAAAAAACAAATTTTCTCCATGAACAAAAAATTGAACCTACAAATTATACCTACGTACATACTTACATGTATATGAGCTAAAAATACAAACTTTTTTTTTTAAATAACATAAGTATTTAAGAAAATACTTATTCGTATATAATGCTAATAGCATTATATAAACATACACATATACATTTACATCTGTATAAGAAAAAGAGAAAATACACCCCTTTACCCTCCTCAGAAAAGAAAAAGAAAAATTTTTATTAATTATATTCGTAATTATTGTATAACAAGAAGTAAAATTAAAAACAAAAAACAAATGGAAAAAAAATAAAAGATTTCTAATAAACAAGATATTATGTATTGAGTTTTTCAACATATGTTGAAACAGTGAATTCACTTTTTTTTTTTTTTTTTTTTTTTTTTTGGAAAGTTTTTCTCTGTCCAAACTTATGTCACGACATTCACTCGTTGTATTGCATGTTCCATGCAATTTTCATGTTCGATTATGATCAGTGGTTCGATAAAAAAAAAAACCATTGAATATATATTAGGAAAAACATTCATATCGATGTAATAGCCGAGTTCGACAAGACAGTGCGACCTTTGCGTGGGCTACGCACGTTAGCAGCTATTATTTTGCATTTTTATCCTTTTTTTTCTTCTTGTTTTTGACAGATATACAAAAGTTAGATGTGTTTTGGCATGCTTGGCGTATTTTTCTTATTGAGGAAAAAATTGATCAAAGATTCTGTAGTAAAGTTGATGTGAAAAATGAAATGAATTTCTCCAATTCGCTTAATATGTTGATTTTGGCTCTTGTCGAATTTGCTAAGACTAAAAATAAAACATTAAATATTCCCCGCGGATTAATGTTATATACCTATATATATCGGGCGACATTCATCTGATTGGGTTAAACGAACATGCGCTCACTTCAGTTTAGAGTTTTTGTGAAGATAGTTTCCAAACTCTTTCCTCGTGTAAAAAGTTATATTGACTTGAAAATGCCTGGAATATCTGAAGAGATACTCTATGTGATGCTTTTTTACTATAAAATAAAACAAATTGTTTTTTTGTTTCAAGTTTACGGTGGGAAGGACGCAGGTGCGGTTTGCTCTATTTGCCGTTCCGTAAATTTCGTTGTCAAAGATGTATATCGCAGTCACTGAAAAAGTCGATGACATTTTGCAACTGATAGAGCGAGACCGGCGCGCAAGCTATCAGATAATAGCGGGGCCACATTACAGAGCAAGCTACAATAAGCAGCTTGAAACCACAGATACCTTTCAATATGGCCCATTCAGTGGGGTACAATGTACAATGTCTTCACAGAAGGGCGAGAAGGACGTTAACATGTCGAATCAGTTTTAGAGGAGTTACTGAGGACGTTGGCACACCGGTTTGGGCACAAGACGTGTCAACAGCAGGATAATGCGCCAATTCACACGCCATTGCTTGTTCATAATTTTTGGGCCACAACAATAACACCGTAATCACGCCTCAGCCCTCGTATTGACCCATTGCAATCGTTCCGACAAGCGAATAGTCACCGATACTAAATACGTGTTGTAAAAACGAAATCAAGCGAATATGAGCATTTCATGCAACAACAACAAAAACGGTGTACGGTACGATCATAAAATATGATAAAACATCCTTAGTGAAAATTCGAGGCACATTGGGTAGAAATTTCAAAATTTCAAAAATTAAGAATTATGTGATCTTAAGTTTGACTGAGGAATTCTCTTATTGCAAAAGTAGTATAAATTGGTCGAAGGCTGTTTACCTTTTGCAGTTACTAGAGAAATCATACAATAATTATCTAAGGGATGTTTTAGTTTTATATAAAGTGCGCATATAGATCGATAGAGATATGATTTCAATTATCGGTTCAAATTATCGGTTTGGTTGGTGCGTATCAATGTCAATTTATCTAGACTAAGAGAATGAACACCTAGGCTAAATGTAACAAGTAAGAAAGTTATATTAAGTGGAGGCCGAATCCCGCCCATCCATCACTATACTTTTCGCATTCCACTCTTCAAGTTATTTTATTTGATACCCATATCGCTGATATTATTAAGAAGAAATTATTTCACCAGGTCGCGCTGTCCTATCATATTCATTTTGAAATTAACCCATTTTTAGGCAGATAATATATCTTCATTTGAGAAATGTCTTGGTTTGCCTTGTGATAAATGAATGCACAAAAACCTGAAAAAAAGTGAAAAAAAGAAAATTTAATTATTCGTAACCTTGCGTGGACACGGTTGATTGGTTTCATTTTTGAATCTAAAGAGAAAAGTATCTCGTAAAGTAAATATGGAAAATTTCGGCCTCCTAGCCTTTGTATTTCCGAGTAACCAACCAAAAACGCACACAAGTTTTTGTTAAAAAAACCTGAGTTGCGTTTAGTTTACGCTCCACGAGGGACTTCGGCTTCGACCAATTTTGCCCTTTTTTAGGGCCAACCAGCATGCAAAAACCTTTCAAAGTTTTTATCAAATTTGAAGTTGGTATCAGGATAGTGCCAACAACAAACACCACCAGAAGGACAGACATGGCTTAATCAGCTCACATTTTTACATTGATCAAGAATAGATATACTTTGGGTGTTGCATGCATTATGAAAAAAAAAAAAAAAAAAAAAAACAAAATGAGTACATTCCCACCCTTCAGTGGTGGATATAAAAATAAAAATATTGAACATTAGCTGCTAAAGTTCCGATTACAATTGTCATTTATATTATTATTGTAAATTTGATATCATCTTCTGCGCCCATTTTACAATTATTTATTAGGTTAGGTTAGCCCGAGTTGCGAAAGTAGTTGAACTATTAAAAAGTACGCCTTATTTCTTAAAATTTTGACACAGAATTGAAAACTGATTTGCTCGAAAATGCATTGACGTGCTCCGATTGAGTGACAAAAAGAATTTTGATAAATATTTTTAATTTGAGTTTAGCGAAGCTCGACATACCGCAGTGGATTAAGATTAGTGCTAAGATAGTGTTTTTAAATTTTCTAATACTATTTTCAATGTATTTGTGGTCAACTTTTGCCATGAACTCATCATAAATAATGTTTTGGAAGATTTAAGCGTTTAGGCAGTTACCACGTTTCTTATGCCACCAATGTAGCTTAATGTTTAAGGCATTTTAAGCCGGTTAAGTATACATTAAATGTTTGTTTCCCGCATAGGCGTGATTAACTTACAAGCTTGATAAGATTTTTGAAATAAAATTGAAAATAAGTTTACTCAAGTTTTTCTTTGTAGATCCTTTCTTTTATTAATTGGTTTTACATACGGTAAAGACAAAAAAAGTATTAATAAGCAATTAAAATCGACTAAGATTTGACTTTCAGCAGAACTTTTGGAGCTTAATTTTAAATATTACAAAATATCAGAAATAAGAGAAAGTGGAAAAGATATATAAGTATCAAACAATGTAAAAGCATTTAAGACTATCTTCAGCACGCCCATGCAATTAAGATACGACTTTTCGATCGTGTACAACAGTTTGTCGATTTAATTGAAACATGAACTACGGCTAATCAATGCTAAAACGATTTTTTATAATAGAAAGAGGTATACTTGGCTATGTAGCCTTTCGCCCATAACGGTACTGAATGCATATTTCTATGTATTAATTCTAATTATTTTCACTTAAATCAAATTTGAAAATCTACTTATAAAAATTTTTTTAAAGGATTATAATATTTTTAATTCAGTTATCATTGCTATCTATTGTTATTTCATATACAAGTTCATCGCCCAAATCCTCATCTTCACCTTCTTCATGTGGGACTATCTCTATAAACTTCTGATCAATTAGCATGTCTTGATGATCACTATTAGCGAATATTTCTTTGATATCATCTTCACTTATTAGTTGCACATGCTGCACCTCACTATTATCGAGACTAACTCCGTCCACAGTTGTCTCTTCTTCTTCTTCTTCTTCCATTTGTTGTTTCCGCAACAGAGCTTCCTCTTCCATTTTACGTCGCGTATTATTACGGCACTGTATCGAACGTTTATGGGCATCAAAGTAATTGATATCTGTGAACTCTTCGTGACAAATATGACATTCGTAGTGCGATTGATGGAGGTGCATTTGCTTACGATGACGAGCCATTTTGTGAGCATCGCGGCACTGCATACCACAGAACGGACACACAATCATTCGACGCTTGCCCATATGCACGGCCCGTACATGTTCTTGTAGGGAAAAGTTTTTATAGTATGATTTCGGACAATGCTCACATTGGAAGCGGCGTTTTTTTTCATGTGTCGATTCTCGATGTCTTTTGAGTTGTGTGTTCTGAGCAAAGGTCTTGCCACATACTTCACAGATGTGTTCTTTTTCCTGATGCCGCCGTTGATTATGTACTCTTAAATCCTGTTTGGTGGAAAAGTAAAGCTTACATAATTCACACACATAGGGCCGAATGCCCATATGACGTCGAGCATGTCCAGCCAAATATTTGCAATCTTTATAAGTTTCCTCGCAATAAATGCACTGATAACGATTTGTACCGGGTACCACATGTGTTTTTAGGTGTTTAGCTAATTTAGTGCGATGCATAACGTCGGGGCAGATACCACATTCTACGGGCAACTTTTCATCAGCCTCAGAACCTGATATAGAAAACTCTACAATAGGCGTGCCATCTGGATCATAATCCACTATGCATGCAACAAGTTCATCAAATAACATATAACGTCGCGGACCTTCGCCTATCATCTTATTAATTTTTTCTTCGGTTTTAATTTGTTGTTGTAACGTTATTCTGTTATCCTTTTCTATTTGTAATCCTACGCGCTTATTACCATTCCCATTAACCGTTGCCGATTTATCAGGTAAGACAAATTCCGTGTCTTCACCTAACATGCCAGTTTCTGGTAAAAATTCAATTTCATGGACTTCATTAGCCTCTTCAAAGCCCTCTTCAAATTCGCTCTTCATTGCTAATTGGCCAGAAGTATGAAAGTCGGTGTCTTCTAGACAAACGGGTTTTACATCTATCTCTGTAACGACATTTGAATCCACTGTGTTTGTGTCATATTCCGTTTCTTCTTCCAGTTCTTCAACTATTTCGTAATTTTCATCACAGTTTTGTTGCTGGTAGAACACTTCATCATCGGGGTCATCCTCGATTTCAATACAATCTCGCAGTTCATATTCAATGAATTCATCTATGTCTTCGGCAGAGGCGGTATCACACATTTTACCCTGTACTATCTTTTCTTAAATACGGAAAGCAATTTACTTAAGAATTAATGGTTAACGCTGTAAAAAACAGATTTCGTTACAGAAAAATTTTAATGGGAAAAATTATGCGCGTTTCTCTTGATTTCTTTTTCTTCTAAATGTCCAAAATTACATTTCTAGTGTCAGAGTTGTCAGCATTTAGTATTTGCTATTTAACATATTTTATCATTCACAATAGCAATAAATTGTCGACAGACAAATCTATCGAATGAATTCAGAAAACATTATGAATGTGTTGTTAGAAAATTAAATAAAAATTGGATTACCAATTTTTTATATTCATCATCCACCAATTTCAATACTGTGTTACTTTTATAAGCTATATATGTTGTATTAAATCGGTTCAGTTAATTGCATTCGCTTTATTTGCTTGTTTACAATTATATCAAACTCGTTAAAATTTAGATGGTCCTCTTTCAGAAGCGTAATTAAAAAAATGTCTATCACCTGCTCTGAAGTAATTTTGAAAAAAAATGAAATATTTATTTTATTCCTAAATTCTTAACGACAATTGATTGTATTTTACAAAGAAAAAATTTGGAAACGGACGGTTGGTGAATGAATTTTTCTAATTTTTGATATTCGTTAAGCGTTTTTGCTTATAGCATTCTGTTCCTATAGTGTGGATCTCTTATCTAACTTATTTTTTGCATTTTTTTAGAAATAGGTATCGGGAGCATCATATTCCAGACAAAATATTGAATTTTATATGACACTAAATCGACGTGGACAACTCCGACCATAAAACTGTGCTGATGCATAAAAACGGTTGCAATTAATTCTCTAATTCATCCACGTGCTTGGTTTATATGGGGATCGTGAGTATCCACGATTGGTTTCATTTCTTACTCAGTTAAACATTTCATACAATTTTGTCAAAGTAGTTCATAACTTTTAGATATTTATTTTCTTATATGAATTTAATTATAATCTAACTTACAATGATTGACTTCCTTTTCGGCATTTTCACAAGAAATTTTTCTAACTAAGTAAATCGTTTATATTATGCAGTCTATTACAACTCAATCGTCATGATCCATGGCAGCGATTTCATACAACAATTGCTGTTCGGCTTCCACCTTTTCATGTTCATCTACTTCAATGTCGTTTTGATTATCTTCGTCATCTTCCATGATTTCTGCATGCATATCATGCGTAACTTCTTCGACAACTACTTCTTGCTCAAATTGCTGTGAGATGCTTGATTGTAAATGTTGTTGCCGTTGCCGCAGCATATCGTCGTCGTGTTCTCCTTTCATTTGAAAAAAGCTTTCGCAGTTGTATTCGGTCTCCTGCTCGGGCTCAGATTGACGTTTCAGTTTCTTACGGCATTGTAAAGAGCGTCGATGAGCATCAAAAAAGTCGATATGGCTGAACTCCAAGCCGCAAGCGCGACATTCAAATGTACTCTGATTTAGATGCATTTGCTTCCGATGTTGGGCCAGTTTATGTGTATCTTTGAAATGCATATCGCAGAAAGGACAATCTAACAAACGGCGATCGCCAAAATGTACATTGCGTACATGTTCATTTTTGGCATATTTGCGTAGAAACCGTTTACCACAATGTTCACACTCGTAATTCCTTTGCTGTTCATGCACTAAAAGTCGATGATGTTTGAGTGAAGTATTTTGAGCGAACGTTCTGCCACAGTGCTCGCAAATGTGTTCCTTAGCTAAATGGCGTCGCTGTTCGTGCACTTTTAAATCTTGCTTTGTACAATAATACATTTTACATGGAACACAAACATATGGCCTAATGCCCATGTGTCGGCGCGCATGTCCGGCTGCATAGGCACGTGTTACAAAGTCCTCTTCACAGTAAATGCACATGTACCTCTTGGTACCAGGTTTAATGTGAGTCTTTAAGTGGACATCTAACTTTGTACGATGCATTATATCTGGACACACGCCACACTCGACCGGTAAACGTTCTAATTCCTTATCATCATTCACCATAGAGAATTCTACATAAGGAGCGCCATCTTCCTCATCATAGTCCACAATTTCTGCACATATACCATCAAATAAAAGAAATTTTTTAGGTACTTTGGGGAGATTTAGCCGTTTACGTTTTTCCTCCAAATCAGCTCTAAGTTGAGCAGGTGTTTTCTGTTCTGGTTCATCCACTACCACCTCCTCGTGTTGAAAAACTAATTGATCGGCAGATTCATCTTCGAAGATTTCATGCACTCCCTCTACCAAGTCCATTTGGCCGTCGTTTGTTAGGATCACATTTTCAGTATTGTTCGTCGATCCCTCCTCCAAATTTATTGCCGTTCCACCTTCATTAGCTAACAAAATGCAATTACCTCGTCGATCATCACGGCCTAGATTCTCATTGTCGGTCAAAACTACGTAGTTCGAATCATCAATTGCAATGTATTCCTCCACTTCGCCATTAATAATTGATTCCGATTCACTCATGCCTTTTTGTAATTATGTTTAAATATTAAAAACAACAAACAAGATTATATTGGTTGATTTTTCAGTAAAATAGACAGAAGTTAGGAAATTTTACCAACGCTGCCTTACGTTAGTGATGCAGTAAATTAATGTGATTCATTTATACGACATAAATACGACTACTTAATGAAAAGAGAGATAGTTAAATGAAAGTAATCGTTCTTGTATCAAACTGACTTGACCAACTGAACTTATTCTAGCAAGTTTTACATTATTCAAATATATTAAATATTTTCTAAAATTTTAAACCTGATGATTTGCGTGTTGCGCGACTTTTATTTTTCATTTATTTATTTATTGTATAAATTTAATTACTCACAACGGGTTTGTAATGTTGGCAACTTTCGATTGCTTTCACAAACATTTTAGCAGTAATCATTCACAATAGAGTTTATTGAAAATACAGCGCTGTTCGTGTATTTTGCTGATAAATGAGTTTTTTTTCTTTTATATTTTAATCTTATATGTAATTTTTTAATTCATAACAAAAATCAAGCAACCCATCGGATTTTCCTTTTCCTAATTGAACAGTTTTAAAGATATCGTTCCATTATTATGAGCACGAAAGAAGAATTGGAGTCCTTTGGTAAAAAGCTATGGATTTTAGGAATTTCAGAAATTTTCTATTGTAATTACAGTATTTATCTAATATTTCGACCTAACAACAATCCAATTGGAAAAGCCCACACTACAACCTTTTTGATTCAGTATTTCTTAATTCCTGAGTAGGAGAAAGGAAAAAAAAAAGTGGTGAAACGTATTTTGTTTTTATTAAAAATGACCTCGATATCCGTACATGTTCTGGAATAAAGATGAATTATAATTAAAATTACAACAAACAAAAAAAATTTATATGCGGCTCGGACTTAAGTTTTACGCATTAGTTAGCGTAAAGGCGAGAAAAGTATTTAATAAAATGTGATTAATGTGTCGTACATTATATATATTATATATTGTATACCTTATATATAGATATATAGATATATTAGATAGATATATAGATATATCTATACTCGATATACTCGAATATATACATAAACATGTGTGTATAAAAACTAATTTACATATGCATGCATATGTCTGAAGTCATGGTGTTAATTAAACTCCTTAACAAGGCTTATTATAAATTGAAAAGAATAAAAATTAATATCATTGACTCTCCTTCTGTCCTTTAGTCGTAATTTTAAAAAATAAGCAGCGGATTACGCAATTCGCTCTCGTCGAGGATGTGTATTTCTACTCGTTAAAACTATTTGAAAATTTTGGTATTATCTCTTAGGCACAATAATTTCCTTCAGTATTTATTAGTTTTAAACAGTCAAGGTTAACCAACATCATAGAATTCTTTTTTAGATATGCTGTTTGCCTTGCAATATCTACAAAGTTGCATCGGAGATTTCATAAAGACTATTTATTCTTAACCTAGATTAACATAAGTCTAGAAACGATTTTTATATGCACTTTGCCTATCCGGTGGAATTACGATAAGGGTCTTGGACCGTTTTTTAAAACATGATACTCTTCTAGAAATACGTCTTTTTCACTTTTGGGGTTTTGAGGTTCATGAGGTTCAGGTATGGTTGTCATAGTCGCTTCTAGAATTGATTTGAAACCAAAGAGAACGCTCTGCACAGATCGGAAACATTGAAGATTTATGTAGTCCAATATAATATATGATCCCTTCTTTGTTATGTAGCTCTGCTCATTCCGTTTGAATGCATGTCATTGAAGTCGGAATTCTGTAAAATTTGCACAAAATGTGAAAATAAAATATAGAATAAAAAGAAAATGAAATAAAACAAGTAAAAATGCTACAATGGGTCACGGCATACTATTAAACACCCTATAGTTAGTCCTATAGTGATGTTTTTCAAATCAAGATGCTATATGCGAAGTGGTCGTAAAAGTGGTGCGATCTGAACCATTTTCGACGGTTTCTGTCGTTGGGCCGAAATACATTAGTGTACCGAATTTCATCAGAATATTTGAAAATTTGCGGACTATACGTTGAACAAAAGATAATAAGAGAGATAGACGGACAGACGAACAGGCAAACTTAAATTGGAATCAGTAATAGTTGAGTCTATCTCAAGTCCTTCTGGGCGTTGCATACATCCGCATAAACTCAACATACCCATGCACTGCAAATAGTGTAGAGTATAATAAATTTACTTTGCAGCGCCTGATATATATCGAATAATATGCGCCTATGCAAAATACGGGAATTATATGCGACTCAGTTGATTTTTAATTCGATTGAAATTTATTCATTCTATGTCTACTTTCCGCAAAGATAATTCTATCAAATATGGCAATCGGTTTGCTCGTGCCCATAATTGGGCGTACAATAATTAAACAACGTGTTATCTCCTGATATATTAAGTAATCGATTAACGGGATTCGTGATGCATACGAATTTTAATTAATTAATTTTTGTCTTTTCTATAATCTTTAAAGGTGTTAAAGAAAAGTCTTTGACATGATCCTCGTACGAAGAGTGGAAAGCGGATGGCCTGCGAGGGATTTGCGGAATGCCATCGCGAAAATTTTACACTTTCAAATTCTACTGATGTCGGTCAAGTTAATCCTTTAATCCGATTTCGATTTCGACTTTGGCCTTAGACGAATACTAGGATCTATCTTATATGTCAGCGTTAAGCTAATCAAGTGCTTTAAGACATTGTGAATTTGATTTTTCGCATTCTTACATTCTTACTTTTGGCACACAAGGCACTTGTTATTTAATGGATAAGGTTTATCGTTTATTACCTTATGGTTCACATGGTTGTAAGTTTCGATACTTTTTTAAAACTACTCTATAAAAACATTTTAACTGTAAAAAGCAACTTTTGCAATATTTTTTATGAACATTTTCTATTCTAGGTATGGGAATATAATCAGTGCCCTACATGACTAGAGTTATATATATATATATATATATATATATATATGTATATATACATACATGAATGTTAATCTATTAAGCAAACGCTTTTAAATTTTGTAATATAATTATTTGTTTATATCTGTGCGTATCACTGTATTTAAAGAAATATTTTAATTAATTAATATCAACTGTAATAAGCATTAAAGTTCATTAATTATAATTTGTAAAATTTAAGCAACTACATCTGTCTATGCAACCCACAACACATACGTCAAGAAAGATATGTAAATTTATTACACATTTCTGTTTATTTATTTTTCATTTATTTATTTATTTATTTTTGCTTTTGTTTAAGTTTTGACCAGCAGTCAAACGGTCATTCATTTACGCGCCTTTAGTGCTTCTTATTCATCACCGCCGTGGTTTGTTCGTTCATTCATGTTTCTTAACATATTTCAATTGACTTCATTATTATTGTTGTTCTTCTTGTTGTTATACATAAGTTTTTCCTATAGTAATTTTTCCAATGGATACACTTGGCTTTGTTTTTGTTTGTTTTGCTAGACTTGTGTGTATTTTGATACTTCTTCACTGCACATTACACACCATGCACAACACCATCTCCATCGTCACTATGACAATCATCATCATCATCATCATCATCATCATCATCATCATGATCATCATTGCCAGCATTATTTGCTTCTTGCGTTGTTCCGATGATAAGCGCGTTTTATTATAGTTTTAAACGCGGTCGAGAGCGTTACATATTTACCGCTCGGTCTCTCTTGGTTTTATTAAAAAAAAAAAAAAATAAAAAAAAAAAAATAAAACAAAACAAAGAATATCCTTACCGTTCAGGATCAATGTGTTAAAATGATGTCCTAAAACAGTTAGAGTTATTTACGTTTATCACTAATTAATGCATTAAAAAAAAAAAATTAAATTCATTATATATACATACATATCTATATATATATATATATATAATTGTTGTCGCACCAAATGAAAGATAGCGATACATACAAGTATATATGTATATATATATAAAGAAAAACTTGCCTACCAACCTACATACGATTATATAGGCCTGCTCTTGTAATGGATCGTAGCATGTGTTCAATGCCGGTTTTTAAAAATTGTGTCAATTCTAAGTGGAACATGTTTATTTTTTTTGTTTGTTTTTATTTTGTGTATGTGTTAACAGGTTGTCCAGCATTCAGCAAGTGGATGTGATCCAGATTTTATATTTGAGATTTTTTTTTTTTTTTTTTTTTTTTTTGTATATACATATACACATGCTTACAAATATGTATGTTAAACCTTTCTTTTTCCCCTAAGCTATCATTGTGAATAGCATGAATGCATCATGAACACTCCGGTGTATGCAATTTAATTCGAATAATTATATGTGCCGGCAATTAGCTTCTCCAGGAATCTTCAGTTCACAAGAATATGGTGAATAATTTTATCAAAAATGCGTAAGTCACCAGAGTTTTAAGCATTTCTTCGAGCCATCGAAGAAGGCAATCTTTGCCTAAATCAATTATTATATTATTTTATTTACACTTTATAGCAACAATAGGCATTCGTGTTATCCATGAGCACTTCTTTTGTATTCAATATTCTTGTTCCTTAACACACGATGTCATGGAATCACATTATGCTTCTCTTTAAATGTTTCCTTGAATCGTTAAATTATCAAAGCTATTCCACCGTTTATTGTTTGCATTTCTTGAAGTCTCAGATGAGTCAACTTTTTTTAACGTTTCCAATTTCACTACTATTAACTACGAGACACCTGTCTATATTATTTCCAAAATACCCAAATTTATTGTACACCACTTTCTTTTTCTCCCCCATTTCCTGCGTATCCTTTGAGGTTAGGTTATGACAACAGAATTCACTTTAGAGATGCTTTTCGCATGCATTACTTTTGCCTATTGTGCGTTAATGCGAAAGGTTTGGGAAAAAAAAAAAAAAAAAAAAAAAAAAAAAGAATATGAATAAATTTTTTTTGTAATATTATTATTAAGTCATAATCAGGGGATGTATGATTCCTGTAATGCATTGTCGGCGGCAAAGAAGTGAGGAAATAGGAAAGCGGCCGCATGCCAGTGGGTGTCAGGTCAATCGCTAAATGTTCTGCCTTTACCGACTGAATCCTCACTATAAAGATGACCAAGCCGTACAGTGAACCCGCCCGTATATTGTTGGTAATTGTGGTTTTCATCTATTTGGGTCTTTATGTTATTAGATGCACAAGCAAAATAAAGTTAGCAATTATGAGTTCCCTAGGCACTGGCCAACTACATTTTTGTTGTCACTTGTCTAAGATAATTCTATGATTCCAATGATTTGTCTTTAAAATAGACAAGCACTTCCTGAGAATGACATGGCATTCATAATTTTGTTAATGAAATTCGAAAATGAGATCAATCGGCTGAAAGAACTATTCACGAATTCATGACAAAGCATATAATCATGGTCTTAGCTGCGAAATCGTCCAACAGCATGAGTCCATTCGTACAGTGTTACGTGTCAAAACAGTCGATGACATTTTAAGAAGGATAATGTCTTGACATTGATTGCATTGATATAATCCGATCTCCGTTACTCTCCTAAATGCCGATTAAATCTGATTAAAATCGTGTTGTGATCGTCACATCTCTTCGAATATGCGCAAAAAGTTATTTCGTTGAGTTAATAATTCAGAATCGTGTTGATATTATAATTTGTCGAAGCTCTTATTGTATATAGTGGCAAAGTGGGACTCATCGATGAACCTATCGAAGCCATTTTCAATCTTGATTAAAACCCGGCTTAAGAATTAAACAATTCCGTTATTAACACTAGATTTACCGCAGCCGTCAATTTGATCGGTTATTGTGATTTCAAGGAAGTCGACAGATATCTTTAAATGTCATATATAATCAACTGTCAACTGTCTAATGCATGTCTGAAGGCCGGGTAAACTCGGTTAACTAAAATTTGGTGCAAACGTTTCGCGATCGATTAGGAATTTATGGTCACGAAATGGGCGTGATCTGAACGCTCGACGTCGATAATTTTTTTCAATTTTCATTTATAACTTTCGATCCATGTGCTGGCATTATTGAAGAACATGTTCGAAAACAGGTGCGAAAACGGTCTCGATCGATTAAGTAATACCTCGACAATCAGCGATTAAATAGCTTATTTAGGATTTATATACTACGATTTTTGATACTATCTTCTACTATTTAATGTATACCTTTTTTGACTGTCTCCATAAAAATGGGTATAAAGTAGTAGCGTTTGCATGTATTTTGATTATTGTTTCTTGTTTCAATAAAGGTATTTATAGCGAACATTTGGTTCAATATATATGTATATGTATAATCGAAATATTTTCCATCATCAATATCGACAACTTATTTTCACGTTACTGGCAACATGTGGATACCGTATCGAAAGAATGATATCCGTTTGGCAGCGATGCACTGCTTCAACTTTGCGGAATCGCTGCATCGATCTGAACAAGCGGTAAGCAGAAGGCGCTTTGTCTGATAAGAACACTGGTTGCTTACCATTCGAGCTGGAATAATGCCGCCTTGACAACTATTGCAAAGTGCGGCCAAGCGTTGTCAAACAGGAAGCTGACTTTGCGCCTGTTAATCGCAATTGCTGATCTTTTTTTCGCAACAATACATCGATCAATTTGTTCAATTGACGTCAGTTGACATCTGCAGTAACAATTTCAATCGGCTTTAACCGCTCGAAATACGTTGCACTTTGCTGCACAGCAAAAACTTTATAGCCATGATCGTTCTGCTTTGATGTCAATATGGATGGCCCTCTTGGACTGACACATGATTTTTTTTCAGTTTTCATCGCCAGTCGCAACACACCACAGAAAACTCTTCTGTTTTTGTCTGTCAAGCAATGAAACCGCGTTGTTGCAATGAATTCATAGGATAACTGCTTTCCCTCCTTTTGGAACCATCGCATCGCATGTCAACGTTTAGAAACAGTTGCTTGATCAACTGCTAAGTCGTTCAAAAGTCCTTTGAGAGTTAAGTCATTGTCAAGTCATTGTTTTCGAACTTTTTCTTTTGGTCCTCCGGGCGATTCTTTATCACCACGTTTAAGCCCTTCAAACCAAAACCAAACAATGCGGATATAATGGAGTAACATCGCCATAAGTTGCTCTAAGTGTTTGGTGAGCTTCGTCTGTAGATGCCGTCAAATCACAAACAATACGAAAGCAATGAATGTCGAAAATGAAATTTTGAACGTTCGATGATTATCGCCCGTATACACTGAATAACTGGACGACTGGAAGACTGGAAGACTGGAAGACTGGTACACTTCTCTCGTGAGAAAGGTCAAAATCATCGAATTAAACTGTTGTCTACATTGATACTTTGCATTAATTTGCCATTTTCGTTAATAAGGATGCGTATAATTGATCAAGATACATGCAATCATCTGTTACAAAACATCCGTAAATCGAAATATTAAGCAAAACTAGTAAGAGAAGAACGCAGCGCCATGTTAACTGTGAACATGAACAGTGCTTTTGCAAGCTATCGTTTACTGCTAGTTATTACAAATCAAATGAAAGAATTAATATGCCAGCTTATATGTGTATGTATGTATATAAATAAAAAAAAAAAAAAAAAAAAAAAATGTTTTTCTTTTTTTTTTTATTATTTTATTTTAAGTAAATAACAATAATGAAATATTTGAACATGTTTACTGTTGTGTTGTTGTTGGTTAAGCAAACATTAGACCGTTATTTATCTATCAGTCGCATAATAACTCTTTCACATAATCGATGTGTAAATATAACGTTTAACATGTTTGTCATTTTTATGCTGATAAATGTTCAGTCAGTTAGTCAGTCCAGTCAGTTATGTTGATGAGGAGAACTGAGGACAGATCCGTTTTAGTTTATTTGTTTCTCTTTCGTAATCTTATGGGTTAAACCCATTGAATCAATTGATTTTGAATCGTTAAGGGCATAAAGGAAATTCAATATTTGTCGAATGACTTTTATTCTATGCGATAACAGTTAACTTAATTGGCCTGATTACAGTGTTGATGAACTGTTTTCTTACAAATTCAATTACGATTGCATTCTCTTCTTCTTAAGCTTATGGGATAGGATTATCTCTTAATGCGATATTCGCAACTCTTGCCCAAGGAAATATAATTGTAATATTGTTATGTTCAATGTTATGTTCAGTGCAACATAAATGGATTCACATTAAGTTAGATTCAGTTAAGCTTGTGATTATGATATTAACGGTTGAGGTAAAATTTTCTACTTTAATAAGAAATTTTATTCGCTTTAATAATCAACATTATGATGCTGATAGACAATGTCCCTACATCAATTGTGGCGGTGCAGGTACGCAGAAGCGTTTAACATAGACTCATCCTTTTTATTATTCTGATCGAATCTGAATCAGGTTAGTCTGAATTGATCTAAGACTGTCTGTCCGTTTGTCCATGTCAATTTGGGTTTAACCTACAGCTCCGCAATTTTTTAAAATATTTTGATGAAATTTGTTACAGTGACGTGTTTTGATTCAACGATCAACGCTATTGAAAATGGTTCGGATCGGTCCACTTTTTCGAGCACTCCTCATAAAATGTCTTATATTGAAAAATGCATAATAATTATAAATAAATGATAATTAATTTGACGTTGAAACATTTGGCTTGGCTGAGGTAATTTTTTGAACATCTCTTATGTAACCGTTTCTACGAAAAGTTTTTTATCTTATTTATCTTTATATGGTGAAAAGGTGTAATTTTCATATAGTATTTCATATAGTAAATTAATAAAGAAACCGGCCTTAGCTAATTTGGACCACGTAAACCTATTTTTTGGATACCAAAACATATTAGTATTTTCAGGACATGTAAACCGTTATATGTCGAAAAGGCCTACTTGTTAAATTTGTATGGCATAAAAATTAATTGGTTCAAATTCGAAACGCACGAAATCTACTTCTTGGAACCATATTCCATATAAGATTTCTCACGAATAGTAAGTTCTTCAGAAAAATGTTTAATTTTTAATATTTTATAATGAAAATTGGTCGTAGAAATTATGATGTAGCGACTTTCTTCGCCCTATAGACAAGGGTTATCATGAAAAGAGTGCGCTTATATATATATATATAGAGAGAGAGATAGAGAGTCTAAATAATGAAATTCTTAGGAATCAAATTAAATTTGCTAAGTTTTGGTCAGACCCTGCGATATTTTGGCCATCCTTTAACAGGCGGGCTTCCATGGAAAGTATGTTCTTGCACGAAAATAATGTGTGCACTCGTATTGGCCAAGTCGAGTGAAAACTCTTCGGCGAAATGGGTATGTAGGGTATCTAAATGTCAGTCTTGCCCGACTATAATGTCCCTATTCGTTGGATATCATAACTGGCATAGCAAACCTATCAATAATTCGAAAGAAATGCTCAATAATGGTT